AAATGAAAGATGAAGAGGAAATGAAAGATGAAGAGGAAATGAAAGATGAAGAGGAAATGAAAGATGAAGAGGAAATGAAAGATGAAGAGGAAATGAAAGATGAAGGGAAGTGAAAGAAATGAAAGATAAAGAGGAAATGATAGAAATGAAAATCAGAGTTCCAAGACGGACAAAGGAATGCAGGGTAGGCGAAACATGGCCGTGGCCCGGCGGGCCGATGTGAATACTGCGCAAGGGCCCCAGGCTGCTGGCCTAGCCTCCAACGGAGTTGCCCCGGTCGGGGCTCACCAATTTCCAGTCCTATTTTTCAGTGCTATTTGCCAATCTTATTTTCCAGTCCTATTTTCCACCCTATTTTCCACCCTGATTTCCACCCTAATTTCTACCCTAATTTCCACCCTATATCCACCCTATTTTCCACCCTATATCCACCCTATATCCACCCTATTTTCCACCCTAATTTCCACCCTAATTTCCACCCTATTTTCCACCCTATTTTCCACCCTACATCCACCCTATTTTCCACCCTATTTTCCAGCCTTCATCCACCCTATTTTCCAGCCTTCATCCCCGGTCCCAACGAGAGCCTGTTCCAGTGCCCCAACAGGCCCTATCCAGGACCCAATTTCGCGGCTCCGACAACAGAGCAGCACAACAGGAAGAGAAAAACAGATACAAGGATAAACAGACGAAAAGAGGAAACGACTCCGGGGAAAAGTCAAAATGGAAAACCAACGACGCAAAGACAACCCCGAAACGACGAAAAGACGAACAGACAACCTAAAAATGTCACATCTTTCTCGCTCGACTTCCTTGCCCCCGCCCTCCGGCGCCAGGCTCCGGCCCTGGGGCCACCCGCGCTCCTGCCCTTCGGCCTGGCTCCAGGCCGTGCGCGTCCGACCTGGTGCCTCCATACCCACCCTCTGCAAAACCCACCTTTGAACCCTCCCTCTAACCCACCCTTCCTACCCACCAAACTCAGCCAGCATCTTCGGCCATGAAATCTTTGCTAAAAGACCTCCACGTCCACTACGTCCGCGAGCTCGACTCCAAAATCACAAAGCAAACCTACGAGTACTGGTTGCTGGAACATCTCCGTCTCAACGGGCTCTATTGGGGCTCCATGGCCCTTGCGACTTTGGGCTCCTTGGACACCTTGCCCAAAGACCAGGTGGAGCAGTTTGTCATGAGCTGCTACGACGAGCAGGCGGGCGCGTTCGCCGCTTTCCCGGGCCACGACGCCCACGTGCTCACCACGTTGTCTGCGCTCCAAATCCTCCTCATATACGACCGGTTCGACGCGCTCTCCCCACAAAAGAAAGACCGCATCGCGGCCTTCGTCTTGCGCCTCCGCTTGCCCGACGGCTCCTTCATGGGCGACAGCTTCGGCGAAATCGACACCCGCTTCGTGTTTGTCTCCGTGTTCATTTTGACCCTCCTAGACCGTCTCTCGCCCGCCGTCGCCGACAGCGCCGCACACTTCATTTTGTCCTGCCGGAACTTCGATGGCGGCTTCGGCATGTACCCCGGCGCCGAGTCGCATGCGGCCCAGGTCTACACTTGTATCGGCGCTTTGGCACTATGCGATGCGTTGGACAACGTAGAGGAAAAAACCGCCGCGTGGCTCAGCGAGAGGCAAGTCGTGGGCTCCGGAGGCTTCAACGGGCGGCCCGAGAAGTTGCCCGACGTGTGTTACAGCTGGTGGGTGCTCCTGAGCTTGGCGGCTCTAGATAAAGCCCACTGGATCAACTTTGTTTTGGACTGCCAGGACCTCCAGGCAGGCGGGTTTGCTGATCGCCCAGACAACCAGACCGATGTGTACCATACGTGTTTTGCGTTGACCGGCTTGAGTTTGATGTTTGCAGAGAAGTACGGGCTCGCAGAGGTGGACCCCGTCATGTGCCTTCCGAAACGGTGCGTCGGCCAAATCAACTACTACAAGAGAGCGTGATACAATATTAGTTAATTCAAGTATTCCCATGGGCATGTTTGCAGCCACCGCTAGAGATTCGACCGTTGCCACTCGAATTCCGTCATCCAAACTTCCCCCGCGGCTTCGAAATTCTTCATTTGCTCCGCCGAGAATGCGACTATTGTTCCTTCTTTCGAATTATCTTTCGTCTCCTCATCTTCCACGTAGTATCCACCAATCAGGGAATAAGCACACCACATATAGCTGTGGCAGTATGAACCCATGACCCAGGATTTTTCGGGCTCATGCTCCACATTCTTCAAGGGCTCGTTTTGTTTCTCGAAGGGTGGGATGATTGCGTGTGTGATTTTGACCGGCGCTTTGAAGAAGGTCTTGAACTCTTCTAGAGTCTGAATTTTTGTATAACGCTTCTTCTTATTGAACTCGTCCTCCCAATTCATCTCTTTCTTGAGAGATTCACCGCAGTGGCGGAAGCCTGAGTTGAACCAGACCAAAGTCTGGGTATCAACATCACTTATATGTGCTGGATGACTAGAGCAAATCTCCCTGGACCTAAACGACTGGATGGAATTGATGTCTTTGTGACGCTCTATTTCCGGTGTGAACTCTCCGATGGCCGCGGCAAAGTGATCGTTGAAGGCGTATTCCTCGTCACCTCCCAAAGAAAGCGCTAGCCAGAAGAGCTCTTTATCACCGTGAATTCTGGCAACAACTGGATGGTAGAAAGTCAAGAGCGACATGACGATGGGTTGGATGAAATGCCTTCTCCTGTTGATGGCAACCACTCCGCTCTCCATATAATGGGACAACCCTTGGAAAAACTCGTTCTCGAGGGTGATACTTGTAGGCTGTGCAACATTGAACACAACAGAGTCTTCAATCGATGGCAAGAGCTTCTTGAAAAACACAAGATCATCATTACCTCTGCTGCCTGATGCTCTGTCTTTATAAAACATGGTCCCAGATTCCACAAACTTCTTCAACTCGAAAAAATATGATGGACTCTTCAAAAGAACACTATCGGCATCGCAGAGAAGCATTTCCTCGAAAGAGTTAAACATTGTGGCCATGATTTTGTTGGCAAAGCCGTTGAATTTGCCCCTATATTTAGCCTCGATAGCTCTTTCGGAGTTGACAAACCAAATGTCTTGCTCAGGATAACCTCGAAAATAGTCTCTGGAAGCACGCACAAGATTAGCACGGGATTCTTCTGAAAGATTCGAGTGGTAAATAACCTGTACTGGGTACTCGTTGCCAAGATAGCGGAGCAATCTCAAAAACCTGCTCGCGTCATTCACGTGGTCATCCTTAATGGTTAAGACAATGCCTCGGCCATTCAAACGAGACTTGTACTCGCTCAAGAAACATCGGTTGTTAGTACGCAAGTGGCCAGTGATACCCGGAAAAGACGTGGTCTTTCCGTCCCACCTCGTGAATACAGGGTACTCTTTGGTTAACCAAGGAAAAATCTTGCTTTCCACATCACTGCAGTCAAGCTCGTTCTTGAACAACTTCCCTGTCACCTGATCGGCAGCGGTTTTCAAGTATTTGACGCTTTTCTTCAAAAAGGTACGTTGTTTCTTTACAAAAGAGTTGTCCTCTTTATTGATACCTGCCGTCGCAGAACCCATGAAGCACTTGTTGAAGATACGCACGTGAGCGAGGAAGTCATGGAGGGTCTGCTCATCGTTGAACACAGAATCACGCAAGTCGTCATACTCTTTGCGGATCTGAGTCTCCGTTGGGGGTTCAAACGACTCTTCTTTTTCCTTGGCCTCCTTGGCCTTCTTCTCGCTATCTTTGAGTCTTTGGCTACGGTATTCTTCATATGTCTTGTATGCATTTCTGTTGAACAGAATGCTTTGATCTGGACTCACTATCCAATCTGGATCACTCGCGGACAAATGGTTGAAATAGATCATGCATCGGTCATGGAGCAGGTTTTTCGACAACAAATCGTACAAATTGACCTCGGAGAAGATTTCGTCGTAGACCAGGGATTTGGTCCGAATCTTTTCGAGCTTTGGATGCCTGTTGTGGAAATGTGCAAAAAAGTCGATGAGCTTCGGTTTGTCTAAATGAGCCACACCCGCAAAGCTGGGGGGTTTATGGGAAAGCAAGGTCAAGTTCCAGATCGAAATACATAGTGTGACCAAGAGAAGTGGGTATTTCCACACAAGTGCTCGAGAAAACACTTTCCGAATCATCTTAATGCTTGCAAAGTTTCTTCGTTTCCAGGAGTTTCCACGTCCGTGAGATCGGAGACGGGCGAATTCTTCCAGTGGGCAATTGAAGCGTCTAGCTTGATGAACACGCTCCGATCTTCTGTTCACGAGATTATAGAAGGAAAGTCGGTCGACACAAAATTATGTGAGCAAGTCCGCGTCGATAAAGTTGTAAAGTGGGATTTTTTAAGTCAGCTGGGGCAGAGTGCGCTTGATATCTACAACTGCATCCAAATACTGGTGGCAAAAGCTTAAATTTACCAAGCCCATGAGCTTGAACTCAATGTTGGCCCCAGCCGACAACTCATTGGAGAACTTAACAAAATTAAATTGGTTCGTCACCACGATCTTCAAGGTCTACACCAGAAGGCGAGGCGAGTCGCAGGAAGTGGGCTCCTTAAGTCCGCTACAACCATCTGAGTTGAAGCGACTACTACAGGAGACCTATCCTAGGAGTCGATGACGTAATATCCAATACGTAAACAGAGACGTGCCATGAGGACTGTCCAGGCCGTTAAACCTCTCCACCACCCCGGGTCTCGCTGCGGCTCAATCGTCTATGTCTACCATAGGCTCCTTCACAACCCAATCGGGTTACCACGTTCCACACTCATCGCCAAGAAAACAAGATAGGGTGGACAAACCACTCCCAGAGACAGTGAGGGCTCCGACCCAACAAGATCGGGAAACTCAAACCTCTACTCAAGACACTTGGTACGTAGCTGGGAGCTGTTTAAAGGTTTTTTTATATATATTCGTTATATAGTTTTGCCCCTTTAATCAGATGAATCTAACCAAAAAAAAAAAAGAGAAAAAAGTGACTGACGACAAATGGGGCCATCAATGTCGATCAGGACGTGCGTACGTTTGGCACTCGAAGTTTAAGTTAAAGCGCGGAAAAGAAAAGGAACTTCTGGGCAAAAGAACGTCGAGCCCTGAGCCGTACGCCAGAAAAACCTACGCAGCCAGAACTCTCATGACTAACCAATTAAAGGAATAAGCAAACGGCGATCCTATGTGCACAACTCTGCTCACTTTGAAACCTTAAATTTCCGTGATCACAGTGTTAGGAGCTTCACGGGACATATGCGTTATGTATTACTATTTGATCACTGGTTTCTCTAGAACTCTACAGGAGTTCTATTCCACCTTTATATACTTTACCCAGAGGTCACGTGGACGGAACCTTTAGAACTCGAAAGAATATTCTATGAGTTGTCTAGAATGATATCTGACGGAACTCACAGTAATGGAAGTGCATATAGCCATATGCGCTTACAAGGACCATCAGTGTCAAGCTGATACCAGGGACCTTACACAGCCAATGAAATTACGTTTGAGCGGAGCTGAGTTCCGAAATATTGGAAAGGTCGATTTCACTTCGTTTTCACAATTTGGCGAGTCTAGCTATGTAATCTTTGTCAGAAAAGGGTTTTGGAATGAAGGTGAAATTGCATTTGGTATCTGCACAAATCAGACTCAGAGCATTCCTTTTGTAGTTGCCTCTTTTGGGTTATGGATTAACACAGGAAAAATGATTTTTCAAAAAGGCATTGGCTCTATGACTGAGTTATACATCGTTGGAAAGTCTATTGGAAATGACTCCTTGGTCATCACAAATAACGGATCCATTTGCTTGTATAACACTCATTGGAACACAAATATGGATATTAAAGGACACGGCTGTATTGCAGTAGGGTCTGATTCAAGACTTGAGATTAGTTTTTCAAGAGGTGTCAATGCTGTTCAAAACACCCAGACTATCTACTTAGAATCACCTGCTTCAGTATTGGCCATATCTGGCTTGACATCCTTACTGACTCCTCCATTCATAAATATTGCTGGATTTGGCCAACACAATTGGATTGACTTGGATATTGAGTTTAACAATCTGGCCACGGAGTATGATTATTTTGAGCATTCAGGATTGTTGGTGATAACACAGTCCAAAAGGCAAGTGGTTCAGATACAAATAGGAGAAAGCTACGATTTGAAGTATTTTAAATTGACAAGTGGACCGGCGGGCAGCAGATTAGTATACGAACTCCCTAGCCCAAACACACCACCTAGTGCATGTTCATGCGAACCAATATGTCAGAGCTATGGAGAAACTAGTAATTCTTCTTATGCTGCTACCTTTGGTACTGGAAGAAAGTGAAATTGGAAATTTCGGTTCAATCAGGTAATGATTGAGAAAGGATATTTCTGGTTTCTATAAGGGCAGTAAAAATGGGGCTTTTCGAAAGAAGAACTGCTTATCAGCTCTCAAGAAGCATCAAATATCTGTCTTGCTTTTTTTATGTTTTGTTCAATGCCTTCTAGAGGTTTTAGTTACATATGATATATATCATAGACCACCTCGCTGATAATCTTTGGAAATCAGATTAATTAGAATAGGTTCGTTTAAGTGGAATAGTGTAGTAGTAAGCATTAAGGACATCAAAACTTATTTAGTTATAACCCCCTAAAGAATTCTTATCGTATCCTTTTGATTACTAATGTATCTGTTTTGAGTCTTTCGGAGATGCACCATACATATTTTACTCAATTTAGTGTGGCTTGGTTGTTAATTTTTATTTCCTGTACATCGAGCTCTATCAAAAACTAGTTTCTATACTTTAGACAAATTTACAATTGATGAGAAGATAGGTCAATTAAGCAGGCTATTAAATTGGCATAAAGAAACTAAACGGACATGATCGTATTGCACGGCATTCGAGTTGAAAACAAAAAAAAAGATACTTGATGTTTGATTTAGACAGCAAAGAGTGCACGAAACAAATTTTCTGGGTGTAATTCTTATTGAAATTTCTTGATTAAGTTCGAACTTGTAATTCTTATTCTTCTTAAGGTTTGAGTAAGACCAGTGCACTCGAATTTAAGTTTAAAGTCCTTTTACAAGATACAGTTCGCTTTTTCTAGTTTGTGATGTCGAGCTTCTACTTTCGTGGAATTTTATTTTTAAGGTCAGAATGGCATCAGACTACTGTCAACATGACAATTGAGATATAATGTACAGTAAAAAGCCGCTTGTAAGAGAGAAAAACAGAGTTCTTAAGTCAGTTCGAACAGGAGACAAGTTTTGGGAGCTGCCCAACTCACATTGCACAGGAAAAGCATGTTCTGAAGGTTTTAGATTGCAAGTGAGTATGCAAGGTTAACCTTCAGTTTTTTTTTTTTTTAATGCAAGACCCGATACTTCCGCGTTTAACCTAGAATCAAAGTAATACAAAAGTGACAAGAATCCCGGATTTGTAAGTAAAGAATACTCGATAATCAAGCAGCGTGACTTTCTGGCAAAGCCTATAAGGCCAATATTAGAAAATTTTAATTTTCTATAACCCGAAAAAGATTTTGTGATACTTCACAGTGACCTGTTCTCATAAATTGCTACAATATGATTCTCGGTGTTATAAGGACAGCAATCACCTTGAATTTTGTTGCTTTGGTAACTTCAATGGAAATAGTTGATAGAACTGTGGCAAACAACAAAGCCGAGTTCGCCGAAGAAAGTCTTACAGTCAGTGCCGAAGTATATTTATCAATTGTTAACAGTTCACGTGTGACATTCCTGGACTCCGTTAGAAACTACGGCAGTCTTTATGTCACAAATCGTAACAATCAGGACGTTTGGGTGAGAATGTCAGGACAAGACTTCGAGAATTCTGGAACTGTTTCTTTTAGCTGTTTGACGACTCCAGTACTTTCTGATTATCACATCATGGCTACTAGATCGTTTGTGAATACTGGAAACATGTACTTTGGTGTTTATGGTGGAGACTATGGAGCTTCACCTTTTTCAGTGACTTCAGTGGCTACATGGACGAACAGTGGAATGATACTTTTTCTGGTAGCTCATGGTGAGAGTGCCCAGTTACAAATTCAACGATACACTCCGGATAATGGATATCGTTCCATAACAAACACTGGCTCTCTTTGCTTGAACAACACCCACTGGCCAGTACAGACAAACATAGAGGGAAATGGCTGTATTATTGTAGGTTCTGGTGGACAGCTAGACTTGCAATTCTCGGAAAGCACCCATGGAATTGCGGAAGATCAGACCATTTACTTGGCATCCTCCGACTCTTTGTTGAAGATTTTGGGACTAGAATCTTATTCAAGCGAGCCCCCGGTTATTAAGCTCGCTGGCTTAGGAGGAAGCAACAGAATCCAATTTCAAACGTATTCAACTCAGACATATCGATATTACACATCCACAGGTCTCTTGAATGTCTTTGTTGACAATGTTCGTAAAGTGTCATTCAATATTGGCATAGGATATGAGCTGGGGCTTTTTGATTCAACATCAGGTATTCTTTCCTATAGTGGAGAGCCACCAGATAGCGCCCCAGATGTTTGCAAATGTGGAACATCATTCCCCGCCGTTCCAAATACTTCTGGTTAGGCTCAGCCAAGTGCACAAAAAGCGTTTTTCAAAACGGAAATAATGCAAAAGATCTCCAGTCTTGCATCACTGTTATACATCAAGCTTCCACAGTATTGGCTGTGGTCGCAAACTACATATGAAAAATTTGTTTGAAATTCAGTTAAATTGTATGCTTGACATCAACAACATATAGCTCTGCGTGATTGTAATAAAACAGTGAATTTCACGCAAAATTCTTATTATTGCCCCTGCTTTCAGTGAAAGAAAGACTTGATTCTAGCTACTGTGCTGCTACTGTGCTTCTGGAATCATCGTCAGCAGCCCCGAGTATTATATATTGAAATACACCATTTAATCTACTAACATGGCATGGCGCTTGCTTGATCTCGCCGGGATGCGGGATATACCAAAACACTAATTGACGATTAGCAATATACTTATAACTAGCGGAAGGACGGGCCGAGCTTTTATGTCCATTGTATGGTCTTGCTCGTTGATCGAATATTTTATCCTGGTACTGCTGGCTATGCCAGTAGTTGGGAATATAGACAGGATCAGCTGGATGCTGTGTGGGTGTTTGCGCGGTCAAATCATAGCGAACGGCTATATAGCTGAAGCATGAAATGCGAAATACTAGTGCTAAAGCCCATGGGTCATGGCGCGTATCCTGTGATATGCCGTGACCCCGAAAACTGTGCCTTTGGGCCCCGGAATATCAGGACAGCCAGATTGGTGCAGTTTATGATTATAGGCCCATGTTGAAGATCTAGTTCCGGCCCCTGGCACGAGACGCTCTCGCCAGCGATTGCAGACTGTGCTAATAAACCGTTCCAGTCTGCGAGCGTTGGACTCCAGCTTCTGCCGATGATTAATTCTGGTATTGCAAGTTGCAATGGTAAGAGAGTCTACAAAAGTAGTGGGGCAGGCACTGTGGAACTAAACCGTATTCGGGGCACTGGCCAGCTTTCATCGGGAGACTACATACATGACTGATACATAGGATGGACATAGAGATGTCTTGTTTCCGGGATTTGCTGGCAAGTGTTTGGATGGGACAGGAGGTCTGCAGATGGCCAGGAAGAATAAATAGACGGATGCCATGTGACACTATTGAAGAGCTACCATCGTGTTCTGACGGACGATGGTATGGCGGTGGATTCGGCGAAAAAAGCGCATGCTAGAAGTCAACTCATATACTCAGTGATGTTATTAGTCTGGCATCATAATACAAACCTCACTTCAGAAAAAGCTTAAACGCGCCAGATGTGAGGATACAGAAAGAAGCTGGCGTTCGGCGACTTTGAGATGCTTCCATGGTGACAGGCTTGAACACATACACGAGCTCGAACAAAGATATACCCAATCACCTCTGCCATTTCAATATGTACAAAGATTTTTTCAAGTCAATTAGGTGCTTTCCGAGGGAAGCGTTGTCGGTGTGGTCTTTGAGGATTATACACGAGACGTAATCGTACAATCCATGGCGAGGCCGCTGAGCTGGTGGCAACGAAATAGAGTGATGACCTGTGAAAAGTATTTTGCACTTCATTGCAGAAGCCGCTTACAACATGTTTCTTCATCAGAAACAGCTTCAGTATATCATATATTAAGCAGATGAAAAGACCAAGAATACGTACCATGCAACATGGAATACACAAGGTTTTCTCAGAGATTTTGGTGACAGAATCCGGTTAGAGAGAACAGAAACACATAGGCATGGTACAAACATACTTGAGCTCGTCCTGCAACTTGGATTCGGCAGACTCGTTGGAGAAGGTCGTGGACTTTGGCGCAGACAGGCCTACAATGCCAAACTTCCAGTAGGAAGCAACGTGGATGGTCTGCGTGATGCCGGTTCTCATGAGGGCGGCCTCGGGGTTGTCGCTTCGGCCGGCACCCTCGAAGAAATAGCTCTAATTGCAAGGTAATCTCTGTGGCTGTAGAGTCTGGTGCGTTGGCGGAAAGTGTTTGTAGAGCGGACACTAAAATGATGCCTGGGGTTCCTTGATGAGCTTACTTGCGTGTTCGATTGACTATTATCACACAGACGAATATTTGGACATGGAAAAAGATTTAACACGGAAAAAGATTTAACACGGAAAAAGATTCAAACATGGAAAAAAAAAAAGAGAAGATCAAACTGGGGAAACAAAGACTGCAAACAATTGCAAGAGAGAAACAAGAGAAAGGGGTTCGAATTTGCCGGAGTACCTTGATACTGTCACCCTTGCCCATCTAACACGCCTGATAAATATGATTCAGCTGGAGAAACCCGATGAACTATCTAACAAAAAACGAATGCACATTCATCGTATTCTGCAATCGTCAAGGTATGCGGAACAACTGCTATACTGAAGAACTGATTGTCTAAGGACCCTGGTGCCTTCAAAGATGGATGCTGAAAATTCTTCATTACAACTTCCAGCTTTTGTTTCAGTCCGGGCAAGCTAATGTTCTTGCTGACCATCTCTCTCGAAATCCCACTTTCAATCCTTCGTCACTTACACCGGTGGGTGCAGTCATGCAACTCATTCTGGATCCACTCTGGATGGACCGACTTCTGGGCGCTTATTCTCTGGACCCCGCTTTCGGGGCGATTTATACGTTTTTCACAGAGAATGGACTTACGACTTCGAAGAAGTACCCCGCTTACAAATTGATTTCAGATACGGGATTGTTGTATTTCGAAGGGCGCTTGTGCATTCCTCACAGCATCCTCCCCGATTTCCTTTTTCAGACTCACTGTGCTCCCTCTGCTGGTCACCCTGGTATACGCCGCTGGTTGCAATGGCTCCGCCCCCTTTACTATTTTCCCGACATGCAAGCAGTCGTGGAAAATTACGTCAAGAGCTGTCACGAATGTCAAACCGTGAAGTATAACAGCTCCAAACCTCAGGGCCTTCTTCAGCCCTCTGATCCACCTTCCGGTCGTTGGACCGACATCGCCCTCGACCTCATCACCGGCTTCCCTCAGGTTGATTTTCAAAGTCAACAGGTCGATGCTATCCTTACAGTGGTGGATAAGTTTAGGAATCGCGTACATTTTTACGCCGTGCGGTCCGGTTTTAAAACCGAAGATCTTGTGCATTTGTTGCTTCACAGATATTTTCCACTCCATGGTTTACCCAGGTCCATCCAAACAGACCGCGGCCCCCAATTCACTAACGTAGCGCTTCAGTCGCTTTTAGCACTTCTTCGCGTTGACTCAAAACTATCTCTTGCTCGCCACCAACAATCGAATGGTCAAGTCGAGAATCGGAACAAGATGATTGAGACATAGCTCCGACTTTACGTCGGCCTGCGGCAGGACTGGCCGGAATTTCTAGCCGTGGGCGAGTTTGTCTTGAACGCTCAACCTTCTACATCTCTTGCCAACAAAGCTCCATTTGAGGTTTTCCTTGGTTATGTTCCCTCCACACCCATGGGTTTTCTTTTCCCTCCCGTTGACTCGCAACCCCCTCGGTCCGCTCTTGATATTACCGAGTTACTCGATAGGTTGCGTGGCCCTGCGCTTGCTGCGCATCAAGCCGCTTTCTCCAATGCCAAGCATTACTATGACCGACGCCACAAACATCAACTATTTTCCGTCGGCGATGAAGTCTATCTCGATCTTCCGCAGCTCGGAAATCAGCTCGACGCTCAAAATTCTGCTGTCTTGCCCGAGTTGCGTTCGAAATTTGCTGGGCCGGTTGCCATCGCTTCTGTTCTTAGTCCAGTCAACTGCGAGCTTGCCATGCCCCCAGATTTTCGGGACACCCAGTTTTCCACATTAGTCAGCTCCGGCTCAAACACAAAATTCCGGAGGAATGTTTCTCTGCTCCTCACTCTCTGGTTCCGTTGAAGCAGTCTCCCGGCGGCTCTGTGCAAGTGGAAATTACGAAAATCGTGGAACACCGAAAAGTGGCCACCGGCTATCGCTTACTGGCTAGATGTGTCCCGACGGCAGAATTCCCCAAGGCGAGATCGATGAGTTTCGTGCTTCTGATCTAGCGAAGTCCGCATCCGAACTTACGTTGGCCTATGCAAAGAAGTATTGTCTTTCTAGAATTCTTGAGTTTTCTCTGACACCTCTTCTGAAACTGGCGGGGATGTAAGGTCCCTGGTATCAGCTTGACGCTGAAGGTCCTTGTAAGTGCAGATCTGACCATCCTCCATGACTGTGGGTCCCATCAGATATCGTTTTGGACAACTCCTGGGATCATCTCCCGGGTTCTAAGGGTTCACGTGACCTCTGGGCAAAGGATAGGAAGGTGGAAGAGAACGTCTGTAGAGTTGTCGACAAGCCGGTGATGAGTAGTAATGTCGCGAAAAGTCCAACAGTTAACCTGACGAACCAACTGGCAAACAATAGACGCATCGATCGATTCTATGCGCCCAAATCATGGCGAAGGAATGCATGGAAATATCAAATAACAAAACCAGAAGGCATAATATCCACCCATCATATGATCTCCATCCAATATGTTATCAGACGAGAGACAGATATCCAGACAGGTCAACCACGATTTCAATACCCGTTGCGAAGACTAGAACCACCATTTGACGAAGTTAAAACAAGAAAAATTAGACGGAACTTCAGTATCGAAGAAGCCCTTCTCTCAATTAAGAACGATGGAGTCGAATATATTAATGTTATGGGTGCGATTCGTAAGCATAACCCTTCGTTCGCTGACGCCATTCTCCATGATCACTCCCAGATGCTGAAGAAGAACCTTGCGAAAGCAGCCACCAAAACATTTTTTCGAAGAGCTAAACCAGAAAAACATATTTTTGTGAAACTCGTTGATGGTGCACAGAGACTATCCGCTTCTACAACATCCTCGATGCTAGCCCTAGCTAAAGGTTTTTATCAAGAGCTTTATAAACTACCTGATCAGATGGACGAAGGAGAAGTAGATGATTTCATCCGACCTTTGAGCAAATCCATAACTACAATAGAAAAGGCGGAATTAGAAAGTCCATTCACTGCAGACGAATTACACAGAGCCCTTTAAGCCCGTTCATATTTAATCTTGCGTTGGAACCTTTCCTATGCCATCTAGACAAAATGAAAGGCTTTTCAATATCTTATGAGAAAATACCTATACACACAATTAAATATCATGCATTCGCTGATGATGTGAATGTTTACCTTCGCGACGAACAAGATTATGAGATGGTGGGTCAAATCATTAGCAACTTTGAGAGCGTGAGCAACAGCAAAGTGAGTGCAACCAAATCGCTCCTCCTTAGATTCTGTGAAACCTATGAGAATCAAACTCATACGATATTACCGTTCCCGCAAAAATTCATCGGACGGGTAGAGATGAAATACCTTGGGATACACCTCAACGGTGTCAACTGGCAAAACCTACTATCTAATCTTCCCCTATACAAATATTTCCGGGGTTATTCACAAATCGACCTTATAGAGCGTGCTCAGAGTACAGTGCTGTATATGTGCTCGAAAGTGGTATACACTGACCTCGTTCAGTGCATGAGTTCTTCGGAACTCGCGCAAATGGATGCAGCAATTAAAAAAGTGTTTTATAATGTGGGAAAAGATAAAATGCTTGCTCGCCCCCAAAATGGGGGATATGGGGTACTTGAAATGAAAACGCAGTTGCAAGGACATAGGGCAGGGACGCTTTTATATGCGGCAATTTCAGCAAGAAATTGGTATGATCACTACTTGAGGTTAAAAATGCTCCATCATATGGCCAAGATCATCATGAACAATGAAAATACGAGTGTTAACTGGATAGGAAACCTCTCATGGGTCGACTTCCTACTAAATCGCAATAATCGGTTTTATCGAAATCTAAATTGGACATTTACGGCCAGCGAAGAACAGTACATTGATGCATGGATCACGCTCAATAGGTAGAACTCTACCTCGGCGATTAACATCGGAAGAGCAAATCACACAATATATCACTAAAGAAGTGAGAGTAGGCACTCCGGGTAAGTTTGTACTTTCAGTTGACGAGTTTGAGTTATTTAAAGCAACGAACTTCAAGTCATTGAGCAAAAGAAAACAGGAGAAATTACCGCCGATTATACCGGACAAGTTTACCACAATTTGCCCGGAAGTGAAGGTTGAAGCAAGATGGTCAAAATTTTGGAAAGCAATGTACACATATGAATGGAGGGCAAGGAAAGATCTCACCGCCCTTCATTTGTTTAATTTTGGGTCGTATGTTCCCATTCACAATATCACACCTGAAATCCCACAGTTTCAATGCCATATATGCCTTCAGAGGGTCAATCTGGAACAAATTCTAAGACATATCTACGATGAATGTGAAAGAGTTCAAAATATATGGCGAAAGATTGGATTCACCAAAAGGATGAATCTTAGAGAAATGTTGGCACCTACCGATCAGTCATTTGAGAATTTGCGGAATCTAAATTGGTTTGTCAAAACGGTAAAGAAAGTCTATGCGCTCCAGAAAAGGAGAGCTGATAGTGGTCAGACACTACAGACGGTATCGCATAGACTGTTGATTGGCGCCCTCGGGCGAACACCTCATATGGGCCGATGACATAAGTTAGGAAACAGGAAAAAGAAGGTAATACAAGAAGTGGGGTTATGCTGAGCAGAGAGAAGCCTCTTTCGTGTCTTTGAAAAGACAGGTGGTGGGTTCACTCGCAGATTGATGGTAAACATGGATCTACTCAAGATAACAACACGATCGATTATGGGTTTTTCTATAGAGTCTATAGTTTTAGGTAGGTGGTAGTACCGGGGCTGTTATGTGTTAAAAAAAAACAAACAAGCAGTATCGGATACTACTATATACCGTCCCATAATTAGATGTTTCTTTAAAAAAAAAAAACGTCGTTGACAGGACTGACTGTATATAATCATCCAGGCGCGAAGGGGATCAGAAGTCGCGCAATAAATCTTCACTGTTTGGTCTGATAGCCGCTCGCACTTTTTTATACAACAGTGTCGATGCATACAGCATCTTTACACGGGGCTACTGTGCTGGGGCTAGGAATGTTTTTTTTAAAAAATTCCGCCTCCGTCAAGATTGTCTGTCTTTGAAAATTCTCGAATAGCTGATGAACTGATCATGATGTAAATTTGTTACTATTAATCATCATTGATGTCAGGGGCCTTCGAGATCAACGTGATGATGCGGGTGCCTCTATGCTGCTTTTTTTTCTTCCAGCTTAACTTCGCTAGGTTTATTGTTTTCGGCTGCTCTACTGGATCAGAAAGATCTCTTTGTTCAGATGTGGTTTAGTCAAGGTACGCGCGATGCTAAAGGACTCCGGATCGCCCGATTGCCAAGATGTTGAAGTCTACCCTGCGTGAAGCGCGCATTGAAACTATAGGCCTACTTAGAGCCTTGGTCAATGTTGTAGACAGTCCTAGTATGCGTATATGTCTCCTAAGGCACCTTTCATCAGAACATAGGGGTCTTCCACTTTGGGGATGGAAGTGTCCTGACTAGGAGTTGTCTGATAACGTAAGAATCGATTAAGATGTAGATCTATGAAGAGGAGTTTCCCTTAAAGAAGGAAGAAAGGAGACATGAAAAGTTTGTCTTATATAGCTGACCACTGCGAGAGTGGCTTCGCCTTTAGAGTACGTATCCCAACCACCATTCTGGTTGGGTCATCTATCTCAACACAAGACTAGTCGATAATGTGCAGGTTTTAACATTTATCCCTGGAGTGCTCGTGTTAGAACAATAGTAGTATGACAGGACATGGGCAGCTCGAACTTCCTGGGGCGAGGACTGATACTTGTAAAAAGATCCATTTACTCTGATAAGATGAGTGATGACTCTTGAAAAAGACCTGAAGAAGAAATAGTGGAGAATGTAGCACTGAGAAATGCGGGACTTGAGTGGCCGTTCTGCTTTCTTTCAAAGTGTTTAGTATCAAGCTCACGTGAACAGACCCTTGTGAATTATGGTCTTCTTATACTACAGAATCATGCAGCCCATTTTATGCGAAATTGCATGTCACCAAAAGTCATTGGAATATATACTTCGTATTGAGCTTCTTTCAATAGCTGGTAAGGTGTTATGATCTCGCTTGAAATGCTCCATTGCAACTCATCCGTGGGATTTGATAGAACAGATTCTCGGATTCAATTTGTGATGCTATCCACCTATCAGATATGTATGAGTGCGAGACCCTTGTACATGTTAAGAGTGGGTACCTTATTTGCAAATTTGACAAGCTTCATCAAACGGCTGCTTCATATGTTTAAAATTTGAAGAGGAAGACGCAGAGTTCAACTTTCAAATATACTTACGGGCTCTTTATTTTATCATCCTTTGGGGATCTCATAGTCTCTTGGCCATATTCTGTTTTATGTAGTCCAAGCCAGAAACTATTGGGAAAAGCTCATTGACTGGCGAGATGTCTCGGTGTTGATTGTAAATTTGACAGTTCGCAACAGTAATTTTCCAGGCTTTTTGGAATCTTCAAAATGGCGAGCGGCGTTCTTTGTCGCTCGAAAGATGCGCTGAGAAATTGGAGATTTCTGTCACTATATATAAGGTGGTTTGCTCTGTCTAGTCATGTTTCAGGAGCTAGGCCACTCTCTCATCTCTGTGAACCATAACAATTCTCGTTTATTAATACAGGCAAGGTGGTTTTTCAGAGATCCAAGGTCTAAAATCAATGTCTTGAGCAGCTTTGCCTCATTCTAATTCGACGACTCACCAAGTCCATAGCGCTGCGGCAGATGAGATACGTCTAAATTCTAATGGCTATTGTTCGTTTATGAAAGCTATAACCCAAACTTGCTCAGGATGTGCGCACTCAACCGCAAGATGAACAATTCAAAGAGTTGAATGCATCACGTGATTCTCATCATAGCTCGAATTGAACAAGTCGTTTCTCATGACTCAAGACTCCGAACTATCCTTGTGAACTTTCCATCGTGTATTTGATTTTTCGAAATGGCGTCTTTTTTTTCAGACCACAAAAATCATCCAGCGAATGTCATCTGTGAGTTGTGCAGATTGTTCTACGATAACAACTGGGTCACTGGGACCGGAGGTGGAATTTCAATCAGAGACGTCGATGGAGAAAATCCAGACATCGTGTACATAGCCCCCTCGGGTATTCAAAAAGAAAGGCTTCATCCCAAAGAAATGTTTGTTGCAGAGCTTCCTGACAAAATCTTGAGAAGTCCCAACGAAGACAATGAGAAAGAGCCCTTGTCCCTAGACTTGGCAGCAAACTTCAAGTATAAGCCACTGGCTTGCACGCCGCTTTTTTTGAGCATATACAATCTCCGGGACGCAGGGGCATGTATCCATACTCATTCGCAAAATGCGGTATTGGCAACTATGATTTGGGAGGACAAGCTCGTTTTCGAGATGAATAACCAGGAGCAAATTAAGGCCCTTCCTAAGCTCGAGATGAATGTAGCAACAGGCAAAATTGAAAAAGTCGGAAGCTTGCATAATCATGAGACAATGGTTATTCCAATTGTCGATAATACGCCTCTTGAGGAGGACTTGACCGAGACTTTGGAGGCGACTTTAAAGAAGTATCCTGGTGCCACCGCTGTCTTAGTTCGCCGCCATGGTATCCACGTGTGGGGAGAAAACATCTGGAAAGCAAAGATATACAACGAGGCCATCGACTATTTATTAGAGTTGGCTATTAAGATGCACCAGAACGGAATTCCCTTGATCAAAGATTAAGGCGGGCACGGCCTGATCTCTAGTTTGAAGGATGCTGATCTTCGAAGGAGTCAGAGATAAAGACAAGCATGGTATTATCGTAATACGCCGCACTATTAGCCAAAAGCAATTGACCGGCAGAAAATGTCGTAGGGAATGTCTTTGAAAACTATGAATGTGCGTCTTTCTTTTGTAGGAACAAAACTTTTGCAGGTTTCACTTGATGCCAGAATGAGTTGTTAAAGTGTCCCTGACAGGTGTCATAGTGGGTTTTTTGTTCCCTTTAGCTCTTCACCATTAATAGTCATCCAATCGATATCTGCAAGCTCATCAACTTCCCCCACACATACCACACTACCTCCTCGAAGCAAATACACACCTAGCAGTAGCATCTGGTTTTCTTCATTTGGATATATGATCCGTTCTATTGTGTCAGATAATATCACGTTGGTCGAGTGGTCAAAACTGCTGAGCGTCCCCTCAAAAAGACGAGCGTCCGTCGTGACAACACGCACTTTCTCTGCACGTTAGTAAATTCCAACTGATTCGGCTCATTTTAAAAAGTTATGTACATACTTCCAAGATATTCTTTGAGGGCGGACATGTTTTCACAACCTAGCTACACTGGTACATTGGCCCTGTGAACCTGATGTCGCCCTCTCCACTGGAGTCACGTGTGTATCTGCACGTGTGCGAAACGATGTCGCGGGATAGAATCATAAAGCAACGCGCCTCACTTACGACCTGCAACTATTTTGCACGGCATTCGATTGTGAGCTTACATGGAAAAAGTGTGACCGCTTTTCTGACAAGTTAATAGCTTTTTATATTAGTCATGAAATCAAATTTGTGTAAAAGGACTGGGATCGCGGGGATCACAGGCCCTCTTAAAAAATAGAAACAAATGATAAAAGAAAAAGCCTCCACAATTAATTATATTTTGTGTTGAGCGCGGTTTGTACTAATTTACAAAATACTTAATCTTAAATCATCATAAAAAACACTACATCTACGATTCAGTCCAAGTAAGTCACCAAGAACAATTAAACCGGGGCCAAATTATCACGAAGCATATCGTTTCTCTATGACTTTTCTGTGGCAAGAACAAGAAGTCGACTTCAAAATATTGGGCTACTCAGCTGGTGATCACGTGCTGCTAAGTATATACAGATAAAACGACGCTGGTTACAAAGAAATACGTCTTCTTCGTGAGACTGGTTTTGTACAGTACTCGTGAATGGGCAAACCGTGATCGGCCGGACGGCATGTATGACCTGAAGACTCATCTTGAAATTTAGGCTCATGTTCAGCTGGTCGGTCACAGGTGGCACCAGTGCTGGTCCCGCAACGGAAGGCGAATGCGAAAGCGAGCGAGCTCTGGTCACGTGACAAAAACGACTGCGCGCATTAGTCGCCTTAAACGGCAGGTTTGCCTCTCCGTTGACAGGCACTAGCTTGGCATCTACGCGAAATGACTCAACACCTTGTGAGTTTTGCCCTGAATATATGCGGCACTATGCGCACTCGGCATCGAAAGAAGGCAAAAACGAGAAATCATCGCATCGCTTTCGGCAACCGCTTTTCGCCAGCTGCAACGCAGCCGCACATATATAATGGAATATCGACGGCCCAACCCGTTGGCATTTGTCGCCACAACCAGTTATTTTCCTTAGATCGCTACAATTATCCACTAACTCAACTTTATTACATTTGATTCACTTTACTGTTTAATAATCATTTCAAAGACCAGCGCATCACAATATTATGTCAACTAAGTCCCTTGAGTCTAGCAGTCGGACATATGAGGTTTCGGGACAAAGCGGGCCAGAGCCACAAAACGGCTCCGTGTGGCAAAATTTCAAGGACTCATTCAAGCCTGCGGACCAGGTGGTATTAAATTTGGATGACTTGGATGATGTGGAAAAGGCAAACTTGCGGGCCGCCAATTCCCAGCTTCTGAAGAAATTGAAAAATCGCCATTTGCAAATGATTGCCATCGGCGGCTCTATCGGAACTGGTCTTTTTGTTGGTTCTGGTTCCGCGTTATCCACTGGCGGCCCTGGTGGGATTGTCATTGCTTGGGCCATCACGGCAACCTTTGTTTTCACCACAATGCAAGGGCTTGGAGAGCTCAGTACCACGTTCCCCATCAGTGGTGGGTTCAACATATACGCCACACGATTTATCGAGCCGGCGGTTGGATTTGCGATTGGATGGAACTACTTTCTTCAGTTCTTCGTGCTTCTTCCCTTGGAACTAGTTGCCGCGTCCATCTCGATTCAGTATTGGAATGCCGACTTGAACCCGGATATTTTTGTTGCCATCTTTTGGGTACTTGTTTTTGCCATCACCATGATGGGCGTTCGGTGGTACGGTGAGGCCGAGTTCATTTTTAGCATGATCAAGGTCGTCACTGTTATAGGATTTATTATTTTGGGCATAGTGCTTATTTGCGGCGGTGGTCCCACCCATGATTTTGTGGGTGGCAGGTACTGGAGAAACCCCGGAGCTTTTGCCAATGGCTTCAAGGGTGTATGTTCCGTGTGGGTCACTGCGGCGTTTTCTTTCGGAGGAACCGAGATGATTGGATTGGGTGCAGCCGAGGCGGCCAACCCAGCAAAGGCCCTTCCAAAGGCCATCAAACAGGTGTTTCTCCGGATCACGATTTTCTACTTGGGAACTATTGTGGTCATTGCCACGCTTGTGCCGTATGACGACAGCCGTCTTTTGAACGCCACGTCTTCTGCAGATGCCTCGGTGTCGCCGTTTGTAATTGCCATTGTCAACGGTGGTATCCAGGGCTTGCCCAGTGTGATTAATGCAGTAATTTTGATTGCTGTCTTATCTGTGGGCAATGCCTCTGTGTACGCGTGCTCGCGTTCTCTCAACTCGCTTGCTGAACAAGGCATGGCGCCCAAGTGGACCGGGTATGTCGACAGAAAAGGCCGGCCATTGTTTGCCATTATCATCACAAACTTGTTTGGACTCTTTGCGTTTATCGCTGCCTCCGACAAGCAAGATGACGCGTTCAACTGGCTTCTTGCATTGTCTGGACTCTCGTCTATCTTTACCTGGATGTCTATCAACTTCTCGCACATTCGGTTCCGGGCTGCCATGAAGCAACAGGGCCGCTCTTTGGATGAGTTGGTATTCCGCTCAGCAAGTGGTGTTTTGGGATCCTGGTACGGACTTGTGATGAACTTTTTGGTGCTTGTGGCCACGTTCTGGCTCTCGCTATTTCCTCTCCACGAAGCCCCCAATGCATCAAGCTTTTTCCAGGGCTACTTGGGTCTCCCCACGATTCTTCTCTCTTGGATTGGGTACAAAATCTACTCGAAGTCGTGGAGAATGTTGATCAGTGCTGATAAAATTGACTTGGACACAGGAAGACATATTCCAGACATGGATCTCATTCGCCAGGAAGAGGCCGAGATGGCAGCTGAGTTGGCAAACCAGTCGTGGTGGCGCCGGGCACTCGCGTACATTTTCTAATTGCGTCTCCTCTCTTGCATTATAGCATCACATAAATTCATAGGTATTGTAATAATTGACTTTATAGATTTGACTTAGGCAGCAACTCCCTGTCATGATAAATGTCCAGAGAATAAGTTTCTTCGATGATATCAAGGCACAAAGGAGTAAGAAGATATTCTATGATGTGGTTCTTCAGATATACAGCTGATTCATACATGTTAGGCCCAGTAAGTCAACTATTTGACTTCAAATTCATGACTATTGATATTTAAAATGTTTTAGGCGGCCAACAATAAAGGTGAGTTTCGAGGCCATGGAGTTGATAAATGAGCGTGCCCGAAATTCCGCGGGCACGACCAGAAGAATGGAAATGTGTCAGTAGGACGGCCTGACCATTTAGACTGCAAGTGGTTTTTTGCTAGTACTACGTCAAATTCATATGGATGACATCTATACACGCATTACTTGAGATGCCAAGGAATTAGACCAGGCTGCATTGAGAAAGTTGTGCCCCTCCTACCATTTAAGGTTTATTAATTGATTTAGCCAATAATTGCAGCACACAAGATTCTGACCATAAATTTGACTGAAATTTACTCAAGTCGAAGACGAGACATATTTCTATCGCTCAGTCAGAAAGCTGGGAGATACTACACCTAACCTAATACACGAAAAATACATTTCATTTGGTCTCGCCTCTTACTGGAGATCGAACCGGGTAGAGTCAATATGATTTGGAAACTTGATTGGACTAATTGGTATTTTAAAAGAGTCACTGGAATTATTTGATAAATATCACATTGTATCACGCAAAGCTGCATGCCAGCGATTATTCTTTTAATTTTCAAATGATTCTATTAAGTGCGGAAAACTTTGCTATATTCAAAAAGGGGATCTCAAATTCACACACGTTAACCCAATATCTGTCATTCAACACATCGTGTTGTAGATTCTGACGTACCAAGGCTTGCTGGCCAAGATAGCCCTCTCTTCGGCAAGCTCCTGCTTCAAGAGCTCCAAGTCCAACTCTCTTCTTCCAGTATCAATGTCGATGTCCTTGATCTTAATGTAAAACTTCCAGTTCCTCTTCCACAACTTATGGCCAATGTAGAATGCCATGACCACAGGGACAGACAAATATGACTGAAAGAAACTGGAGGCATCTGGCGAGCCGCCAATTGGCCACAAGGCAATCCAGAATTGAGCAATGACTACTAAGACATTCAAAAGAACACCATAGCATGAGCCAATGATACCGGCCTGCGAAACAAATGCAAGCTCGTCCTTACCTCTGCCTTGGTGAGCAAGAGCCATTCTGAATCTAAGGTGACACACACAGATGGAGCCCCAAGTAAACAAGGAAGACATACCGGAAAGAGCCAACAACCAGTTAAAAACATCGCCCTCTTTACCGGAAGCAGAGACAAAACAAATCAAACCAAAAATAGACTGAAGAATAATACCGAACAAAGGTCTTCCTTTCTTGTCGATGTAGTTGAAAATCTTAGGAGCTTGGCCGGCAGCAGCCAATGCAGCCAATGTTCTGGAGGAGCCATACACGGAAGAATTGCCAACAGACAAAACGGCAATCATGATGACGACGTTCATGACAGATGGCAAGCCGCTAATTCCGGCATTGTTAATGGCAATGACGAAAGGAGAGTATTTGGCAGTGCCGTCAGAGCCTTGCAAGTCAGGACTGTCATATGGCACAAGGCATCCGACCAAAATCAAAGACACGATGTAGAACAAACAAATTCTCCAGAAAACCTGCTTGATTGCTTTGGGCATAGTTTTTCTGGGGTTAACAGACTCAGCCGCAGCCAAACCAACCAACTCAGTACCTGCAAAAGCAAAAGCAGCAGTTACAAACACAGAGCACAAACCCTTGAAACCATGATTGAACGCACCTGGATCGTGCCAGTATTTGCCACCAATGTATCCGCCGACTGGTCCACCACCGCAGACTAAGACAATGCCTAGTATAATGAAGCCAATCACTGCGATGACTTTGATTGTCGAGAATATGAACTCGGCCTCACCATAACCCTTAACACCGAAAAAGTTGATGGTGATAATAAGCACATAGAAAATAGCAACATAAGCGGCAGGATTTGTTTTGTCATCCCAGTATTGCACTGTAATTGCTGCAGCCACCAATTCCAACGGCATAACCACCAACCACTGCATGGCGTAATTCCAAGCCATGGCAAAACCCCACGAAGGGTCAATGAATCTGGTGTTATAGGTAACGAAGGCACCCGAAACTGGGAATGTGATTGCCAACTCACCCAAAGCATGAACAGTGGCAAAAATCATGGCACCAATCAAAGAATAGGCAATTAATACGGAAGCGGGACCACCGTTTTTCAAAACCTGGCCGGATCCAATAAATAAACCTGTCCCAATGGAGCCTCCAATTGCAATCATTTGTAAGTGTCTTCCTTTCAAGGATCTCGAAAGTGGCGAGTTGGCAGTGACAATGGCGGCCTTCTCAATTTCAGATAAATTAGGGTCAAGGCCCAATTCTGCCTCGTCGAATCTTTTGAAGCCGTCGACAAATCGGTCCCATCTGCCTAAAGGTGCCTTTTGCTCTTGAGCGTCGAAAGCATCAATATAAACGCCTCCGTCTTTGTCCGTAGAAGAGGCCTGCTCTCTAGAAGTCACGTAATTCAATTCCTTTTCCGGCATCTTTAGTTATTGGCAGCCAATAGAGTGAGATGATGGAGGGTGCTAAAGTTATAACTTGATGCTAAGAAAATTCTTTGATGGAAATGTAATGTTGAGACGTTTACCCGTGGGAAATTTATAATCTTATATATTGATTTATCTCGATTTTGCCAACATCTATCCACGGTACGATGTTTCGTAGGAGTGTGTATGCAGTGAAGATAGGACCCCCCGCTGTTATCTGGGCACAGGAACAGTTGCTTTTTTTTCAAATCGCCGCGTTGCCTGCGCATAATATCCGGTGTTGCGTGATGAAGTTACCTTAATCTCTCCAACATTTCCGAATTCAGATAGGAGATATATCAGCTTTCAAAAAAAAGTAGAGGCAGCTGTGAAGAAATACTCTAAATCCATTGGATTTCACAATGTCTCCGTTTTTCAGTGAATAAATTGAAAACTCTCGAGGGCGCAAGGGCTTTCAAAAAGAAACAAGAGAGATGGGGCCATTTTCCGAGGGTTGGCACCGTGCATTATCACAGTTTCGCCAACCCTCCAGTTCTCTTCGCTTGTACCGTGCGTGATACAGTAACCCAGTCCTATTATCAATAGAATTATTGGGGCCGGCATCTCGGTGCTTAAACCCCGAGAAGAGAGGAGTTCTTTCAAACCCAGTGATAAGCTTTATGTAGTATGACAGCTCTGTGCAGTGCATTACATAAAGGTTTTTTTCTGTCAAACAAAATGTGGCCTTTTCCTCGAACAATAGACTCCCTGCAGAAGCATAGAAACTGTCAATGTGAATAGATAAGTCCAACTACCAACAGAAGTTTTAGTCTTGACAAGAAAACTAGGAGTGTCATGTTTCAGGAAGCGCACAATTGGGATACTTGGTTGACACATTCGCGATCCAGCAACAATTGACGAATCCTTTGCATGAGGTACCTAGCTAATGGTTCAAAACTTCATTGCTTACAGCTGATAACTAATATCCCAATCACCTCTGTTTTCATTGCCATTGTGTTTAAGAAACTAACCAAACAGAACCATTCCCTAATTCTTGTTATTCGTGAGAGGAGACACATTTGTTTGAGCAGTTGTTGTCCATAGCTTTAGAAATTTCTCGAGCTTGAAAACAAGCACAATTGGATGAAGTTTCAACAGTACAGGAAGTTCGTAAGCAGAATTGCTCGTAAGAGACACATTCCTTTGATTAGAAATATGAAAATTCATCATTGTAGCACATAACGTGAGGATGACCCGTGTATGTCAATATAGCCTTTGTTGCAGTATTACACACTATCATCCCTGGTTCAGCATAATGTGTAAAACTAAAGCAAGCGGAAGTACTGGGCGTTGAAATTACTTTATCTTCAAACTCATCGTTCAAGTTGGTTGGTAGAGATCATGACAGATTGAACTATCTTTTCATCTTCCCGAATAAACAAACGTCGTTTTGGTGTCATAGGATCTCAAATTACATATATGTAGTCTGTATACCTTGTACAAAGAATGCATGCAATATGCCATTTGTATTACATAACACCCATCAAATCTTCTCAGAACGGCCAAAATGGATACAGGCGAGCTCCTCAATATATTTATAATTTCAAAAAAAGTTCTTTATAAATCTAAAAGCGTTAGCCGGCGCAAACAGCATCTCTTGAAAAGGCACAAATTACAAGGTTTTATTCATTGTAATTAAACTGGTGGGCGAGTTTCTTATCAGAAAAAGGCCATAAATATTGAGACTTCATACAATTATAGTGACCCGCAACTGTATTAGCGGTTTTCTGAGATTTAAAGTGTATACTAATATCGTCTGCCCAGATCCTGGATCTCGCATCCACCTGCATTACCTGAAAGCCGTCATTTAACACATCGTATTGTAGATTCTGACGTACCAAGGCTTGCTGGCCAAGATGGCCCTCTCTTCGGCGAGCTCCTGCTTCAAGAGCTCCAAGTCTAAATCTCTCCTTCCAGTATCAATGTCAATATCTTTGATCTTAATGTAAAACTTCCAGTTCCTCTTCCACAACTTATGGCCAATGTAGAATGCCATGACCACAGGGACAGACAAATATGACTGAAAGAAACTGGAGGCATCTGGCGAGCCACCAATTGGCCACAAGGCAATCCAGAATTGGGCAACGATGATCAAGAAGTTTAAAAGTACACCATAGCATGAGCCAATAATGCCAGCCTGCGAAACAAAGACAAGCTCGTCCTTGCCTCTGCCTTGGTGAGCAAGAGCCATTCTGAATCTAAGGTGACACACACAGATGGAGCCCCAAGTAAACAAGGAAGACATACCGGAAAGAGCCAACAACCAATTGAATACTTCTCCTTGCTTACCGGAGGCAGAAATAAAACTGATTAAGCCGAACAATGACTGGAGGATGATACCGAACAAAGGTCTTCCTTTCTTGTCGATGTAGTTGAAAATCTTAGGAGCTTGGCCGGCAGCAGCCAATGCAGCCAATGTTCTGGAGGAGCCAAAAACAGAGGAATTACCAACAGACAAAACGGCAATCATGATGACGACGTTCATGACAGATGGCAAACCACTGATTCCGGCATTGTTGATGGCGATAACGAAAGGCGAGAATTTGGCAGTGCCGTCAGAGCCTTGCAAGTCAGGACTGTCATATGGCACAAGGCATCCGACCAAGATCAAAGACACGATGTAGAACAAACAAATTCTCCAGAAAACCTGCTTGATTGCTTTGGGCATGGACTTTCTTGGGTTGACAGACTCAGCCGCAGCCAAACCAACCAACTCAGTACCTGCAAAAGCAAAAGCAGCAGTTGCAAACACAGAGCACAAACCCTTGAAACCATTATTGAAAGCACCTGGGTTATGCCAGTACCTACCTCCAATGTATCCGCCGACTGGCCCACCACCGCAGACTAAGACAATGCCTAGTATAATGAAGCCAATAACCGCAATGACCTTGATCATGGAGAATACAAACTCGGCCTCACCATAACCTTTGACACCGAAAAAGTTGATGGTCACAATAAGAACGTAAAAAATAGCAACATACGCAGCAGGATTAGTTTGATCGTCCCAATACTGAATTGTAATTGCTGCAGCCACCAATTCCAACGGCATAACCACCAACCACTGCATGGCGTAATTCCAAGCCATGGCAAAACCCCACGAAGGGTCAATGAATCTGGTGTTATAGGTAACGAAGGCACCCGAAACTGGGAATGTGATTGCCAACTCACCCAAAGCATGAACAGTGGCAAAAATCATACCACCAATCAACGAGTAGGCAATTAATACGGAAGCGGGACCACCGTTTTTCAAAACCTGGCCGGATCCAATAAATAAGCCTGCGCCGATGGAGCCTCCAATTGCAATCATTTGTAAGTGTCTTCCTTTCAAGGATCTCGAAAGTGGCGAGTTGGCAGTGACAATGGCGGCCTTCTCGACTTCAGATAAATTAGGGTCGAGGCCTAATTCAACCTCATCGAATCTTCGAAAACTGTCGACAAATCGGTCCCATCTGCCTAAAGGTGCCTTTTGCTCTTGAGCGTCAAAAGCGTCAATGTAAACACCTCCTTGCTTATCAGTAGAAGAGGCCTGCTCCCTGGAAGTTACATAGTTCAACTCTTTTTCCGGCATCTTAAATTATTGAAAGCCAGTAGGTGAGAAGTTTACTGAATACTAGACTGGGCAGTCAAAAAAAAATAGGAGAATTACGGCTTATCTACATCAGGTGGAGAACCCAAGACCCTTTATATCTTTTCCAAGCTTTGACTATCATTTGGCCAAGATTTTGATAGTTCTTGGCCAAGATCTTGTCATGCTTTAGCCAAGATATTATGTTCCATGACCGGTGTGCATACACTCTGGACAAGACCCCGCTGATGTCTGAACACAGGAAAAGTTCGTTTATTTTTTCAAATCGCCGCGTTGGCTGCGCAGAGCTGCAGCCTACCCCGGTTCTAGGTTCAGTGCTCATTTCCACTATCTTCTCCGTATTCTTAAATGCACGTGAAACAAACGTGTTAGTGAAATCGACAAGACAAAGGTAAGAATCCTGGGTTCTAATTTGTCATAGTAAGTCTAGACGGAGCGGGCATGACAGGCAATAGACTGGAAAGCGTGAAGACAGTGTTTGAAAAAGAAACGAGAAAGATAAAACCATTTTTCGAGGCTTTGGCGCCGTGCACTATCGCAGGCTTCGCCAACTTCCCATATCTTTATTCGCTTGACCTGTGTGTGATTCAGCACGCAACCCCACTATCTTGAGACTATTTTTTTTGGAATTTTATTCGCTTGCACATCCACACAAATCCGATCATTATGTTCAGAACAGCTTTTAGCCTCATTATGTTCTTATAGCTCTGTGCAAAGAGCAAATGTGTCAAGTTCATGCGAGCCGACATGAGTGTGGTCTGTCGATATCTGTGCAGAGAGTTGAGATGTGCACGTAACAGCGCATTCGACGCCCTCGGCTCTTGCACAGTGTACAATTCTGTATATGCGGCTCAGCGGAGGCGGGAGGCGACAAAAGGAAAGCATGCTATGCATATTTGAACCAGGCCCCGCTTTCGCCTTGGGTCATGCCACGATATAACATTCTCAAGAGTGCATTTGATTGGACGTTATACTGCTCACTCCCAATATCTTTGGTAAAGAGATTCATAGTATTCAATGGGTTCGCAATTCCGCACAAGGCGCGAAGTTATCTATGTATTTGCTTTACTTGTGATTCGTGTTGTTTGTCAAATGAATGCAGCACCACTTTCTTAAACAACACGTATATTGTTGGTTAAGCACACGCGGAAGTCCGTGGAACATAATCCGCAAGAACCATTGTGCGATATTCTATTGAAACAGGCAGTCTGAATTGGTCATATTTTTCAGAAAAATGTACGAGCTGAGGGATTATGCAATACTCCGGAGCTCAGCTCAAAAAAACTACCGGAGAGCCTGATTTCGAGCTATTTTTGATCTATTAACACAGGGAGTAGCATGTGAAACATGTAAGTCACGTACTTGGGTTTTGGGGGCTGATTGAACTCTTGCCTTATATTGCACTTTTGACGCATTTCTCAAGATGATTGAGCTGTGCACTGGAGGTTCGCATGATCTCGAGGATATAGATTCCGACAAGGACATCAATTTTGCCATCAATATTGCATAAAGCAGCACACACAGACTCAACTTCTTGATCTCACTCTGGTGTTCAATCTCGAGGTCTTAAAATGTCTCTTGTGAATTGGATACATGGTTAAGATCTTCAAAAGGTCATTCAAGGGACTGGTTTGCACTGTATTTCTTTCTTTCACCAAGAAACAACTAAGAAGATCAGCATCAGAACCACGACTAGTGTTTTTGAAACAAAATATCAAACCCCTCATACAGTTTTCTTTTAGATATGGAATTTATGTCTTTATGGACGGAACATGAGGTATATGCTTCGTTCGTCAAATATAGTACAGATTATTGTTGGGTACATAAAAAGTCTGTCCTCTATTGTAGGAACCAATGATCGAGGAAACCTGATTTTCCCAAAGCAGAATAGCCGTTTGAAAGCCTTATCTTTTGCACCATTTTTAGCGGCTCCACATCAGTCTGTATTTGGAAAATAAATGCTCAATTTCAAGCGGCGTTTACTCGAGAATGTATACAGGGGGCTCACCAGGCGCATCTCTTTATCTTAGATAAGCGGCTGATACAATCCGTGGTGTCGTCGATTGTGAGCAGATAAAAGAAGTAAATCGCGAATGAATGGGTGCATGCACATAGGCCATTTTCGAATGTCTGATAATGCTCGCTTGTTTTTGGTACCCAAGTTTCCTGGCTCACATAAGAATTGCGCTTCAGCTTAATAAGTGAAGTCATCATCTCATGTATGTTGGGACTTTGCAATTGTTGAGATGAGTCAATTGGTTTCACGCAGTCGCTGACTTTAGTTTTTAACAACATAATCGATTCTTTCTGGCTTGACATCAATACTATTGAGTACATACAATAAGGATCATAGACTGATAAGCTTATCCGCTTAGTTTAATTTGGGTGTTTTCATGGCTTCATTGTTTGGCTTATAGGTTGATATATCTTTCAACGTTTTGGCAAAATACCGACACGGAACTTTGGATATGCAAGTACTTTTGGGTGGAGAGCTCATGATTGTTGAGGCCGATATCTTGATATCTTATGGAGACCAGGAAGAATGGTCTCGATCTAACTCTAAAAAAATTCCCTGGCCCGAACATTGTCTTGGAGGCTTCAATTGGTCTGATAACCTGCATGTTCAACTGCTCCGTATAAAAGGCTGTTTACAAAGGAGAGTGTCAGGGAACAATCTTTGGCCGAAATAGTTACGACATAGGTAGGAGAAGAGTTCTTGTTTGGCGAGTTTAAATGATATCCAAGACCTTTGATGGTCTGATTACATCAAGTTCTGGACTTGAAAAAAGAACTGAAGGCCACCTTAAAGAAGTCCTTTTTGCGTGGTCACATCACAAACCATCGGTTTTCAGACGTTCTTTGGTCAAATATACAAACCGGTTTTTTGAAGACGCTGGCCCAAAGATACGTTGTAAGGTCTAACCAATGAACATTGTGCAAGGCTCCGTTTTTCTCAATGTATTTATTTTAACAAACGCTTGCGCTTTGGCTCATTCACTGCCGGAGCAAAAGCACATTTTCAGATATATGTGATGCAGTATAAAAGATGCGGCTCATCTACTTCTTCTCCTTCTTGTCCTTCTTGTCTTTCTTTTCCTTCTTCTCCTTCTTGTCTTTCTTCTCCTTCTTGTCTTTCTTTTCCTTCTTCTCTTCCTTCTTCTCTTTCTTGTCCTTCTTGTCCTTCTTGTCCTTCTTCTCTTTCTTTAGTTTCTTGGCGTCCTTCTCGTCCTCGTCGGCGTCCCTCTTTCTCTTCTTGGGGGCCTCTTCCGCGTCAGACTCGTCATCGGAGTCAGCCTCCACAGGCGCACTGGCAAGCGGAGCGGTGGCGTCAGCATCGGCGTTGTAAGCTCTGGCTTCAGAAATATCGATCTTCTTGGCATCCCTAGCGACACGCGAGGTGGTTCTCAAGTCGCGGCCCTCCAAGGCACTCAATCTGGACTCAACCTTGGCACGCACTTCCATACCAAAGTCGCCGCTGTCGTCCCTGTCCTCAGCCAAGGAGTCGTAACGCAAGGCGACGGCAGCCTTGGCAGCAAGCACACGGGCAATCTTACCCTTGTTCTTACCAGAGGCCTGGCCAACCAAAGAGGCGTGGTACAACAAACCGTACTTAGGTGTGTCGTGCTTGGTCTTCAACGCACGGAAAAGGGCCTTCTCGGCACCCAAGATCTGGATCGTCGAGGCTGGTGCCTTGGCCAACGATGTCAACGAGCCTGCGTGCGCGATCAAACGGGCTCCCACCAACTCACCCACCAAGGACGTCAAGTTAGGCGCAATGGCCTTCATACGCGACGACAAGTAGTTCAGCAACTGCTCTCTGTAGGCAGCGAAGTCCACAATCTGCTCGGCCAAGGCCTTGATGTTCTCCAAGTCGTTGTCAGTAATCTCAGTTCCCATAGAGACCTCGGCAGCGCCCTTGACCTGCTCCTCAATCTCCTCAGGCAAGATCTCCGACAAGTCGGTCTCGGCAGCCTTGGAACGGATGCCCATGGTCAAGATGATACGGGCGTATGCCACGGAGTCCGTGATGAGCTTGGCCAACTCGGGGAAGTGCCAGCCGTACCACTCCTTACATCTCATGGCGTATGTGTTAAGCTCCTTGTCCAAGTCGTCCAAAAGAGCAATCGCCTGCACGATCATGGTGTCGACCTTGTCGGCACTGAACTTCAACTTGTGTCTGCCGATAGAGTGGGCCAAACCAAGAGACATCTGCTTCAAAACAGCGTCGTCCAAGCCAGGCAAGAGCTCAGGCAAAAACTCACGGATTGATCTGTGCAAGTCCAAAGAAGCGGCGTCGGAGACAACCGAGTAGTTGAGACCCAACTTGTTGATGGCATTACCCAACTTGGCCTCGGAGACGATCAAGGTGGCCTTCTTCTCCAGCTTCACGTCTTCCAAAAGCTTCTTCAAAGAGTCCGAAACCTTACCTTCGATAACGGCGTTGGCCTCCTCCAAGGCGTTGGCAGCAGACTGGAATTTCTCGAAGCGATGGACCTTGAATTGCTCGGCGACTTTCTCGGCCGAATTCAAGTCCGTCACGAGTGTGGCCAGCTTGTAGATCTTCTTGTCGGCGGCCTTTAAAAGCGCATATCCGGCGGCAGTTTCGGTCAACACGTAAGCCATTTTGTGGTTAGTGAGGATAAATGGGACTCGTGTGTTTTCGGTTTTTGAGGCAGCGAGAAAATTGTTCACGATGAGCTAGCGAGAAAAAACGCCTGCACACAGGCATGCTACGTGCGGTGCACGGGTGCAAGGGCGCCCACGGCCTCATTTGGAGGCCGCGGCTGTTTGGGCTCAAGTTTGATCACGTGTCACAAGGGTAATCTTGGGTTGATCAAGGGGCAGCTCCTGGCGCCATAGGGCTCCACCATTCCGTAAATTTTCCTCTTCGTTTAGAGTAAGTTTCTTCATTTTGGCCTGAACTTGTGAGGCTGCGTTTTGCTTTACTTTATTTTCTGTTTTTGAGGTAGATGTCTCATCACTGGATCACTCCCTTTTCGGACGGGTTTCTGTGCTACCTTCTGATCTATTCGTATCTTTTTTTTGCTCGTTAATGTCCGAGTATAAAACTGATGAAAGGACTGCAATTGGTCTTGAAGCTCTCATTGGCCGAAAAGTTGGCCAACCGCTTCCTTGGCTTTGCCTCTTACTTTAATACGGCGATTCCTTTATAAGCGTATGGCATTCAATCATTGCCCAAGCGTCCCCGATAACAGTAGAAGAGAGATTGAAAGGAATGGTACGGGGAAACGGGCAAAAGTAAGGCGTAGTAAACACGTCTTTAATTCTTATTGTAGTTGCAAGGGCCCGCTGGCTCGCACTGCGATCTACAATCAGATGGAATTCCAACATGCTACTGTTCTGGGCCATATGATGCTTATGAAAAAAAAAAAGTATGGTAGCGGAATATAGAATGTAAATAAATTCTAAATATTGCTGGCTAGAGTAACGATATATAATAAAAAATTATCCTTTAAAAATCATAAGATTTAACAATAAACGAACATAACAAAGAGTAAATATAGAACCCGGAGTTTACGTAATATCTTAATGTATAATAATGTAAACCAAAACTAACAGGTAAAGAATAAATGTAGATGAATATAAAATAATAAGAATAAGTAGAAAGGGAGAATATAAGATATGATATCTAGATACTTATATTAAGCTTTTAAATATAAACTAATTTATTGTATATGATATATCATTTTATTAAAACTTTTATTAAACCTTTTAAAGATACATAAATGATAATAATTGTGCTTGGTTCTTACTTACTTACTTATTTTATTTATCTTTAATGCCTAGTGTTTTTACTGCACGCTTATTTTTTTCCTTATTTTCTTGAATTTTTGCCAGAAGCATTGATCATGATTCCATCAAATTTGCAATTTACCTCTTTGAATGGTGAGACGTCTTTTGTAGCCCGGTAAAGTAGTTATCTACCCCGAATTGGCTATCTTGCTTCACCATACACGTTTCTTTCAAAAAACAATGGCTTCAAAAATCCCATAAGCTTTGCTAATAAAGCTGATTCCGGAAATCAGAAACTCGTTTCAGTCCCGAAATATCGCTTTTATGACTCTTATAAGACGAAAGCAAGGCCATTGGCTGTCCAAATCTAGTCGTATCCTCGACGGCTCTTTGTAACATGTTTACTAATGGGCTGTTCAATCTACATTTTTCGTGGCAGTGTATCAACTTACTATAATTGGAAATGGAGAACGGAAGTAGAAGGTGACAGTTACATAAACTATTTTTCTTTTCTGAAGATGGCCACCAGGGTCGTAAAATAGAGTATACGTCTTTTCTGACCTTTTCGAGGCGATGGAATGATATCCAAACAAAACACGAAGGTATTTTGAGAGTATTTTTCCTCGCCAGTATTTTACATGGTGTAATCCATCAACCCATATGGCAGATTCGTCTCTCAATGAGATCGTCTGGAAAGTACAGAGCACAGCCATATCAGATTTCCAGAAACCAACAACTTACAATACTTGTAAAAATATTCAATATGCTTTTGGCTCCCAAATCCAGGATGGTCCGGCCAGCTTTGACAAATGTCGCGTTGATCCAAAAAAACATCTCCAATCTATTGGCAACTAAAATCCCAAACAAAAGCCTCGCCAAAAATAAAAGCCATATGAGCCCAGAATCAACGTCGCGATGCTCAGAAAAATTAAGCTCAATCTATCTACAAATGACCTATCTTCCGAATAGCGCTCATACGAGGGGAATGAGCTTTGCAACGTTTCTCCCACAAGAAGAGCTGGCTTACAGACGCGAAGAAGCTCTACACCAACACTCCTCCACGGTCTGCAAACGCGTCAAGTTAGCCGGATAGCCATCAGCACCTGACTACCAGATCACGTGACACGCACGTGACAAACTTCACAGGTCTTGCACACAAGCACGCCGTCATATCGCTGTTCGGATCACTCTCTTCTTTCTTTGCAACTTGGTGTCTTCCGGCTGCCTTTCTAGCGAACATGGGAACCGATGCGAAGTTTCCGTCGGTTTCACCAAGGCACAAAAAGCCTAAGCCGGCCAAGCCGAAAAGAACTTACGCTTTTCAGCCCACAAACACTCTAGCATATGGCCCTCACGCGGTCTCAAACACGCTCAAGAGGGCACAAACGTCCGGCGAAACACGCCCGAATTTCCAGAAGTACCCACCAGACTTATCGGCAGCCAGCTCCGTGACTGAAATAACACCCAAGGCTATTTTTTTTCCAGATTCAGGAACCTCAGCTGCCGATGATACGGGGCACAATTCCACCGGTACTACGCGTGGCGACGCGTCTCCTTTTCTGAGGCCACACCCCGTTCGGATTTTTGACAAGTCCACCGAGCAGAGCTCAGATGACAGTTTTGACGGCGTGCGGTGGCGACCTGCAAAAAGCCCCGCTCAAGTCCGAGCCAGGCCCATTCTATCGTCGCCACTTCGAAACGCCGAATCCGCACCTCCAAACGACCCGCCCGCAGCTACGTTGGCCAACGAAATCACAGATTCGATGCTCAGCAAATACAGCATGGCAGTTCCTGCGGGATTGTCGCAAACCCCGCGTTTTCATCGCACTATATCGGACGGTGTGACTGCCTCGATGGAAACGCTGCCAACGCTCACAAGATCCAGGTCTTTTGACCCTCGCAGTGTTTCTTGTTCCAAGAAAAGTGAGAGCGAAAAGACCTTTGATGGCGCCGGACGCCTAAATACGTGGATCGACCGATTTGATGACAAAAATACAACGAGTACGACCGTAAGCTCCGCGCCCAAAACTCGGTCAGCGACAGGTGGTTCGGCGTATGATGACGATGTGTTTTCTTCGGACGACGATGCGTTTTTGGCCAATCTTCAATGTGACTCTTTGCCGGTTTTTCTGCAGACGCCGGCCGCTCAGTTACCGAGAGGCGAAGTGGAACATGATATTGAATCCCGCGCTTTGAAAGATGGAGTAGAAGAGACTGAGCTCACGGTACTGAAATCTGGGTCCGAGCAAAAAATGAAATCCCCCTTCCTTAAGAGCGACGTCGAAGGCTGTAGGGCGTCACCTTTGAGTGAAAAGACAGACACTACACCACACAGAGAGTCATTTTCCATGGGCCAGGATTCTGATCCGTTTTCGGATGACCTCGATATTGCGGCTATTGACGTGGTCACTACGCAGCCGTCCACAGCGCTGTCATCATTCGCAATATCTGCCGCGAAACTAGAACCGACTTCCTCTCGCCTAGATAAAAAGGGTAGCGAAACAAGGCCAGCCACGCCGCAGCCAGAAAGAAATCTGCGAGATACCCCCGATTTTGGTGCCAAGATCTCTTATTCTCGTCTGGATTTCTCTCGCTATCAGGTCAAGTCGGTGTTCACAACCACTTATCAGGTACAGAGTTTCAAAAAGAAACAACTCATTTTAACTGTTCTTGACCAATCAGGCACCTTGTCGAAATTACTAGTGAGAGGTGAGGCGGCAGAGCTCGAAATCAAGGCCCTGGATATCGTGCATGTCATCCACACATCTCCAGAAAACCCGCGCATGGTCAGTGATACCCACAATCTTCTCATCTGGAACCCAGATACGCTAGTTGCATCCACTGTTGTGGCTGATCAGCTCGACTGTCCTCGAAAGACTGTGCTCTCAAAGAGATTGTCTTTTCGAGGCCTGTACTCTATACCCTTGTTCACAGGAAACATCGTCCACGAGATTTTTCAGATATGTTTTATAACCGGACGATGTTCCGCTGAGTACTTGAGCAGTCTCGTAGAGATCGAAATTCTGCGGCGTCTTTTGGAAATCTACACTTTGGGTGATGTGGTGGATGAGTTGAAGGCCAAGATATACTCTCACCTACCATATATTCAAAAATGGTTTCAGAGTTTCTTTAAGAAGCCTCCAGCAGAAATTCCCACCAATAAAAGTCAGCAGAAAATACGCTTTTCTGCGGCCGAAGCTCTCGATATAGAAGAAAGGGTTTGGTCACCTATGTTCGGAATCAAAGGGATAGCTGACGTCACACTCCGAGCAAACCTCCAGAGTGATAATACCATCGGCCAGTTTTTGCTCCCAATGGAAATTAAAACCGGTCAACCCTACTTCTCACACCAAGCACAGGCCGCGTTGTATTCGCTTCTTTTTAAAGACAGATACAACGTGGATATTTCATCATTCTTGCTTGTTTACACCCTGAATGAAGGGCTTACAACCAAACATGATATTTCTGTATCAGACTTGAAGTCTCTTGTGAACTTGCGGAACCGTATTTCCATATATCTCCGGCCAGGAAACCAAGATTTACCGGACTTGATGCGCCAGCAAAAGTGTGATCGTTGCTCTTTGCAAGAAAGTTGCATGACATACAATTATCTCACAGAAGACGGTACGCCTGAACAAAGTGGACTTAAAGAGGGCGTGTTCGAAAATCTAACTTCCCATTTAAACGGTAAACAGAGATATAAAGATTTCTTGGCTTATTGGGATTACCTTTTGTCTAGGGAAGAAGAGTTTGTTTCGCGGTTCGAAAAGGAGTTGTGGGTGTTGACAGCGAAAGAACGTGAACATAACCTGGGGAAAAGTCTTGGAAATCTCATCATTAGTGATTGCCAAACAAACACAGTCACAGATAACTATGTTTACACCTTCATAAGAAGAGATCTGCAAGGCAATCCAATGAATTCAAGTCAAATTTGCAAGTATGATAAAGTCATCATAAGTGATGAGTCAGGCCACTTTGCATTGACTCTGGGATTTGTCCGTCACATTGATTCAAAGAGTATATTGATCTCATCCCGAAAGCAGATAATATCGACAGAGCTGAAGACGGATAAATTTCATCGGGCAGGCGTCTTGAGACCTAGTCAAAAGATGTCGCAAAAAATCTCAGATGCGGTAGTGTTTCGTGTTGACAAAGATGAGATGTCATATGGAATGGGAATGGCCAGATATAACATTCTCAACTTATTTTTAAGTGAAGGAGATCACAAAAGGAGAAATTTGGTGGTAGATCTTCGCCAACCAACTTTCAGTTCGTCACGTCATTTTGAAATTGATGAAACAGCTGATCATTTCAATGAGTGTCAAATGTCAGCTTTTGACAAAGTTAGCCGAACAAATGATTATTCTCTCATATTGGGCATGCCTGGAACAGGAAAAACTACAGTTATTGCACATCTTATCAAAATGCTTGTCGCTGCCAATAAGACGGTCCTTCTCACATCATACACGAATTCGGCTGTGGACAACATTCTTTTGAAAGTGAAAGAATATGGGATCGACTTTTTGAGGATTGGAAGCTCGTCCAGGATTCATCCCTTAATTAAAGAATTTACACCCGGTTCAGATTGCAAGAAAGTTGAATCTTATATGGATTTTCACAATGTTTATTCAAAGCCTAATGTTGTCGCAGCTACTTGTCTTGGTGTCCAAGACCCCTCATTTAACATCCGCGATCACTTCGATTATTGCATAATTGACGAGGCATCGCAGGTATCCATGCCAATAAGCTTGGGCCCACTATCTCTTTGTGACAAGTTCGTCATGGTTGGCGACCACTTCCAACTCCCACCATTGGTATCGCACCCCGATCCAAAGGTCAAGGCAGGATTATCACAGTCTTTATTTCAAATTCTTGCAGTCGCACGTCCTGAAAGTGTGATAGAGCTCAAGTATCAATACCGAATGTGCAAGGAAATTATGCTTATTTCTAATCAACTTGTTTATAAAAACAGGTTGATCTGTGGGACTGAGGAAGTTGCCAATCAAGTGCTCACTATACCCAACAAGGAAAACCTCGCCTTGCATTTTGTTCGGGATAACCCTTTGAACACACCGTGGATAGATTATTCTTTTCAAGAAAGAAACAAAGTTGTTTTTTTTGATCACGACTTGATCCCAGGACATGAGAGGTTAGTTGGGGAAAATGTGACAAACCCAACGGAGGTCGAACTTGTTCGACAGACCGTAGAGGCGCTTTGTCAAGCTGGGGTGGATCCCTCAAGAATAGGCATCATGACGTTGTATCGCTCGCAACTCAAATTACTAAACGAAACGCTTCGACATATCCCAGGACTCGAGATTTTGACTGCCGACCGCTTTCAAGGCCGAGATAAAGAGTGCATTTTAATTTCCATGGTGAGATCAAACCGAGAGAGGAGAGCAGGGGATCTTTTGAAAGACTGGAGAAGAATTAATGTTGCCGTGACAAGAGCCAGGGCAAAGCTAATTGTGTTTGGATCTGTCTTGACGTTATCAAAAGCCGAATCTATTAGAGACTTTGTCGCCTTGGCACAGAAAGAAGGCTGGGTGTACGAACTTCTGGAAAGTGCACTAGATCTGTATCTGTTTGAAAAAACCGCTTCGAGCACGCCGCGGAAAGTGAGGGCAACTGCCAGAAAGCTCGGTACGACAGCCATTGAAAAACACCCTTTGGTAAGAAATGTTCTTGCAGACATGGAGGAAACTATTTGAACTTCTGATAAACTATGGCTCTTGAAGGCAACCGTTCTCTATGTTGCCGCCACCCAATCTACCAAGCCCTAGATGGCGAAAAAAAATTCCACCTGGAAACGGGGCGCATTTGCCCCATCTGCATGGCCAGCGTTGACGCGTTGGCCCACTCGTCTAAATTGCCTTCTTAAGTTTTGAAACCCGACGTAAAGAAAGAACGCCAAAGTAAATATGAGGACGATATAGTCAAAAATTTGGTAGTCGTCCTGTTGTTCGTAAGCTTCTCCTTCGGCGTGGGCCTGGGCCCTGGCAGCGGCCTTCTCGTCCAGGTCACCTATGTCCTTTGACCTGGCAAGATTCTTGAGGGTATCGAGCCAGCCTGTAGACTCAGCATCGTCTCGCTTTTCGGAATCGCTGAGTAAAAACTTGAGCCTGAGCCGTAAGAGGGCCCACTTTATAGCAGAGGTGCTGGGCTTTGATTCCAGAGTCAACAGCATCGTGTCCAGGTCCTGGTAATACTTGATGCTTAGATCGTAGTAGCGCTTTGCCATGTAGTAATCCGGGGAGCTATTGGGCACGCCGAGGCCGTATTCGTACATGTAGCCCAATTTGTAACAGGCGTGGGCCGACGCGTACAGCGCCGCAGCGGTATAGTAGGCAAATGCCTTCTCGTGGTCGGGCGCGAGGGCACCTCCCGGCAAGCCGTTGGCATACAAGTCGCCCAACAAGATGGTGGAGTCGACGTGGTCTTGCGACGAGGCAAGGTCGAGATACCGGAGCGCCGCCTGGACGCGGGTCGCGTTGTATGTCTTGCGCTTCCAGGCGAAAAGCGGCTCCGTCTGGTAGAGGAGGTACGCCGCCGAGAGCTGGGAGTTGAGGAGGCCCTGCTCCGCGGCAATCAGGTAGCCGAGGAGCGCGTTCTTGTAGTTGCCGTGCGCAAGTTCCTGGAACGCGTAGGACAAGTGGGGCAAGAGTACGGGCTCGGCGTGCTCAACGAAGCTCTTGTAGAACAGCACGAGCTCCGGGCACGTGAAGAGCTCGCCCTTGGACTCGGCAAAGCCCAGCTCCACGGCGTCCGCAAAATAGAACATGGCCTGCGGGTGGCCGCGGCGCGTGGCCGTGCGGAGCAAGTCGTACGTCAGGTCCACATAGGTGGTTTCGAGCGGCGAGCGCGGCGCCACGAGGTTCTGCGCGTACAAGAACACGCCGTGGGAGCTGCCGTTGGTGGCTGCGTCCTGCAAGTAGCGCACGCACAGCGGGCTGAGCAGGCCGTGGGTGGTGGGGTCGAGCCGCCGCAAGAGCGCCATGTCCAAGAGGTTCTCCTTGTCGGGCTGGAGCGCAAGTGCCAGGCTGAGCCAGCGGTGGGCCTGCGCAAGGTCGCGCGGCACGCCCTGGCCGGCCAAGTACATGTGCCCCAAGAGGTTCTGGCACTTGCGCCAGATCTGGCGGTCGAGGGCAAGCGGGTTTTCTAGCCGGCCCGCGGCGTGCTCTGCCCGGCCCAAGTCCACGCACTCGAGCATCTCGTGGTGTACCTGCGTGGCGTTCTGCGGCGAGAAGAAGCCGGCACTGTGGTGCAGCAACGCGTCGAAGTACACGTCGAGGAGCCGCGACTCCAGCGCGTCGAGGCTCTGGTCCTTCAAGCTCGCGCGCAAGCGCACGAAGCTGTCGATGTCCGAGAGAACGCTGGACTCGGACTCGCTGATGCGCGCGCCGTAGAGCCCGCCGTGGAAGTCCGCAATGTGCACGTTGTACGCCACGCGGTCCTCCGGCACCAGCCACCACTGCTCGTGGGCCTGCTGGACGGCCTGCCGCGCGAGGCTGGAGTAGTAGAACTGCGCGGTGTCGCAGCTGGCCTGGCACCCCACGCCGTTCAAGTGCTGGTACGCGAGCACGAGCACCGCGCCGGCGTGGCCGTTGCGTGCGGCAAACTCGTAGTACACGCGCGCCCGCTGCCGGTCCGGCGCAAGCTCGCCGAACATGCCGGTCTGGTAGAAGTGGGCCATCATGAAGTACGCGTGGCCGTCGGCGCGTGTCTGCACCCCCCGGCGGTACAACGCAAGCGCCCGCGGGTAGTCCGGCGGCACGGAGTAGTTGCCGAATGTGTAGATGTCTGCGAGCGCCACCGCGGCGGCGGCAGAGCCCATGTCACAGGCCTGCTGGAGCTGTGCGAGCGGCTGCAATACACGCGCTGGAACACGGCGCGGCGGCTCGGACTCGTAGTCGTGCAAGCTCAGATTGTACTGAGGCACGTGGATCCCGCGATGTAGGTTTGTGTGTGAAAAGACGGGCACCTCGCCCTCGAATTTGGGCGGCAATTGCGCCAACTGCGCCATGGCCTGGGTGTACAAGGCCAGCGCGTCGGCGGCAAGGCCGTGCACCGCCAGCAGGGCAAGTACAAGCAAATATAGGGCACGCATGGGTTTGGCGGCAGGCAGCAGAAAAAACGGGGCCTGGAACGAGAAAAAAAAACGGGTGGTGGCGGCGTTTGGTGTGGTGGGGGAAGAGCCTCGGGTGGTCTGTAGAAGTTGCCAGGTGACGATTCGCGAGGGCCAGTGCGGTGTTTCGCGGTGGCCGAGCGAGCGGTGCCCAGACGTGTGTTTTCGAGGCAAACGCTATGTCGAGGCATATTGTTTTTTTAAGCGGCTGATTTGAGATATGAGATTGGGGATAGGAGATTTGGGGTATGAGATTTGTGGGATTTTGATCTGTGGGATTTTGATTTGTGACTGCCCGTGATATTAGCACGTTGCCAGGTCACGTGCGTGCTGACCACGACCGTGGATCGGTGGCTTCTCTGGTTTCTCCGAGTGTTCTCGTGTAGTCGTTTACTTGCTCAATGTTGATGCATCAGTTGCTTGAATAATCAGTTTCCGTTACCCGAAGATGGGCTGATTGATTGACGATTATCGCTTGATGATAATCGTTGATGGTTATCGTTTGATGATTATCGTTCGGTGATTATCGTTGATTATCGCTTGATGATAATCGTTGATGGTTATCGTTTGATGATTATCGTTCGGTGATTATCGTTGATTATCGCTTGATGATAATCGTTGATGGTTATCGTTTGATGATTATCGTTCGGTGATTATCGTTGATTATCGTTTGATGATTATCGCTTGATGATTACCGCTTGATGATTATCGTTTGATGATTATCGCTTGATGATTACCGCTTGATGATTATCGTTTGATGATTATCGTTTGACTGTCTAAACTATTTTCAAATCCTCCGGTATTCAATCGTTGGTCATTAGTCTTCGCATCAGGCTCTGGTCATTAACATCAGCAGAACATCATCAGCATATCATCAACATCAACATACCATCAACGCATCATCAACATATAATCAGCATATCATCAGCACTAGTCATGGCATGAGTGATTTCTCATTGTTCAATTCATCAATTATTGACAGTGGTCATCAGTCATGACCATTATCTCAATCACCAATGCGATTATGCCATGACGATTTCCTGTTCTCCATTTTCTTTGACGGAGACGCTCACAGGACTCATCTGGCCATCCCCATTCCGACCCTTCTGTCACCGTATCTTGCTTCTTGGTAATCTTTCTGCTGCGCATGGCTGCAAAAGTTTATGGATTCTGGCCTTATCTGCTGTGGCAGAGAACCGCCGTTAATGAAACGACCGAGCAAATCCAAACAGGACACACATGCGGCAACTTGGCTTTACGAGACATAGCGTTACTGGCAAGTTGATCATACTTGGAATGATACTGCGTTTCATTCGCATGCTGAGCATGTGCCTGACATCACGCGCGCGCAAGCCGAGCCTTTTAACAGTCACCAGCTTCGAAGTTCTACCCATGATCAAATCTTTCAGTCACAACGCCTTTGCAAATTGTACGACTGATCAGAAGAAACTTCTCCACAACTCTCTTAGTTTCTGGGCGCAAACAATTGCGATACCTCAGACGACCGCAGTAGACATTGAGTTTTCTTAGCACAGATTGTATGTTCAGAGCCGATGTTCTTTGCGTAGAACATGGAACTGACCCTCTCGCTAGCCCGCGCTCACACGTGTCGAGCAGCACTTGAGATCTTTTGATTTCTGCTTGGTTGTGGCATTGTTCGCACGAGATACGGTTTCGGATGATTGACTCACGTAATTTCGTTCTCTCAAAGCCATATCCGGGCACGGTGTATTTAGTAGTTGGCCCACGACCACGTTCATCTGAGGAAAGCTGGCCGAAACCTGCTGCTACTGGGGCCGGCCGAAACTCTGACGTAGAAAGATCCACTGTGACCTTAAAAGCAGCAAACCTGTTAGGTCGCTGTAGCTTGACGCCGAGGGTCCCTGTAAGCGCATATACAGCTATGTGCACTTCCATTATTGTGAGTTCCGTCAGATGTCATTTCGAACAGCTCATAAAATATTCTCTGGAGTTCTAGGGGTTCCTTTCACGTGAGCTCCCGATAAAGTGCAGGAAGGTGGAACATAACCTCTGTAGAGCTCTGGTGAAACCAAATAGTAATACCCCATGACGGCCCTAACAAAACCCTTAGAACGGTAAAACCGAAGCAGACGCAAAGATTCTTGAAGCCGTCTGCATCACATGAGGTCTAGTTTCTTCATGGAGTTTTGGAGTAAAAGACGTGACTGTTCTGGTTTCAGAATTCCAATGTTGTGTCTCATTTGGCAATACGCTGGCATCTATGCTTGCGGCCAAGTGCGGATCAGCATTCTAATATACCATTGGGTTAGTTGCTTACCAGTAAGGGGCAAATCAGCATTGGTGGACGCGATTAGACACGCAGCAGAATATATTGGGCCCGGTGCCTTGCTCGTGTTCATTCAACATCTGCCAGTATATTCATCAGATCTGTACCTGGCCGTATTTACTCACCAGATATGCAGCATGTGTTTTCCCACCATAGAATGAAAAATATTGTTTCCATCCAGACCCGGGAATTTCCCGCTTCAACTAAGGTGAAGGGGACTTTGAATATTTGCATATACCAGGGGCATTCTAGAGAAACGTCGTGCCACGCATGAGCTATATTCCATTGACACACTGTACATAAATTAGAGGTGCTCAAGAGCCTTGAATGACATATACAAGAAAAGGTGCCCAGTGGTCTGAATGACATACATCAGTTAAAATGCCCAGTGGCCTTGGATGACACTAACTAATTAGAGGTGCCCAAGAGCCTTTAAAGACCTACACTAATTAAAAAGGCACAGTGGCCTTGAATGACATACATTTATTAAAGAGACTCGACAGCATTGGATGACATTCATTAGAGGTGCTCACTGGCCCCGCTCACCGCCGCGCCCACCAAAAAACACCTGCACGCACCCACAGAGCCAATACTAGAATAGACCCACCACCAAACCCCGGCAGGGCCCCGAAGTACCAGCCAGCCGTCTAGAATGGCCAGCTAAGAAAGTCCCTGTCCGAAAACAAAAAACTAAAAACTAAAAACTAAAAACAATAAAAAGACACGGCTGCCTGATGAGAAAGCCCCCGCCCCAGAGCCCCAGCACCAGTGCGGCCCCGCGCACAGCCCCACGCCGCGCCCAAACCCACATTGGCCCTGCAATCACGCCCGGCCCCAGGACAAGAACACACCACAGAGGCCCACGATTCTGCGCCGTTTCCCCACGGAACGCGCCGAAACTGGCCGCCCGCCGCCGCCAGGCACGTGGCAGCACGCCCCCCAAATCCCAGCGGATTCCGTCCCAGACCCGGCCGAAAAAAACCGCCCTCGAAGCTTTTGGCGCACCCGGCCCCAGGCCCCAGGCCCCAGGCCCGAGCGCGGCCCCGCGCCCCGCTGCCTCGGTGGCCCACGTCGCACTCGCACCTCACGTCGCACGTCACAACTCACGGCGCAACTCTCAACTCCTCCTCCCAACTCCACCAACCCTCCCCCGGCCCCGCCAAACCCACACCCACGCGCCAAACGACCGGGCCCGCCGCCACCGCCGCATCCCCACGTGTCGCCGCCACCCCGTCTTCCCTGCAAAAAAAAAAAAAAACGGTCTCTGCACCAAAAAAAAACCGGCTTTCCCGCCCTGCTAGCCGCCCGCCATGCCGTCGTTCCCGCCAACTCCCGCCGAGCCGCGCCGCGCGCCGGAGGCCGTCTTCCGCTCGGCGCCCATGACCCTCGTGCAGTTCTACGTGACCCTCGAGTTGGCCCGTGACGTGGTGTTTGCGCTCGGGCGCTCGGGCCACGTGCACTTCCGCGACCTCAACGCGCTGCTCACGGCGTTCCAGCGCACGTTCGTCGCCGAGTTGCGGGGGCTCGACGCGCTCGAAACCAAGCTCGAGTTTGTGCGCGACTTGATGGCCAAGCACGCCGCCGCGCGTGGCGGCGCCCACGCCTCCGTGGCGCCCGAGGGGCCCCTCCCGCTGGCCGCCGAGCTCCAGCTCATCCACGACGCCACGCACACGGTGCACGCCAAGCTCCAGCACCTCGACCGCTCGCACGCGGCGCTCGAGCTCAAGCGGCTGGCGCTCGTCGAGAACCGCCACGTGCTCACGGCCGTGCAGGCGTTCCACCAGGCGGCCCTCGCGCCGGGCGTGCGCACCAGCACGGACGAGCGCCGCCGCTTCCTCGCCGCCGGCGACGACGAGGAGGCCTTGTTGGCGCTGCCTGCGGACGCGCCGGACGCGCTGGACGCCGCGCCCGGCCTCGACGACCTGGCCATGGAGTCCATTGCGGGCACCATCGCGCGCGACAAGTGCCTCGTCTTGCGCAAGATCTTGTGGCGCACGTTGCGGGGCAACCTCTACTTCAACGACTTCCCCATCGCCGAGCCCTTGCCCGTGTCCTTGGACCGGCCGCTGGGCCGCGTGGCCAAGAACGCGTTCCTCATCTACATCCACGGCGACTACTTGAAGGCGCGCGTGCGCAAGATCATCCGCTCCTTGGACGGCCACATCTACGACAACGCAGGCGGCAGCACGGGTGCCCGCACGCACGCGCTCGCCGAGCTCAACTTGAAGATCAACGACTTGAACAGCGTGGTCGAGTCCACGAAGACGCACTTGGTCTCGGAGCTCGTGTCCTTCCAGGAAAAGCACCCCGAGTGGCACTACATCGTGCGCCGCGAGCGCCACATATACGAGGTCCTCAACAAGTTCGACCAGGACAGCACCCGCCGCTGCCTCGTGGGCGAGGGCTGGATCCCCACGGCGGAGTTCGAGTCCATCCGCCGCTGCCTCAAGGCCGTGGTGAGGTCCAAGATGTGCGTCCCACCGCAGCTGCCGTTCGAGGCCGACAACTCCATCAGCTTGTCGTCCGACACCTTGTCGGCCCCAGCTGACGACGGGCCACCTGCAGGGCCCGAGAACCCGTTCTCCGACCGCGCCGTGTTTGCCGTGGGATCGGACGACATCGACAACGCAACAGACGACGACGAAGACACGGACTTCAACTTCGTTGCTGTCGTGAACGAGCTCTCTACCAACAGAGTGCCTCCTACGTACCACAAGACTAACAAATTCACCTCCGGCTTCCAGTCCATCGTGGACACGTACGGCATCGCCACCTACCAGGAGGTGAACCCGGGCTTGGCCACGATCGTCACGTTCCCTTTCTTTTTCGCAATCATGTTTGGTGACTTGGGGCACGGCTTCATCGTGATGTTGGTGGCCTTGTACTTCATCAAGAACGAGCGCTACTACAATGCCATTCGGAACAAAGACGAGATCTTGGAAATGGCATTCAATGGTAGGTACATCGTCTTGCTCATGGGCGTGTTCTCAATGTACACGGGACTCATGTACAACGACATCTTCTCAAAGTCCATGACACTCTTCCTGTCTGGCTGGGAATGGAACTGGCCCGAGGGCTACGACTTCAGCAAGGAAGGTGCCATCTCGCTCACCGCCTCCAAAATCGAGGGCAGGACGTACCCATTCGGCATAGATTGGGTATGGCATGGAGCTGAAAACGGTCTACTCTTCACTAACTCTTACAAAATGAAAATGTCCATTGTCATGGGTTACTTTCATATGAATTACTCTCTCATGTTCAGTTTGGTAAACCATAGGTTTTTTAGGTCGAGGGTGGACATCATTGGTAACTTTATTCCTGGCTTCCTATTCATGCAGAGTATCTTTGGGTACCTCGTTTTGACCATCATATACAAGTGGTGCGTCGACTGGCTAGGAACCGGCAAACAGCCACCTGGGCTTCTTAACATGTTGATCAACATGTTTTTGTCTCCAGGGAGCATCGAAGACCCGTTGTATTCCGGACAAAAGTTTGTTCAAGTCACCCTAGTCTTGATAGCGTTGGCTTGCGTGCCGTGGCTTCTCTTATATAAACCCATGGTTTTGCGCAGGGAAAATAACAAGGCCATGGCTTTGGGTTATCGCGACATTGGGTCTCAGAGAAATCACGATTTGCAAATGCTCGAAGAAGAGGAGGCCCTCGAGCGGTTTGCCGAGAGATCAACTTCCTTCGACGATTCTGATGAAGTCGACATGTTGAGTGGCACATTCACGTTCCCTAATGACATTGAGCCAATGGCTCTTAGTTCGGGACATGGCCATGGTGAGGAGGAATTCAATCTCATGGATATTGTGATACACCAGGTTATACACACCATTGAGTTCTGCCTCAACTGCGTTTCCCATACGGCGTCATATTTGAGATTATGGGCTTTGTCATTGGCTCATGCCCAGTTGTCAAGTGTCTTGTGGAATATGACCATTCTGAATGCGTTTGGGACTACAGGAACCGTGGGCATAATAATGACCGTATGCTTGTTTGCCATGTGGTTCGTTTTGACTGTGTGTATTTTGGTTTTGATGGAAGGTACTTCTGCAATGTTGCACTCTTTAAGATTGCATTGGGTGGAGGCGATGTCGAAATTCTTTGAAGGAGAAGGCTACGCCTATGATCCATTTACATTTACAGACATTGACTTGTAAGTATTTAGGAAAGGCTTGTTCTCGTGAGATATTAGATTATAGAAGAGGGTTATAGTTAGAAGAAAAATCCGAGGCGTCATCCAGATTTAATAAATCGAAGCTGTATGAATCTTCGTATTTGATTCAGAGTTTGCTCAATGCAATGCTCTTGCTAATGATTAAGTTGGATAAATCACTGCGGAGCCTGTTCGTCAAGAACATCGGCTTTTTATCATCATTTAGCCAAGTTCTCATAATCTTAACTAGGCTTTCTAGCACGAGGAAGTTGCGCAGGCTCAACAGCGCAGCTATTCCAGATGACAGTTTCGCCGAAGTTTCTATCAGCGAGTTTCCATCTTCGGTTTCGGAATCCACAATAGATGACAAGAGTTTGAGCAAGCACGTAAACGTAAGAAGCGACATTGAGATCTTTCCCTCGTTAAAATTTAAGTGATTCAAGAGCAGCAACAGCTTTTCGTTTTCCTCACCATTTGAATAGAATGAGACCAATGACGAAAGCAATACAATGAATTTCTCCTCATTCATAAGGTTTAGCGAGCAGACCATCGATTGTTGGTGCTTGACGAGTTTGAGCTCGTCTCTTTTCTGATGAATGCTGAGTTGACCTGAAGTCTCAGTCTCACTCAGGCAGTCTTCACTGTCATCATCAGAAATTTCCTCGTCATCGGTAAGTTCAGGTTCTTCAAAACACAGTGCTATGTTTTGCAAAGCGTTGAGGATATATTTTTTATCGTTTTTCAATACTTCAGGCGCTGCGGCAGAGTTTAAAAGTAGTTCGAAGTAGGAAAACTGGCGGCTCAAGAAAGCCGACCCAGCAGTCAAACCGCTGAGTTTGAGCGAATCTTGCTTTAAATCTTCAAGACCATCATCTCTAGCCCCGGAAGGAGAGACTAAAAGGTCCAAATAAACAAGGGTTAGCTCATGGAGAATCTCCAATACACGCCATTCAAAGACAATAGCATACAAGTTGTTTTCATTCTTGAGTCGGGAGTCCACAAAGAGCAGGGCGTTTTCTCCATTGTTGACATTTCGGCATAGTGGCAAGTCATGTGAGAGGTTGTAAAACCGTTGGGAAAACGACTCAGAATCAAACATCAGCAACCCATCAACATTCTTGATTAAGCGAGCAAGCTTTGACAAGCTTTGGTGACTGCCGGTGTATTCTGCAGCAAGCAAAGCGTTCTTCCTGAGCTTCAAATCTAATTTCACGAGTTGTGAAAGGTAAGAACCTCTTCTAATGACGACTGTACCCACAAGAAACTGCAAAAGAAGAGTTTCAAAGCCGGCGCTTTTGGTACGGAGACAGATGTATGCTCGGATCCAAGAGGTGATCGGCGCAGAATTAGACCCCAAGAGAAGTGCTGTGATTTTGCACTTTTCATCTTCACTCAAGGGCTCACGTGAATGCGTGCTCATGAACGAGAAAAGCCTCGATATGTTTTCCAGGGCGTTGTTCGACTTGCTTTTGCGGGACTTTGGCAGAGAGTTCCCCACAAGAGAGGAAACGACCATGAAAAGTCCGAGACCAGCAACGAACACACGGAGCGTGTATAACAACAGGGAGGCAGTTGTAAAGTTCCCAAATAGCGTAGCAGGGAACACAGGCAACGCTGACATGGCCTGGAAATTGTTGTCGTTTATGTATGACGACCCCATCATTGTTGCCAAACCACCGAAGAACATGTTTGCATTCGGGTAAGGTTGGGGCTGAATATGCTGTGACGCCACAGTGCGAGGATTCATGTTGGAAACAGGGGCGTAGTTATTCATGATCGCTTCATCGATAGGCTGGGCTTGTGGCACGCGTCTCTGGAAAAGCGTCTGGGTATTCACAGGCTCAAAATACGAGGTATACGTACTCATCGGAGGCTGAGGCGTGACGGGAGAAGAGTCCATAATCGGCTGGCCCGCGCTTGCACGGCTCACGAACTCCTGGAGATCTCGGATCTGCTTCTCGAGAGTCTTGTTCTTCTTCCTCATGTGCTTGATGTACTCGTTGGCCTTGGTGAGAATGGAGGCTTTGTTGAGTTTACAGGCCGGGCTCAAGCCATCCAAGTCGGCCATCAGTACCCGGGCCTTGCCCGTGGCAAACTTGAGAGTAGGCACCACCTCGCGAAGCTCCAAGATCTTGGCGTTGATGCTAGTGCGGTACTTTTTCTCGATGATGTTGTGCGAGGTTTTGGGCTTGCGTTCTGGCTTCGACACCTTTGCCTTCTGTGTCTTGGGTCTCGATCTAATGCTCACGTGGCTTTCTGGGCCCATGGGGGCGACGTCCTCCTCGTGGGGCTCTCCTTTCACGAAGACGCCAGCCCTGGCGTCCTCCGTTCCAGCCGTAAGCGGGATGTTCTGCGGTTTTTCTTCAACAGGGAGCTCTGGCATGTTGCCGAAAGCGGCAAAGTTGAACATGGGGTCACAGGGCGCCACGTTGCCATTCACGTCGGCCTCTTGTTTCATCACAGGCAGATGCAATGAGGACGGCCCCGAGTTGGGCAGGTAGTCCAAGTACGGCGACATGGTCAGCCCAAGCAGAGTGGTATACGAGTGCTCGGCCCCGTCGCCAGACAGCACAAAGGGGTCGTCGTCAGTGTTGTACAAGGGCGCCAACGGGTTCGGATAGTCAGAGCCTTGCGAGGTGCCGGAAAACATCTCGTCGATGGAGCCGTTCAGCGAGATCACTTCGGGCGACAGCGGCGCAAAAAGAGGCTCGTATAAGGGCTCGAATAGAGGCGTGTCGAGCTGGTCCAAGTCGATATCCTTGTTCCAGTCCGAGGGCTTTTCGAGCAGCGGCACGGTGTCGGCAAGCGCCGCTAGAAACGCATTTGCTTCGTCAAAGTCAAGCGGCGGTTCTGCCTGAAAGTAAGACATGACTGACGGGTGTTTTTGAGTATTTCGAAGATGGCCGCCTGGGGTCGTTTGGGTGGGTTTCCTTAGACAGGGCCTTGGCAGTGGAGGAAAGCGGCGGGCCTGGAGGAAAATGGGCACAGGCTGGCTGTAGAATCAAAATAAAAAAGGTGGTGTAGGAAAAGCGAGTTTGCGCAGCAGCAAAGAATTTGCAGATCCGAAGCGGATACTCAATTGGTGAAAGGGGAAAGAGACTGCTCCGGCCTTGGAATCACCAGGCTCCGCTCCAAAACAGCCGATTTTCTGTAAAGTGGTGTGATATCGCATCCCTCGCTGTGCACGGGGCCACGAACCAGTGCATGGGGCCAAGCCTCTGTGCCTCGGTATAGACGCAGCGGTCGCGCGATTAGGGCGACTATTGGGGCGACTATTGGGGCGACTTTTAGGGTGATTCTTAAGGTGAGTATCAGGACAATTATCCATAAAGGCGGGACATGGGTCATGGGAAAGCCCTGCCACACATTGGAAAATTATATATAGACCCAGAAGCAATAGCATGGTGGGAGCCGCAATGGGTGCTCTCACTATTTCTGGTGTGATATTGAAGTCGGACTCTTGCCGGCAAGCCACCGCACGGGCGTCTCAAACGAACAATCAATTTCCTCTGACGCGAGAAGTGTGAGACAATGCCGGGATTTCGGGTAAAAATACTAGCGGTGTCAGTGACTCTGTTGCGGGAACAAAAAGCAATGGTTCCCCGGCTCGTTCCCTGTTCACTTGACTCGTATACGTCCTCGTCTCGAGTTTCCCAGTGATAGCTCGGACGAAATCGGGTGCCCGTACTTCGGCGGGATCTCGCCGCAGTCACGCGCCGTGAACTGTGGGCCAGCTGGGATCCAGATTCCGGAATTCCTTCTGGAAAATTCCAGAAACATTTCTTCGGAGGCATGAGCACGCATATTTCAACCCAACAAATGGTGCTGGCAAAAAAACTCCATGTCTCTCTCTGTCTTGATTATTGGTGCGTGCGCGGTACAGGAGTTGATGGCTATAGAGGCCAGGCCCTAATAATCGGTAATTTTCGTCTTGCTTTTTTCTTAGGGATGTACTGCAAGAAAGAAGATCACCGGAACAAAGAATCCTGTTTTTCTCGGTCTGGTCCTGGGGACGTTTTCAAGTCAGCCCCCTTGCAATTCGGCGGCAACAGCCATCATTGACCTTGATTTCGCAGCCTCGGCGAGCAGGCCCAACTGGGCTTTTCGAGACTGGAGTATGACAAGGGAATTAACAAAGACCCACAACTTGAACAAAGAAAAAAAAAGAACAAAAAATCTGGTATGGACGTTGAAAGAGTCCCAAAGGGGGTAAACAAGGAGAATCAATAAGGGGTCACCATGCATATCGACAATGGATGATGGGGAACAGATGTGATTCATCAAGAAAACTGAGACGCGGTCTCGCTTCCGCTTCTGTTCGCCATCGCATTGTTTGCATTCTTCCAGAAGTCCATTTACAATCCCGTCATTTTGTTCTGTTTTGGTTTGTTTCACTGTTTTTTTTTTTTCTTTTGTGCTTGTGTTTTTTTCTGTACTCTCTTTTTTCCGGATTTGCCAAATCCACTGACCCACTAATTGTTGGCTTGGAGCCTTGGCCTGGCGGTCTGAGGTCTGCCAGTCCTTCATATGCCCGGCTCCCGGGCCCTTCCCCAACATGTCCGCGAAATGGCCCGCATATACCCCAGCAAGTTCACTCCGCCACGTCTTTGGATCAAATTCCCATACTTTGATACAAATGGAACCAACAAACCAAATAGCTTCGAGACTTTTCCGGTCACAGCGTTACGTCATCGTGGCCATTTTATCTGTTTTTGCGATTTTATTGGTGATCACTGCAGCGGCCGGCCGGGGATATGTGAACACCGACTCTGCAAGCTCTTCGTTTTCAAACACATACTACAGACTCTGGGGCAGCCTGTCCGATATCGAGGTGCCAGAAATAGAACCCATGCCCGAGTTACTGATGGACGAGGGTCGGTGATTCAAACAAGAGGCACATCGTGTGTCTAAGGTAACGAACATTCAATGTGTTACAGATCTTTTCGTCTAGAAAGGGCACCTTAAGTAAATACCGATAGGTCTCGAAATTGCAAAGGACAATATCTCGAGGCAGTGTACATTGACGCTATATTATTTTGAACACTTGTGAACACTTAACATGATGTATCGCGGCGTCTTTCGTGATGCACGCGCCTTCCCTTCATCGTCTCTATATCTAGGCGCATGTGCTTGCCTTCGCCTATAAGTTTTTCCAGACCAACTTTTCCATGTAATCTCCCTTCAGTTTCTCCTTTAGAAAGCCCATCGCGTTGAGCTCAAAACACCCCTGGAGAAACCAGGCGTAGACGACCTTGCTCCACGTGTCTTCGTTATCCTCGTTTTTCAATCCCTCCATGATCAGCGCAAGCCCAGCCCGGTCGGTCTCCGGTGAGCTCTGCACGTGACGTTCAATTTCGGCCACGATCAGTGCTCTCGGAAGCGACAGCTTGAAAGCCACATAGAAGTCCCACAAATTGATGCTGACGGGCGTGTCTTTATACACCTGGTACAACTTGCACAACGGCGGCCCCACGAGCTTGGCGCCCAATCTCTTTTTCCCGAAGCGCTCCATGAGCAATGGGTTTCGTAGCCTAGCCTGCGGCTCATCTAGGTCTGTTTCAATCACCTCCCTTGTATTGGGGCGGATGACATCAATCATGACGTTCCTGTAGTTTTCCTCGATGGCGACGGCCGGTCTGAGCTCGTCGAGTTCTGTATGTCCACCATTGATTGTGAGCACCTCGTTGAAAAGATTGTCGCTGATTTTCATGTTGAGATGCTCGTTGTCATGGAAGTACTTGTTGAGAAGCGACTGGAGGTCGCCGTCATTTCTTTCCTGGAGGCCTGCTTTCATCCGCACGACATCTTCGTCGATCTGGCCATTCACGGACTCGTGTATCAGAGGCCCCGCCAAGAAAGACACAAACTCGTCATATTCTTCAGTCGCATACGCGGCCACGGCTTTCAAGACGCCGCTGGAAAATGCCGAGTTCATGAACTGGTTGTTGGTGATCAACTTGTAGATCTGGAACTTTTCTTTGGAGCCTCCGCAAAGCCAGTAGACTATGTTCACGGCGTTCATGACGGCGTTCTGGTACTTCTGAATCCAACCTCGGGCCATGTCGAAAAGCGCCTTGAGCTCCTTGTTGCTCAGAAGCAAGCGGAGCACCTGGGTCTTTTCGGACTCGGAGGGGTTCTGCCCAAGGTCATGCACAAGGGCCTCCATATGATTCTTGAAAGACGGGAGTTTTCTCAACGCGTCGTAGTGGAACTTTTCCGGGACAAAGGCAGGGTCCACCAAGCCCGCGAGCGGCGTGTGGTAGAAGTACATGATGTACGCGAGTTTGAGCTCTGTGATCAAGCTGTCGATGGAATTGTTGGAGTTCTCAAACCTGCTCAAGATGACCAGCGAGAGATACGCGTCTAGAAGTAGCGGGTTCTGCGCCGTGATCTCGTTCTGGAGGAGGATCTCATCGATGATCTGGTACCCCAAGTCCTTGTTTTCCTTTGCCTGGAACTTGACACCCTCGATCAATGTCCGGAGCTTGGTGGTGACGTTCGAGTCCATCCAGCTACCCACATTACGGGTGCCTAGAGCCATCACCATTTTGATCGGGTATCGGCTCGTGTACACGCAAACTAGCTGCAATAACTGGTTGAGCACCTCGGTGGAAAACCCATCACAATCCTCCAAAACCACCACGATCCGGAGCGAGTCCTCGCACCGATGTTTCTTGACATAAGAGTCCATCCAGTCCTGCACGATCTCAAAATCATAGGAGATCCGGCCGCCTGAGATGGCAGTCGACTCTTCGTCCTCGTCTTCCCCCTCGTCTTCAAACTCGCTGTTGTCGTCCGCAGAGTTGTTGTCGTCCGCTCTTTGCTCATTTTCATCTTCGTCTACTGGGCCATTTTTTTCGGACACGGGACCCTCTACAATCTGCTTGATCATTTCTCTGACGGCAGCCTTGATGTTGCCGCACAATTGGGAGCCCAAGCGCACGACTCGGATATGCGTGGCTCCCTGTGGGGTTTCTGCGACGTACATCGAGAACTCGTCTAGAAGCCGCAAGTTGTTTGCCGTGTTGGAACTCAAGCCAAGGAAAGCCGTGTCTAACCGCTCGGAAACCGGATCCTGGATATACTCAAGGAGACTGGCGAAAAGCGAGTGGTTGGCCAGGTTCAAGATCGTCTCGATGGCCTGTTTCTGGTGGCCCCAGATCTTCTCGTAGAGGAGGTACCGGTGTCTGACGTGGTCGCCTGTCTCGGCGAGTAGGTGCCCAAAAGGCGTCAGATGATCTTTTTTATGCTCGGCCGCCTCGGCTGGGTTTTCAGTTTTGGGTGGGTTACTTATTCCCGAGATCTGTCTGGAATACTCGGCATGGCTCGAGTAGATGTGTTCTAGATGCACCGGCCTGCTTAATTTCTGCCGCTTACAGTTTGATAGGTCTATCGAGTAGTGTGTTTTCTGTAGATTGTCATCGACGGTGATATTCAGGCTCATTGCCGGGTTTACGTTTGACGCTTTATGCCTTACAGATGGAGAGTTGCCAAAGGCCATGCGACTCGCACTGTATGGAAGTTCTGGGCAGAGACCGAGCATACCAGATCTGCTTCCAGGACCTACTTGAACACAGTGCCTGCTGAACGTAGAGATGGTCCAGCGGGATCATTAGTGACATGTAATTTTCCACTGTTTTGAAGCAGTGGTGAAGAAAAAAAATGATGTTTGAACTACAAACTCCTGTCTGGGCTTGACCTGAGCTTACATTCGCAACATACTACATTGGCGCGCTTCATGACACTGAGCAACAATATGAGGATTCGACCAGAGTATACATTTATGAAGAAGACGATTATTACGCCGGAGGGTATATAGCAAAGTTCTTGATAACTGCCAACACAAATTTTACTTTGTCAGGATCTTATGAACCCCAGCCATTAAGAGAAGTGGCATGTGCAGAATTGATCGAGAAGAAGAAATTGGTGTAGAACCAGGTTTTGATTCATTTGTGCCATGCTGCAAATGATCCTTCCTCACTCAGCATGAACGATGGAAAGGTCATCATAATAACAAAAGACAGAGGGAGAAAAACTCGCGTTTGCTTTGAGATCAGCCAGGTCACTTCGCGAAGCATTGCCCGGGTGGGAAGAATGAAAAAAAAAAGAGAACTCAGTTGATGTGAACTTTATGGGGAAGCGACGTTTTTTAGCCCATGACTTGTCATGTTTTCGGGTATTTACTGAGAAACTAACCGCGTTTGAACCTTAATTCCCTTCTAGTCGGATATTCTTGTCACTTATGGACATGAGAATCCTATTGCAAGTGCAACTTTTGCCAAGCAGCAAGGATCGTTCCTTGGAGGCAGAACGGGTTCGGGATTTTTGCAGAAGTTCACAAATTTGTCCGAGTAAATGATAAAGAGGTTTTTTGTGGGAAAAAGGGATGGAGACCTGTTAGTCAATGTAAAATTGATACGTAGGCCACAGGCGATCCATCAATTACAGGCAGAGGAAGAGCACTTCAGCCGGACGACGGTATCTACCAGTCAACACCCGCCTGTCACGACACCGCAAGTTCAAATAAACTAACGACGAATGAGTCTTTATTTATAGAAAAAACGAGATTATCATACGCGAGCATGCAGATGCATCCCAGATCCAGAGAATTCGGCAGGTGGAAAAATTGCAATCACTGTGGAAGGTGCGAGGCGCGTGCCTCCAAAAAAGCTCCAACCAGTGCTTCTATCCCAGACCCAAGCATCGTACCCTTACAATTGATACACTGGCTTTTGAGTGGGCCCTTTATTGGCACTGTCCCCGGTGAAGCCAAGTATATCTTACTGGTTGTGGAGGGCAATTTCTCCCGATCCTGCTAAAAATGCCGCCGGGCAGATTGTACTTTATTAGCCGTGGGTTTGTAGTTGCGAGCTCCGTATTGGTTCCTGGACATAGGAGCGCGGCCCGCAGCCCCACCAAATCAGCTCACGGGAAAATAGCTAAAGGATGAAATAGCTAAAGGATGAAATGGCTAGAGGATGAAATGGCTAAAGGATGAAATGGCTGAAGGACGAAATAGCATAAGGATATATAAACGGTTTACGGATGAGCAAGCAACTTGAGGTGCAAGAAAGTTCAAAGACGAAAAATCAGCTTGTGGGCGGAAAACAGTTTAAGAACGAAAAAAAAGCTTGTAGACGAAAAACACCTAAAGGACGAACGCGAATCGGATGGACCTACGAGCTGAGCCGCGCGCAGAGTGGCGAGAAAGCCGTCTTGATCGAGTGACGAATGTGCGTCGAACATGAAGACGGCCCTATGCTCTTTTTTCTATTCTGCCCGAACGGGTTTTGTCTGACTTGAAACGGCGGCGTGGCGCCAAAGTCTGGTTTCCTCCACTACTGGATAATTCTTGTGTTCTCCATATTGCGTGGGCCGCGGGGCGTTATCGCGCGCAGCAAGCCAAGCAAGCCCTGGGCAGGAGGCCCGGTTTAAGCTTTGGGCAGGCTGTTTTCTGAAACACCGCCGGAAACGCCAATTTTCGCCGGCCACTGCTCCACCTTCCTTTGAGCCCACGCGCCGTCTGTCTGTGAACACGCCGAAATCGCGGTTGCAAAGCACGGAAAAACGCCTGTCCAGAGCCGTCGACTCGCCTGTTCTCGATACTGCCCCGCGCAGCAGATCTCCGATTCGAGCCCCGCGCCAGATCTCGCTGCCCCGCGCCCCAGAGCCCGGCCCCGTCGGCACAGCACTGGGCCCCGTTCTAAGAAGTGACACCTCGAGCACTTCCACCCACAGGCCGAGACCAACCTGCCCCGTGCTGCCTGGCCGATTCCCTCGCCGGTCCCGTTTCCAGGACTGCTTTCATATTTTGCTTTTTCCGAGCCCCGGGCCATTTTTCCACCCCGGGCCATTTGAACACTAAGGCCTCGCTAGCACCGGCCCCACGAGCACTGGCCCCACGAGCACGGCCCCACTGGCACCGGCCCAACTGTCGCACCGGCCCAATTGTCGCACCGGCACCAGGCCCTATAGTCGCACCCCTGGCCCCGCGGCCCCCAGCCTCGTCCTTCTTTCTTCCACCTCGCCTCTGACTCCCAGTCTCCCCGCCCCGAGCGGCCCCCTTTTTTTTCCCCCAACCCCGGCATTCCGCCCAAACTGAGCGGCCCCCCCTCGTCTCCCCAGCCCCCTGGATTTGCAGCCATGAGCGGGCACTCGGCCATGCAAAACACGCCGGTTGCAAAAGCCCGGCGCCCCGCCCCCGGCTCCAGTCCGGCGAGGCAGACGCCCGGGAAAACGGCCACCCTCCCGGCCAAACCGCCGCCCAGGCCGGCCAGAAAATCCCGCCCGTACATCCGCGTGGCGCCCTTGAACACGCCCCTCGCACGGCGGCTCCAGACGTTGGCCGTGGCGTGGCACACCGTGTCCATCCCGTTCTTCTGCTGCGTGTTTCTCCTCATGGTCTACGCGGGCCGAGTCGCGTGGCTCTGCGTGATCTTGCCCTACTTCGTGTGGCTCTACGGCTTCGACTTGCACACGCCCACCAACGGCAAGGTCGTGTATCGCGTGAAGGACGCCATGCGCAACTTGCTCTTGTGGCGCTGGTTCGTGGACTACTTCCCCATCCGCGTGCACAAGACTTGCGAGTTGGAGCCCACCTTCACCTGCGAGCTCGTGGAGCCCGAGGCCGCGTCCGACGACGAGCAGGACTTGCTCTCGGACCGCCCGCCTGCTGCCGCCAGCGACGTGCTCTGCTTCTTGCGGCTCCGCAAACGGCCCGCGGCCTCGAGGCACCTTGCAAAGGCTCTGCGGCCGGCCGCCAAGGGCTCGGAATTGCGCCGCCGCGCCACGGGGCCGCGGTACATCTTCGGCTACCACCCGCACGGCGTCATTTCCATGGGCGTGGTGGGGCTCTTTGCCACGAACGTGTTGCGCAACGAGCCCTTCGAGCCGCCGCTCCGCTTCCTCAAGCCGTTGTTCCACGACCCCTCGCAGGGCAAGCGCTTGTTCCCGGGCATTGGGCACGTGTTCCCCTTGACGCTCATGGAGCAGTTCGTCATCCCGTTCTTCCGCGACTACTTGCTCAGCATGGGCCTCACGAGCGCCAGCGGGAAGAACATCAAGTCCGTCATCAGCAACGGCGACAACTCTGTCTGTCTCGTGGTAGGCGGTGCGCAGGAGTCCTTGTTGAACGACGTGGTGGGGGGCCATCACCGCGTTGGCATCGGGTCCGGCGACCGCGCGGAGCCGGAGACCAAGTGCCCTGCGCCTCCCGCCGATGGGCTCAAAGATGGCGCGTACGACGAGACCGTGTCTTCCATGGCCATGAAGCAGATTCGCTTGGTCTTGCAAAAACGCAAGGGCTTTGTCAAGTTGGCCATCGAGTTGGGAAACGTCTCGTTGGTACCCGTGTTTGCCTTTGGCGAGGCGGACATCTACCGTCTTTCTAGACCGCCTCCCGGCTCATGGGGCTACTCGTTCCAGCGATGGATGAAGAACAAGTTCCACTTCACACTCCCCTTCTTCTCGGCCCGGGGAATGTTCATCTACGATTTCGGTTTCCTTCCTTACCGCACGCCCATCAACATTGTCACAGGCAAGCCTATCTACGTTCCCCCGGGGCTCCTCCTGGACGAATATGACGACCCAGCGCCCAGAAAGGAGAGGCTGTCGTCTCTCACCAATCTCTTGAGCCTCAAGAGAAAGAAGCTGCAGACCCGGAAGCGCAAGGTTCCGCAGGATATACTAGACCACTACCACCGCTTATACGTTGAGGAACTTAGACGCTTGTACGAAGACAACAAGGACAAGTTCGGATATGGCGACGTCGAGTTGAAGATCATCGAGTAGACAGTACCATCTGGAAAAATGCCACATTTATGTACACTTTGACCTATTTATTCTTCCCACCCCAACCCATTCACTATTTGAGTACTATGTAAAACGCTCATTCGTCCTCCTTATCTTCCTTATCGATCTTGGGCTCTTTGCTTTGTTGCTCTTTCCGGAATTTGCGGTATTGCCTCAACAAGCCCCGGTCCAACTTGCGTCGACCTGTGGTTTCCACAGAGGCAGCGTTGGCTTCCGCAGTCTTGGTGACATCGGTTTTGTCGCCCTCCACTGCCGTTTGCTGGGCCGCAGGGGCAGGAACTGTTGGAGCCCTCACAAACGAGTTGGACTCTTGCAAATTCTTGCAGAACTCATTGAACTCGCGCTCTTTTTCCTGATTCTTCTCATCAAGCACCTTGAGCCTGGCGGCCTTCAGGTCTTCCCACTGCTTGAAGGCGTTGAAACTCGCATCTTTTCCAAACGGAGAGGCCCCAAACTTTGTGTTTTCCGGAAAGAGCTCCCAGAGTGACTTGTTTTTGATTTCCTTCAAGAGTGGATTCATGACGCACATGCCTGTGATGGATTCCCGAAGAGGGTGCTCGCCCAAGTCGCTGGTGAGAGTGTCGGTGTCGAAAAATATGCCAAGTATCGCAAGGTTTGGCTCGATGGCGCCAAAGCCATCTTTTGCCACGGCACCTGGGATACGACGCCTCGGAAGCCGGTGATTTGGATGGAGTTGAAAGTCGTACTTGAAGCCCAACGAGGGCATTTGTTGCTCATGTTTGGGTATTGATAGCTTTTTCTCTGGTGGCCCTGTCATATGGAGCTGCGTTTGGAACTGTTCCGTGGACATGTCCTGGAGTTCCTGGGAAGGCTTAGGCAAATCCTTGAACGACATGTACTTTTGTGCAAACCGCTTTGGCGCCTTCTCACCGACATCAGTCTTTGTGCCATTTCTACCGAGGGCTTTTTCCTCTGTTCTTCCCTTGGTTAACGCCAGTTTTTTGGGTGGTGCCGCCGCAGGGCCGTCCTCGGGTTTACTCCCTGAATTCTTTGAGGACAGGAACCTCAATGAAGTCCGCGATAAGACACGGGATGTAATCTGCAAGCCCGCGGGCCCGCTACGGCGATATATATACAGCGTCATCATTTCGTGGCAGGTGAGCTTTGTGTTGTGTCGGAAGAAAAAAAAAGGATGTATATCCAAAAGCGTGGCTCAACAACGGCAAACCCTGGCATTTTCTAGACCTGTCGCACTGGTGCGGAGGGCTTGTAGCACGTGATGTTTGGTCACGTGGACGAGGGAGCTCGCCGGACTCTTGGGCTTGAATGTACTCCAAGATGGAATATGGGGGAAAAGCCTATTATGTTTTTAGACCCCACGTAAAAGTCATTGGAGATTGTTGTTTTAGTTGAGTCGGGGTTGCTCAATTTTTACGTGTCGATATTCATGAGCGCAGCTGGTTAAGTTCGCGCCTAATTTTTGTAACTGATGAGTAATTGGAGACTCGGATGCGAAAAGTAATTGTTGGAGACTTGAAGCTCATTTTTTTTTTGTCTTTGTTGACCCAACGACGAAGAGATTCTTCCACAAGAATTCCCCTTCATCAGCTGCAACCATACAGATCCAAAATTCGACTGGGTAAGCTAATTAATTTACCAGCATTATATTTATAAGTAGATTAATTTTTGCGTTCATGGTCTCTCGTATATAGTCTTCCCTCTATTTTAGAACAAAAACGCCACTATTAATTTGTCCAATTAAAGGTTGTCTTTTAAAAAACCATGAATGTGAGTTCAGTTATCGTTCCTGAGGGTATCAGTAAATAAAACAGATGGTCTATGAAAACATACTCTCCCATAGTACCACCATGAAGCTACTGGGGAAATCTAACTCGTCTAAATCTTCCGAATGAATTCGTAGGATGTGGAGAATAAAGATGGAGCCTCTACAGCTCACCGAGCTACTGGAAAAGCTCAAACAGTGTATCGTTGTCTATGGGAGCCCTCAATTGTTAATTCATTCCAAATTTTAGTTTCTGGCCACTATATGATGCGTGATACCAAGTCTACTCGAGCAGTTGAAATCTGGTCAGTTGTTCTGAAAATATGATCATTTCGTAATTGTACAAAGTAAAGAGCCGATGTTGTCTTGCGGGAGCCTGAAATACAACAGACCCTCCATGGATTAGAGCAATGCGGAAATCTGAGGAATGCTTCCCTGGTGGACGGATGGTGACGGTTGAGTTTACGCTTTGGTAAATTTGGGTGATGTGATGTAGACTTTATCAATGGGGCCTGTTCGAGTGAAACGGGCAACGCCGAACCAAATTCAACCGCGTGTCTGTTCACTCACCAGTCTAGCTGATCCAGCTTCAAGCAAGTTTCTTATTTTCTTTGAGACATTGACTTGTGAGTTCAAAATGCGGTAACCAACCGTCTCAGCACGTTTGAATCTGATGACGAAGTAGGTAGTTGATACGATCGTGGACTTGGTCCTCACAAGCTTGGCACAAGACTAGGTGCTGAATGAGAGCAAGTGTGGCATGTGGTGGTCGGCTAGGCTGAAAAAGCCAGAACCAGGCTGTGGCACTGAAGACGGCTCTGAAATCAGAGCGCGGGTGTTTAAGTTCTGGATATGGGAGTGGAAGGATCAATGTGGTTAGACAGTAAGATCCTGAAAACGTGGTGCAGAGTAGGGAACAAGTCGGGTCGAATATGACGCCGGAGCTAATGCTGGCTCTATGCATATACTCAATTCAAGAAAAACTGGGGACTATAGACATGACATGATGGGTGAATGTAGGATCGTCCATACAAGGTAGGTGAGTGTAGGATCGTCAATAAAAGGCACGTGGATAGAGGATCGTCAATACAAGGCACGTGGATGTAGGATAATCCATACAAGGCAGGTGAAGGCTTGGGTAGGTAGATATACGATGAGACATGGCCCACAACGCGAGTGCACCACATAAACATGCGACAGAAGAGCGTTGCAAGACTGGGGCCAGGTTCAATCAGACAGAAGAGCCCCATGTCGTGGGGTAGCACTGAATATGGCAGACCCGCTCTCCAATATGCTGATGGACCAGAGTGCGCGTCAATACAGAAGAGCAGACCACCACCAGAACCCGGTTCCATCGTGCCCAGCATTCCGAGGCCCAAAATATTAAAAGAGCAGTGACGCGCTTAACACCAAGCTGCCTGCCCGGCCCCCTCGAGTACTTTCCCAGCCGGCCACCGTGGCAGCGGTGTTGCCGCAAAACGTGGCCCGTGGTTCCAGACCTGCACACAGCGCCGCCCGGCTCTCCTCCCCCGAAACACGAGCCAAGAGTCCAGAAAAGCGGCCTTGCCGGCGAAACCGAGCTTCCGCCGCCCGCAAGCCAGCCGCCCGCAAGCCAGCTGCCCGAACGCCGCGGGCCGCCGCCGGGCAAACGGGAGGTACGGGTGTCCTGCAGGGCCCGGCTCATCTGTCTCCGGCCATCTCGAAGCATACGTTTCCTTCATCATCCTCCCCGAGCCATGTCCCTCCACAGAGAAAACACCGAAGCTGCGGACCTCCCGCACTCCTACGACAAGCCCGTGCCCTTGGCCGTGATCGGCGGCACGGGTCTCTACGACCTCCCCAACTTGCGGCCCGTGGCCAGGCTCACCGTGTCGACTCCTTGGGGCTTTCCCTCCGGGCAGATCACGGTTTCCGTGACTGAAAAAGGCCACGCGGTGGCCTTCTTGGCGCGCCACGGCGCACACCACGACTTGTTGCCCTCGGACGTGCCGCTGCGGGCCAACATCGCCGCGTTGAAGAGCCTCGGGGTCAAGGCCATCATTGCGTTTTCGGCCGTGGGCTCGTTGCAGCAGGAAATCCGCCCGCGGGACTTTGTGTTGCCCACGCAGATCATCGACCGCACCAAGGGCGTGCGGCCGTCGACGTTTTTCGAGAAGGGCTTCGTGGCGCACGCCATGTTCGGCGAGCCTTTTGACGTGAAGCTCAACCGGCTCATTGCCGACAACATCCCGGCACGGGGCTTCTTGGAGGCGCACGACGCGGCCGCCGAGCCCGTGCTCCACCTGAAGAGCCACACGGAGCACGGCGCGGACTTGACCGTCATCTGCATGGAGGGCCCCCAGTTCAGCACGCGGGCGGAGTCCAAGATGTACCGGTCCATGGGCGGCTCGGTGATCAACATGTCGGTGTTGCCCGAGGCCAAGTTGGCGCGCGAGGCCGAGATCGCGTACCAGATGATCTGTATGTCCACGGACTATGACTCGTGGAACGAGTCCGAGGAGCCCGTGACCGTGGAGACCGTGGTGGGCAACTTGAAGGCCAACTCGGCCAACGCCTGCAAGGTGGCCGGGCGCTTGGTGGACGTGGTTTCGGAGGACTTGCACCTGGGTGCCCTGGGGCTTGCGGCCGAGTTGCAGGGCTCCATGAAGTACGCGGTGAGCACGAACGTGAACGGCGTGAAGAAGGACGTGTTGGAGAAGATGCACTTTTTGTTCCCGGGCTACTGGCCGGTCAAGTAGGCGAGTGGCGGGCGCGCTGTATAGACCATAGACGGTGCTTGACAGCGACATTAGCTGAAGTGCGAGAGTAGCTGAATCGTAGCTGAATCGTAGCTGAATTGCGAGAGTCGCTGAATCGTGAGAGTAGCTGAAAAGCGAGAGTCGGGGTGTGGATGTAGAAAGTGGCTTGGGTTCCTCGGGCGTGGCCATTTCGTGGGCTCCAGTTCCTGCCGCACTGTATAGGCCCCTAAGCAGAGGCAATCAAAGACACCCAAAGAGCGTCTTACACGCAGTAGACAGCCGCAGCTTGCTTGAGCCGCTAATGACCGGCTCTTGTAATTTGACTTGGGCATGGCGCCGGAGGCTTGATCCACAAATGTCTTTTAGGAGTGGCTGAGGCCGAGCCACTTGCGAGAGTCACTCCAAATAAGCTCCCAGTGCATCGAACAGGACAAGACCGCTGCTTAGTTATGGAATCGACCCGTAAAGGCAATTAATACGATACTATCAATCAAGTCTGCTGTCTTGTCGATGGCTCGAGTGTAGTTTTATTGGGTGATTCATGTGCTGGTGCCATATGACCCCTCTATCAATCTCGGCTGGAAGGGAATCAGTGGCCCAGCCAGCCATGAATGACATTAGATTCAGGAACTTGGCGAGTCAGTCAGCGGGGGCATTGTCCTCCAGAGCTCTGCAGTGGTATGAAGAAAAGTGGCAATATCCAAGATATACAATCGCCATCTGGAGGGTCAGGTCTGGCACTTTATATGATTGAGCGAGACTACTTGAGCTTCTCCTTTGAGACAACAAAAAGGGCTGAAAAGGGTCAATTCCGCAAAAGGAGGAAGTGACACGTCCTCTTCACTTTCGGGTCCTCGAAATATTTGAACTTCAATGATTTCCTTCACTTCAACGTGTGCTTACAATAGAGCATTGTGAGGAAATCCGCCAAAGCACAAATTTTCAAGGAGTGACGCGTCCATGATGCTCTTTCGCCCAATTATTTTGACGTCTACGAGCCCTCTTTCTTGCAGTGGATCCCAAGGTATACTTGGCTGGACTTACAGAAGCACATCTTTTGCAACTGGGACTTGCAAAAAACGAACCCCAAAGTTCGACATATCCTTTGCCATCTCTACTTTGCACGGTCGTTTGATTCTCATCAACATTCTGGGAAACCATGGACAAATATGGTAAATACGCCATATTACCTGATCATTTGGTAATGCGGGCCATACCAGGGATGTCTGCCAAGTTCTATACTTGGCTATGCGGTTTCGCGCACACTGGTTCTTGATTATGTCGCAGCTAATTATACCGCAATAACCCCAAGGAACGGAGCAGACCCTAAACCAGCTCACGGCTATCTCACAGGGGTTTGTTCAGTGTCTGTCAAAAGGAATTTGCAAAACTCAGTGAGCAGGAAGCCACCCTTTTCAAACCACCCACTCGTGTACCCGTCTGACCAGTAAGGACCAAGAAACTTAGAACCGGGAACAAGAGGCAGTTTCAAGGACAGACGAAAAAAAGCAAAATCGGGCAATTTCCACAGCTCATCTCAACCTGCGCTTTTTCTTCAATACAGTCGGGCAATTTTTTTGAAGCGGGCCTGCGAAGACAACGTGCAATCCGCAGACAATAACTCCTTGTCCCCAGTGCGCATGAGCTCCGGCCCACCTATTGTCTCCAGGCTCTCACGAGATTTCGGAAGGTGCGTGAATAGGCCCCATGCCAGATCCAGTAAAAAGAGAGAGTTCTGGCCGCTGCAGGTGCCGCACGTCTAAACATGGGCAGCTTTGCGAGGTCACTCGGTGCCCAGCTAGCTACAGTCCTACTACGAACGGTTGCTGGCGCATGTCTGGAAGATTCCAGCGTGGTCCCCCCTCTCCCTATCAGGAAGTATCGTATAGCAGCATGTAGTCTGCTCAGTTAAAAAAGCTTAAAGTTTGTGGGGAAATCGGAAACGCTCCTGCACCCCAACGCCCCGGTGAGCATGTTGCGACGGCTGGGCTTCTTATCTGGAGGGCCCCGGGGCTCCTGGTGACTGCTTCTTGTGATCGCGATAGTCGCAGTCACGTTCTCCCTCCTAGTGCGCCTTCCTTATTCGGCGGCCGGGCCCGAGATCCACTCTGGCCTCTACAGACTGCCCCTCAATGATGCCCCCACAATGCTGGTGCGACACGCCCGTATATAAGAGCCAGGCAGATCCCTCAGCCAGATGGACCGGTTTTTTTGATTCTGTTATCAAATCTCATCCATCCACGACAAGCCAAGCAGACGGCGCTCTAACGTCCTTTTTTATTTTTCGTGTTCCTGCCAGTTTCTTCTGCCGCTGCAACATCTGTAATTGAGTCCATTTGGTCCACGCCTCCATCTCGCTCAGTGCCCCCCCGGCTCGTTGCGCACGTGACTCCGAATACAAGCAAGCGCATCCAACAGCCCCGATCACCCCGAACTACTTCTTAGCAACCACTTTTTTTTGCCATCGCCGCCAAAAAAAAGCCTGCCAGAATTCCACGCGTCTCGCTAATTTCTGCACATTAACACGTCCCCCATGTCCATGAGATCGCTCGGCTTGAACTCGGCTTTGGGCCGCATGTTCACCAAGTCCACGGACCAGACCAAGGCCTTGCAAACGGTCCTCAACTTCCGCAAACACCCCGAGACATCGCTCGAGAAAATCATGACCCGCAGCGACAAGGAGATGGGCGGGTATTCCGAGGTCCACATGGACATCGACCCGCAGACGGGCGCCGGCCATTTCCACGGCTACTTGAACCTCGATCTCCCCAAGGACAACCCTGAGATCACGCGGTCCGGCTATGCCATGTTCCGCACCAAGGACCAGCGTGACTCGTGGATTTCCGGCGACTCCCACTGGGACTGGTCGCACTACGCGCTGATGGTTTTGCGCGTGAAGGGCGACCGCCGGAAGTACCTAGTCAACATCCAGGCAAACACGCCTTTGGTGACGGACTTGTTCCAGCACCGCTTGTTCTTGCACCACCCGGGCGAGTGGGAGACCGTGGTGATTCCACTCGACGATTTTGTCATGACCAACTGGGGCGTGATCCAGGACGGCAGCGAGCTCAACAAGGCAGAAGTGAAGACCGTAGGCATCGGCTTGTTGGACAAGCAGTACGGACCGTTCTCCTTGAAGATCGACTGGATCAAGGTCATGACGGGCACGGAGGTGGAGAAGGTGGCCAAGAAGTCACGTGCCGAGCGCTTGGCGCTCGAGCACGGCGCCAAGCACGACGGCCACAAGGATGTCGAGAGCAACATGCCCACGGGCGACGGCTGCTCTGCACTCAACACGCACAAGATCGACGAGCCCAAGGAAACCATTTTCTAAGTGCGCAAAGGAGCTACGATGCTCTTTGCTGGTCTTTTGCTGGCTTTCGTCTTTAATCATCCAGCTTCAGAGACACTGCGTCAGGAACTGCTGGCCGATGCCATGCTTGGAACCCGGACCTTGGCTTTTCGAGGCAATCGAAAGAAATCCTACAAGGCAAGGAGGGCGAATATCGAAAGAACGCAGTGTGATCTCACTGCCTGAGCGCAGCTTCCATGCATGCACCCCCGTGAGGAGCCGGGAACCATCTCTTGGTTTTCAAACGTCACAAGCACGCTTTATCATGGTGATGCGACATTGATTTTCATCCTATAACATATCAAATACACCGAATATATTCAACTCTCGACAGGCATGTGAGCACGTGACCCGTGCATTTGGCGTGCAGGTAGACTGCCGGTCACGTGGGCCCCGGCCTCGCTTCGCGCGCTACTTAAGACTCCCTGAAAATTTTTCTTCCCTCTTTCTTTTTCCTTCATCACAACTAATTATCAAAATGGCAAGAGGCCCGTATGTCTAATCTGATCTTCATTTATGAAGACAGACTAATTCAAGGCACAACACAATATGGCCTGTTCGTATCGAGCAGAATCCATGAACATAACCGTCTCCTTTCGGGGTGTAAACCGGTTTCCAGTCATATCTTCGGATTGGCGCGGATGGGAGCCTTGTCTTGATAATTAGGAGTGGTCGAAAACCTAGGGAGGTTCTTTGCTTTGCTGTCGATATTCTGAGGACCACATGTCTATTGCTGGAAGTCGAATGTTCGCCCGTCCCGCCGAGAGGGTCACGTGGTCCAGGTACGGCACGCCCCTGGCTTGTCACGCATCTTGCGCTTGCCTGCACTCCCAAGGTTCTCATCCACTCCTAATTGATCTGTCTGTCTGTAGCCATGACAATACTAACTCATATTCAGAAAGAAGCACCTTAAGAGATTGGCAGCACCATCCCACTGGATGTTGGACAAATTGTCCGGCACCTACGCCCCAAGACCATCTGCAGGTCCACACAAGTTGAGAGAATCCTTGCCCTTGATTGTGTTCTTGAGAAACAGATTGAAGTACGCCTTGAACGGTAGAGAGGTCAAGGCCATCTTGATGCAAGAGCACGTCAAGGTCGACGGTAAGGTCAGAACCGACTCCACCTTCCCAGCCGGTTTCATGGACGTCATCACCTTGGAGGCCACCAACGAGAACTTCAGATTGGTCTACGACGTCAAGGGTAGATTCACAGTCCACAGAATCACCGGCGAGGAGGCTTCCTACAAGTTGGGTAAGGTCAGAAAGATCGCTTTGGGTAAGAGAGGCGTTCCTTACGCTGTCACCCACGACGGTAGAACCATCAGATACCCAGACCCTCAGGTCAAGGCCAACGACACTGTCAAGATTGACTTGGCCACTGGTAAGATCACCGACTTCATCAAGTTCGACACCGGGAAGTTGGCCATGGTCACCGGCGGTAAGAACATGGGTAGAGTCGGTGTCATTGTGCACAGAGAGAAGCACGAGGGTGGTTTCGACTTGGTCCACATCAAGGACGCTTTGGAGAACACCTTCGTCACCAGACAATCTAACGTCTTTGTCATCGGTACCGAGGCTGGCAAGCCATACGTGTCGTTGCCAAAGGGTAAGGGAATCAAGTTGTCCATTACCGAGGAGCGTGACAGAAGAAGAGCCCAGGGTGGGTTGTAAGCTGCATTGTACTATACAGATAGGAGATACAAATAAAGGATATAATTTCGGAAGGTCCAGGCGCCGCAGTTGCCGGTCACACGGTGGCGGAGACATGATGACACCAGTGCCCATGTGTGCAGTACGATAGCATATGTGTACGCGCCGCTCGGCAACTGGACAGTATCGCGGTGATTTGGGCTGACGTACCTATGTTTCAACCTTCAATCTTTCAGTACAGAAAATAGTTATTTTTCACTACTAACCTGCAACTACCTAACCACAACAAAAAAGAGAATCAATGACTTCGCGCTACAGAATTGAGTACGCTCTCAAGTCACATAAAAGAGACGAGTTGATCGAGTGGATCAAAGGGCTTTTGGCCGTGCCGTTCGTGCTACATGGCGATATCGACGAGTACGAAAAATACATGTTTTGCCACGGCTTGCCGGACGAGCTGAAGGTGGTTTCTTGCGAGCAGAAAATCGAAAAGACCTTGCAGACACGCTATTTGGAGGTTTTTCATGACGTAGAGAAACTCATAGATAATACCATTGCGCTAGATGAACGGCTGCCGGATCTGGACCAACCGGCCCGCACGAGGCTCCGGCAATTGGTGCCATCGGTGGGCCGCTTTTTCACGAAGCTCCCTCTCAAAGAAGCATTTTTGATTGAAGACCGGAAACGGCTGATTTCGAGGCGCACGCTTGTGAGTCCTTCGTTCAATGACATCCGGTCTATTCTCAACACGGCGCAGGTGCTTGCACTCGCCGGCGCCCAAGAAAATGACGCCAAACTCCGGCTCGTGACTTTTGACGGTGACGTCACCTTGTACGAAGACGGCAAGTGCTTGGAGAAAGACTCGCCTCTCGTGGCGCTCCTAGTGAAATTGCTCAGTCTTGATTTATACGTTGCAGTGGTCACTGCTGCAGGATACCCCGGCCAACTGGGTGCTGACATGTACCAGGAGCGGTTGCTGGGACTCATCCAGGCGTTGAGGGATACGAACCAATTGCTGCTCACGCAGAAAAACAACTTTTTGGTCATGGGCGCCGAGTCCAATTACTTGTTTCGCTTCAGCTCGGCCCACGGGAACTTGAGGTTTATCGAGGGCTGTGAGTGGTACTTGCCCATCATGCAGAGCTGGAACCAGGACCAAATCCTGGAAATCATGGACCTCTCGCACGACCACTTGAAGCATCTCCGGAGAAAATTGAGACACGAGGACGAAAACAAAACCACAATCATTCGCAAGGAGCGCTCATTGGGCATCATTCCTGTGAATGGCTACAAGATCCAGCGTGAGATCTTGGAGGAGATGGTGTTGTCGATCCTGGTGGAACTCAATGACATCTTGAGCCACAACAAGTCCACTGCCAACGTGAGTGTTGAGAGCACAAACCTCATAACTGGCCAGGCAGAGAAGAAGGTGCAAGTTTGTGCCTTCAATGGTGGCTCCGACGTGTGGGTGGATATTGGCGACAAGGCTCTCGGTGTGGAGGCCTTGCAGCTGTACCTCTACAAAACGTGTGGAGGCACGCATGGCAAAATCGCCAAGAGTTCCAGTCTCCATATCGGCGATCAGTTTGCATCCGTTGGCGCCAACGATTTCAAGGCCAGGCTTAGTGCATGTACTGTGTGGATCGCCAGTCCAAGAGAAACAACCGAAATTCTAGAAGAATTGACGAATTTGCTTGAGAACAACTCAGGGAAAGTCAACAATATCAATTTATTGGCATGAAAAGCTCTCTTTGAGGGATGACCTGGAAAGCCCAACTCGCTTTATGAACTATACAAACAAATCAAGACATATACACCAAACAATATAATACGAACTATAGAACACCTTGATATTGTGGATTTCGGACTTTTGAAAATGAACGAGCAGTTCAAAACGCATACCACATTGGTGTCTTTTCTACTGCTCAACCTCATTTGCCACCGATATTATCCCGCTTCATTTTTATCACAGAAATACAGATAATTTTTTTCAGACATATTTTTTAATGACAGATTTCTCAATTATTCTTTCACGCTTTTCAAAGAAGAAAATTCCTCTTCAGCCCGTAGTACGTGTCACTCGAGCTAAATTTGTAGTGGATACAAGAAATGGAGATCCCTCCGAGCATTTATCACCTGTGGAGAACCACAAGCTTCAGAAGTTTAATAAGAGCAGATTTTCAAGATCCTAATACCCAGATCTATAGTAGTATATGACAAAGAGAAACCTTTCTTATCCATAGTTTCCAAGCAGCAGATTATCAAACAATCATGGTCTATCATGATGGCGAGAAGGAGATCTTCGCAATACTTCCACAACTACGCTCTCAAGGACTGGAAGGTCCTTCAAGTCCAGCTTACCTGCAATCGATTTTTAATTTCTTCGTCCGCGAGGTTATTGTTGCCGAGATTCTTGATAATGCTCAAAAATTCTTTCATCTTGGGGTTGCTAGACTCATAACCATGATGTCTGTTGAAAGGGTCTCTCTGTTTTCTTTTATCTTGTAGCGGTGCTCGGAGCCCATAGAGATCGGTTGCAAAATGATCGAGGGCGTGTTTTTTCTCTGCAGCAACCAAGCTTGAGAAATATTGTTCATGATCAATTTCGGGGCCTGGAAGTGGCGCGTTTCCAATATACTCCACCAGGGATTCGGGGAAATCCAATGCCTGTGCCAAGTGATACTTGAGAAATCTGCTTTTTTTGAACTCAAAGCCAACCACAGTTATGAACTTCGGGTATAATCCAGCGATCTCATAGAATCTGCAGATCAGAAAAATAACGTTTTCCAAAGAATCCCGGGCATACTCTTCGAGAAATACTCTTCGCAACAAATTCTCGTCGGCTGTTCCGATAAGTCTTTGTGCGAGCTGATAGTAAGAGAGCGCCTCAGAAATTGGCCCAGCTTCTGCCTTTGTTTGGCCCCCAGAAATAATAAGGAGCGCGTGTGGGTTTCTTTTCAATTCATCAAAACTTTTGCGAATATGGTCGATGAAACAAAGGTGATCGTGGCCCTCGATTTGAAACGACGCGAGGTGCCATTCATCAGAACTCTGGCCTGTAGCGGCTTGTATACTTTGTGCTTTCCATATTGAGTGGCATGGAAGTATAATTAAGCGGTCGAATACCATACCAGTGACGTGATCTAGGATGATTTGATTTAGTGGCGTCTCACGCTATGTCTTGAGCATTGAGTAGCTGCATGCGCTCGTGCATCTGAACATTCTGCAGCAGCACCTGCAAGCCTCGTTCTGGGTCATGTGACCCAGCATTGCCTTTCCTTCCAAATTGTAATGAGCCTTAGAGATAAACAAAAAAGTCAGCAAAATGGTCCTGAATGCAAACTTCTACAAGCCCGAATCGGCGCCGTACTTCAATCCAGCTGAGGAGCGAAAGACTGCTATTGTCACGGGTGGAAATTCGGGCATTGGCTGGTATACGGTGTTGCACCTATACCTCCACGGTTACATAGTCTATATGGCAGGCAGAAATGCCGAGAAAGTTGCTCATGCAGTGAACGAAATACATACCGAGGCTGTATCTAGATTCGGTGCTTATACAGAAGAGGAGCAAAAACGCAAGCCTTTAGGCGAGTTGCACTCTCTCCATTTGGACTGTTGTGACTTGAAATCTGTGGAAATATGTGCAGAGGAGTTCCTAACCAAGGAGTCCCATTTGGACTTGCTCATCAATAACGCCGGCTTGATGGCCGTGCCTTTTGAAATGACTAAAGACGGCTACGAAATTCAGTACCAGGTGAACTTAGTGGCACCAATTTTGTTCACCGAAAAGCTCCTTCCAGCATTGGAAAAAACCACCACACAGGCGAGTGTACCCCGCGTGATTACTTTGAGCTCCATGGGCCACAACATGTCCATCAAATACTGGGATCCTGCTAACCCAATCAACAAATTTCCAAGCGCCTTGTACAGCTGGGTTCGGTACGGAAACGCGAAGCGGGGGGCAATCGAGTACATGCGCAAATTCGCTCAGGTCCACCCAGAAATATTGGCTTTTTCTGTGCATCCAGGTGTGATCACTGACACTAGGCTATACGACTGGTGGACTAGTATGCCAACTCTTGGTCCGCTTTTCAAGCTTGGTTTCCAAGGCTGCGGCAAAGTAATTGGTGTTTCGTGCGAGGAGGGTGCTTTGGCCACGCTTCGGGCTGCGTTGGACCCTAATTTGAGTGCCCAAGAAAGCGGCTCCTATTTTGTGACAGGTGGTGTTATCGAAGCTCCATCTAAAGTGGCACAAAAGCAAGAAAACATTGATACTACGTGGTCTTACAACATACGTTTGTTGACTGAGAAGGGCTTTCTCAAGGAGAAGGTATAAAGTGTTTCGGCCTTGATCATGTGAACACTCCTTTGTATTTTACTAGAGGACACTATTGATTGCTTGTCTTTGATTAGTCTACTATAAACAATTTTATGAACTGATAATTTTGCTTCTTGACGAGTGGTCTCTATGTAGAATAGCACGCGCAGCGCAGCCGAGAGACCTACAGCTGCGAAGACTAATTAGCTTACTCGAAACAGTCTGTCTGTCTCGACACTGCCATACCCTTCTCTTTACCCACGAGAAACCATAATCTGGTCTAAAGCCATAAATCAAAAGCCGCAAAGAAAATTCCAACCAACGTGTTCTTCTGGTCCTGTCGTGCAGAAGACAAAGATCATATTTCACGAAAGCAGATCATCTCCCCAGTACAAACAAAATATCCAGCATTCAAAAAAGGATTCCACATACCACTCTCCTGATTTACCGAACATTCCTGCCGAAGTGTTTGAACATACTTCTCATAGAATACATTTACTCTCTACTTTATCCCCCCATATATGACCCATTGATATCGAACCTTACTTGCCCTCACTCAGTTCTTTCACATCAACTCACACATGGAAGAAATGGCCGTTGAAACCTCGCTGGAATACCGTGCTGCATCACTGACCGGCCCCATCAGCTCGGATTTCTCCGAGTTCATTCAGAGCTCTACCGCCAGCACAGTAAACCCATCCAATGTTTATGAACTCACCCAGTCAGAATCGCTCATATTCTTATACAATCTTCTTTACGATGACGATTCGGCGCTAACAAAAGCAGATATATTAAGCATTCTAAGTTGCTTGAAAGAACGTGAATCAAACCTACCGTTTGCTTTCACCCAAATCGACCCGAATTCTAACGTCCAGGGCGTCGCCTGGGATCTCAATCTCCGGCGCAAATTTTATCAAGAACGGGCTCGTGTTGCTAATTCCCAGTGGTTTACAAATGTCCCGATGTCTAGGGAAGAGGCCATAAAAGTAAGTTTTCCACAGTTTTGTGTTTTTCTTTCATGCTATGATACTAACAGTTTTCTTTGCAGAGTCTCAAGCTAACTGCCTATGACACCAAAACCGACTTCTTCGAATTCCATAAATTTTACAGCCGTCTCAAGAACCACATCACGCATTTTCAGCTCCGCTCGCTCGTGGTTTGTGGGCAGAATGCGGTTTCGGGGATCTTTTATCCCTCTTCGTATTTCCATGACGATATGCTTGAGCCAGTATTTTTAGAGTCTGACTCAGTCCCAGCAAATGACTGCCATAGTTTCTTCAAGTTGATCAGGCTAATGCAGGATGAGACTTCTCTGGTTTCCGAGTCTATGAAACTCGATTGTTTGGTTGATTCTAGACACCTCAAGTACCACTCAGCTAGCCGAATTTCGTCAATGGCTTGCTCCAGCAAATTTCTCGCGGCTGGGACGTTTGAAGGTGGCTTTATCTTGGTGGACATCGAGGACCCGAACGATACTAGGCTTTCTACGGAGGTTCTACTAACGCGGTCTTCAGAAGGTATCACAAACGATATAGATATCAGCAGCGATAACCTACGACTTACGGTGGCTTCTAATGATGCGAAGTTGCGTCATTTCGATGTCGAAAAATCAAGAAAAACTTCATCTATTCATCTTCCGTTTGCGGTGAATAGGCTCGTCTCAAATCCCCATAATAACCAGGAGTTTTTTGTGGCCGCAGACAGCAAAGAAAACTTCATTTGGGATCGTCGTTGCCTCAGCGAAAATCCCAAGCCAAGTGTGACGTTTCTGGGCCACAAAGATTACGGCTTTAGCTGCGACTGGTCGCCGCGAGATGAGCATCTTTTGGTTTCAGGAAACCAAGATGGCACGGTGCGATTGTGGGATCGCAGAATGGCACATTCAAGCTTACATTGCTGGAACAGTGCCTTGGGGTCTCACGCTTTTGATATTGATGAGTCCATTTTGGGCGGCCCTGTTCGGAACTGTAGATTCAGCCACTTCGGGAATCATGTGGTTTGGGCCGAGAGCTTGGATCATGTGGGTGTGATACAAATGGACGATTTGAAGATTGGGGACGAGCTGATTCAGTCGCGAGTTCAACTGATTGATTTTGTTGGCAAATGCATAGGTCTCAACGTGCGTCTGACCGACTCAGGTCATGATGAAGAGCTCATTATTGGTATCAACGACTGTCCTCTTGGAGGTGTTCTCAGTTACCGATTGGATGCACCGGGAAAGCTGCTTCCCCTAGATTTCGAATTTTAGGTTGCCTTTATGAGTATCAGATTTATTCGAAATGGCAGACCTTGGTTCCTTGGAACATAATGTGAGATATTTCCAGAGACAAAATCCGAGCATTTGCTGTTGAAAGTCTTTTAATCTAGAAGTAAGATTGCGGCCTATAAGTCCCATTTAGAGAACTGGTTAGTGCGAGACGTTTCATTCAATTCCTCTCAGGAATACTCATCTGACTTCACATTCAAGCAAAGGCTCACACACTAGAGCCCGTTGAAGTATTATTTAAGTATATGCATATTCTATATATGCTATCAAACTCGAGTACATTTGTCAAGTGGCTTCGTGTATTGAACAGGAGTACTGCTCGAGTGTGACGTACCCATCTACAAGCAATTTGTTTAATGACTAACAGACTAGCCTCGCAGGCGATATATTTTTTTGCGTTGTGATCTAGCCCTGGTTCTGTGAAAGCTTGCTATGCCATATATAGTCAGATATGGACATCCTTTTGTCATTCTGGTTTGTTCTTGGTTTGATATTAGCGTTATAATATCGTCTCACTCCGATGGTTCTTCTATGCATACATGATACACAGCTTCAGCAATGCATAAAAATATTCCTTTGGTCTTGAATACACATTGACCATGTAAAAGAAACACACGTTTGCGATTATTTCAAGCCAGCAACTGCATCACTATTTGACGTGACCTCAGGTACTTCGTTGTCCTCCGCATATCACAAAACATTTTCACAGGATATTTATCCATTATTGATGGCAGAATCATACGTGTAATATTCAAAATGCTTTGAGATTCTCGGAGTCCAGATGCAATGTAAGAAGACGAACAAGGCTCGCCCATGTGGATTGAAACCCGACAAAACAGTACCAATGAGAACAGTCAGTAACCAAATGACCAATACCTCAGCAGTCAGACCGAAATTTCAGCTTGAATCTGGAATATGTGGAGACCAACTCGAGATGTGATGTGTTTCGTGCATTCGATCAGATAGATGTTGACATTAGATGTTTTTTCTTGGGTCTTACCACATTTCGTTCAAATCCTCAGACACCAGTAGGTTGCCACCGACACTTTTAATAAGAGCGTCTAAAGCAGATAGTTTCTCCCCCGTTTTTGTGATGGCCGCAATGACCCGAGCCTTATTTCTGGCACTTGTGACGGATTTCTCATACTGAACCACTGCCTGGTCGTCATTACTCATTGAGATCGCTGCCAAATACGTACTTAGCTGTTTTAAATGGACTGCCAATGCAGGGCTCTTTTCTTGACTCCATTCTTCCAACAAGCCGTGCAAATATCCCACAATAAGAAACCTCTGGAATCCGGTCTGAAGACCATATACCTTGCCCTCCATAAATTGCTCTTTTGCAGAGTGCTCATGGCCTTCGTGGAAGCCCTTTTCATAATAACCATCCTCGAGATTGAGAACATCGTCTAGACTGAAGTCGGTCATTTTGAATGGTGGGTTTGGGCAGACCGATGACAAATGATGATTGCAAAATCCCTGGATAGTACATCTCGGACGGAGCGCGCGAGCCCAATGGCCGTGCACATCCCCAGAAAAATTAGAATCTCATATCAGCACATAATAACCCTAAAGATCTCGTCGAGAGTAGTATGCCGGGTGGAAATGTAGATCCAGGAATTCTGCGAAAATCCAAGAGCAAAGTTCGGCTAGCTGCGGGATATTTGTCGGACTCTGACGGACTTGTTGATTCCGACTCGGATGACTCTAGTAGTTTAGCTGGTGAACTGAAGGACAGTAAGCTGATTGAAAACAACGGCGACGAAAATGGGAACGATAAAGAAGATGATATGTTTGCATCTGACAAGGAGGAATCTGAGCCCCAGAGGACAGAACCAAAAGGGAGAGCTGTAATTGACATTGCTCAATTCGAAAAAGACCAGGGTTTGGAGGACTACGAATTCAATGCGGGCATGGACAAGGATGAAATCAAACCACACTTGCTTCATCTGGAAGTACAGCTTGAGGCGTTCAATTTGCGCGAGGAGGCTGAATCTGGGAATTTCGATAAGGACATGAACTACATCCAGCATGACAAATCAGATAGCGAAGACGACGAACCTTGGATGGCAGGCGTCAGTGTAGCCGACATTGAGAAAGCTAGGAAAGCACAGCAGAAAAGTTCTAGAGCAGGTAGTCAAAAATACTCCGTCTCCAGTAAAAGCGTTCCGGAAATATTGCCGGATCTTATCCTGGTGTTGGAGCCCGCAGAAACACCAATGGAGGCGCTTTCCAGGCTACGACCAGAGAAGAAAAAACTCAAGCAAAAGACAGCAGACCTAAACGAGACAGAGCGCAAAAATGCAGTGTTTAAACTTACAGACTGCTGCGAGCAGCTCGTGAACGACAAAGGCATGACGGGTGCTTACGACATGAGTAGAGAAGAGCTTATGAGAGCATATTTTCAGGAAACAGGCGTGAACTTCCAGCCCAGAGGAGTCAAGAGGGACGTCGAGCAAATGGAGAAGGATGATGGCCAGCATGGCACAATTGAAAACCAACATGCCACCGGCGAAAATCAATATGGCAAAGCTATCTGGGAGTTTCGATGGGTGGATGACACCGAGGTACATGGCCCATATTCCAGCTATGAAATGGATCATTGGAAAAAGACGTATTTCGAGAATAGAGTCGAAGTGCGCCGAATCGGCGATCCCGTCTTTTGTCCCGTTGCAGAAGTGCTCTTTTCCGATGCCGAAGATGGGTCATGTTCATGACGTGGGCTTGGATGAGATGGGAATTTAACAAGTCAAAGCAGTGGAAGCAAATACAAATTAAGAGGTGTGTAGACTCATGGTAGTCCAATTCGTTTTGGTCTTCAGTTAGAAAAGCACTCTGCTAACTTAAGAAATTCAAAACGTATGAAGATATGGACTAATTGATGTTTATTTAGGCCGATTGATCAGACCATTAGGAAAGCAGAAAACAGAGAGTATCATTGGCTCAGAGTACATTATGTACTGGAAGAAGATCAGACTCAGATACCATCAAGTAGTCAAGAATATCAAGAATCTTTTATATGCTCAATAACATCACATTTAAAAGAGTCTCATATTCCTCAAAGAACAAAAAAAAACATTCAAGTGTCTAGAGCCCATTATAGTTAAAGAACATTTTTGGTCATACATAAATGCTTGATTCAGATTGCAAGTCCTCCTGTGATGTCGAAGCCTTGAGAAATATGTTTCCGTGATGATGTACTAGTCTGGGTAGAATTATAAGTGATCATTTTCGGCATGTAATTATCTTCGGAGCCATATTTAAAGTATGTCTGGTCCTAACCCTGCCTGAGCCTCGGTTTCTACTTTGCAAAGAGGTCAACAGTCTGAAAATTGCCCAGACACACCTTACACCAAAACAGTGAAAGTGGTCATTTAGCAAGATGCATCGGAAAGTGGCACCAAGCCTTCTCGGACTTATTTTTCCACAGTGTAGTTAAGCAACGGGAACTTCATGTCCTGTGCAATGCTGTCAATCACATCCCAGCCCACATTGCACCTCCAGCGAATCTTGTTGCTCAATGGATCCTTCGAATACGTGCTTGAGATCAAACCTAAACCAGCCAAAGTCGCGATCTGCACGTTGAGATCCACGTTCTTATTAAGCGTGAACGTGTTGAACTCAGTTTCCTTCTTGGCAAGGTCCCTCTCAGTGAGATCGTGGTATAAATTGAAATATTCCTGATTGTCTTTTGAAAGAGTATGCGACTCGTTTCGGTAGATGACAGATAAGATGGCCTTCATGCGCTCAAGGTCAAAATAAGAAGCCGATAGAAGCCGCGAGTCGATGGCAGCATTTTTGAGCGGCGAGTCGTGAGACTTTTCCGGCAGTTTCCGCGGCGAACGCTTCTTTGGGGACTTCACCTTGGAAAACAACTGCACGTCCATTTTCTGGTCGTTGTATGAGGCCAAATAAGCGGCGATTAAAATGAACTTTGAGTGGTGCGGCAAGTCTGCGTATGGCGCACTGGTGTCATCTTCCAAGAACCCTGTCTCGTACATGGTAACTGCGCTGTTGGAAATCACCTCATCCTTGACGAGCTCGGGCTTGAGCTTTCTATATATGGCCAAGAAATCCTGTTCTTCTTGCGCATATGCCACAAAAAGAGGCCAGAGGTTCAGACAAATGTCCCACACGAGCGAGAGGTCCGAGCCCGTGTAATCAAAGTGCAAATCCACCACCAACTTGGCGAACTGGGCCCAGAATGTATAGTTGACTTTCCCCTCTCGTACTTCCGTGAACGGGTTCTGCGCCACAATTTCTGTCACCTGTTCTAGTGAATAAGGCATGAAAGGAATACAAGGCACATCTAGAGTGGATACTTGGTGTGGTGCCTGGTTGGAGATTACGTATACCACGCTGATATTCCTGATGGCCGAGTTTTCCCGCATTAGGACAAATGATCGGAAGAGGTCGTCTGTAGCCTCGAGGCACTGGTCAAACCTATCCAAAACCAAAACATGCGGCTCTGAGTAGCCCGTCTCCTGGACGAACTGGTCGAGTGCCATGAGAAAATGAGCGAACGTCTCACATAAAGCCGAGAGACGGGCCACTTCCAAGCCTTTATACATGTACCTCTGGGTATACTTGGACAAGTCCACACTGCTATCTGCCTTGATTTTGTGCAAGCAGTTTTGTAGAAGGATTTTCTGGGTGATGAATTCGTCACAATTAAGCACGGTTCGGCGGATGCCGAGATTCTCGAGATGCCGGAGCACCACGTGCGTTTTGCCCACGGATTTGTAGCCCAGCACAATCACATTGGCCGCCAGGGCCTCCGCATTACGTGTGATAAACGCTGCGAGAAGGTCCTGTTCATTTTCACGGAATTTCACGTATTTTGCTGGCTGCTCCATTAGATGGATGGAGTGCACCCTTCAGTGCATCGAGCTTGGTCTGATGGGTGCAACGCGCATGCACTGCACAGGATGCGTGTTGACATGGTGCTTGCATAGCCAACAAAGACCTGAATACCAAACTAGAAAAAAAATGTTAGGCTCTGTTGCTGAATATTTGCCGATGGGTTTGTTCTAGCCAGTTATTGCCTCTAGAAATAATCTTCAAGCTGCACCAGCAACATTTTCAACCCGTAGATGCTGGCCACATTGCGGAACACCAGGAGCCGTTGCTCCACATACTCGTACTTTACGGTCTCCGTCCAGCTGCCCGAGCATTTGCAAAACTCGCTCATGTTGTCGCTTTTGATTGTATGGCACCGGGAGCACTGGTAATCCTGACTCAAGTACTTGGCCACCAATCTCATGCACTGTGCAATGAGCTCCTCCTCCATAGCCGCCTTGTTGTACGATTTGCGGCAATTCGTACAAGCCCAAACATCACTGTCTTCATCTCGGCAGAAGTCCACATCACGAATATATTCACAGTAGTCACAAATAACAGATGTGATGGTCAAAGAAGCACTGGGATTGATGAACAAGGATTCGGCACTGAACTCCCTGACGTCTAGTTCCTGGAGAAGGTCTCGCCGCAACATCCGCACCTCAATACTTCTCTTACTGGACAATGCAAATACGCCACACAAGAATTTGACAAGTTCCAAAACAGGAGCCTTCATGTTGAGGTGAGAACCCGCAAGTTTTGGAAACTCGTACTCTTGCTTCATCTCGGGATTGAGGATTGACTCGTTCTGGCGACGATTAAGTAGCTTGATTCTCTGCTGGAGTGGCTTGCGGAAGTTCACCATCACCTCACTCACAAAGTCATCCTCGTCAGTTTCATTGAGCGTGTCTTGCTTTTTCTGCCCGTTCAAGATATGCGCCAACTGCGTGATTCTTTGTGTTCCCAGTTGCGTGCCTCCAAGCAACACCTCACCTTTGTAGCTCGCCAAAGCATTCAAAAAGATGACTACCCAGTCTTCAAACTCACTTTGAAACATGACCGGGAGAAACTTCTTTATGTGCCACTTGCTGAATGGAATCAAGTCTTGAACTTCTTCGTTTGTGATTTCTGTACAGCACCGACCGGCATAGTTGAATTGATCCATCCAAACCAAAAGATCCCAATAGCGCACAATGCGCAAGTCCAAGAAGTTGAATAATGGCTTGGAGCGAACTGCATTTACCGCGTAGTTGCCAAAAGCATACGAGTTTTCAACTGAGATCTTCGAAGTCTGGACGATCAATTTCTGACTCGTAGCAAACACGACTTGGGCATTCATTCTTCTGAACTCACCAACCAACTGTCTCAAGGCCTTGTATGTTAGCTTGTGGATATGTCTGTGAAGCGTGTAGTCGTATAGCTTCGAGCTTCTTTTTTGAATCCATAACACTAGTTGACTCGTCATGGAGTCTGCGTGGATGTTGTGGTTCAAAGCATCATCCCACCACTGCTTAACCATCGACCTCAAAAGTGCCAAAGCAGTTGGTGAAAAAGTATCGACTGCCAAGGTTGAAGCCCCATGATTATCGTCTCCGTCCAAAGGATCATCGGCCAAGTCTGTCCCTTCCATTTCATTGATAAGCGAACTTGTCAAAATGGTATTGATGGTCAACGTGCCGATCTCGATTTCCAAACACGCTGTTTCGTATATCTCTGGCTTATTAATAGTGATGGATTCGAGACCTTCCAGATCATCCACTTGGTCTGCCTCATATCCTCCATGGTCAGGGTATAGATTATTTGACCACCACAAAACAACATTATTTTCTGTCAAGCGCCTGGCATATTGGACGTCGATCAAATAGTCTAGATTCTCGGCTTGCAAGTTGCAGAGCGGAATATTCGAGTAGTTAGAAAGGTCTATCAAGTTTTTGATCCCAGAAGCTAAATTGAAATAATGTTTCATAATTCTCTGAGATATGAGAGATTGCCAACCAATTGCCGGCATAGGCACTTCTCTCACGCTCATTCTAATTGTAGGGAAGTCAGTAGCACTTTCGAGAAGATTCAAAACCTTGTGGCAATATGGTGACTGAATAGCAAATAATGCTTTACTACTCCTTCCTTCGTGAATTTTCCTCAAGGTGGAATTGAGTTTTTTGTATAAAGAAGAGGGGTTGTTGAAGTAAAGTGTCTCAAACTTGACATCAATGGGGTAGTCCACGATGTTGTAATAGCTGGTGAACGAATCTTTTTTTGCCTCGTATACATCTTTGTAAATCTTCTCGAGATTTGATGGTAGCTCTTGAGCACCAGTGGATGGCTTTAAGACGTAAAGAAACACAGTGTTTGTCCAAGTGCAAAATAGGGAGAAAAACTCATAGCTGTTTGTCACAAGATGGAGCAAATAAAAGATTTCCATATTAAACCTCTTTAAGTATTGTGCTTGATTGATCTGGATCAAATCCTTGGTGGTGAAGCCTGTTTTCAAACACTTCCCCAAAGCACCCACTCTGGTATCATCAAAGCGCACAGTGTTTCCTAGGCCGATGATAGCTCTATCAATGGAACTTATTTCGGTTTCGTATAATCCCACAATTCTTGAATCATGAAACAAGCTATCAACCCTGCTTATTTCCTCATTATAGGTGGTTTCAGGCATGGTGAACTTGTAGAGGTTTGATGCATCGTGGCCATTTGGAAGGACTGCCCTAGATTTTTCGATTTCACAATTCGCTATTGTTTTTTTGCTCGAAAGCTGCGACTTAAATGTAGCATATACTTGCTTCGGAATATTAAAGGAAAACGAGTAGACCTTTCCAGCAGAAAGCAAGTGTACCTTAACCACACCAACTTTAGTGGGATCTATTTTATACTCAAGAATTTCCCAATTGGTCCCTGCAATATTTTCAGCTTGTTTGCGGATCATGTTACCAACGGAGGACCTATGGGACGACTCCGAGGTCTCTCCGAATAACTTCTTTCTGCGATCTCTATTGCGAGATTGAAGGTTCCACTTAGCTTTTTGATACTCCAAGAATCCCACGTAATCTTCAGTCATGGAAGGGCAAGTGCCCCGAAGAAGCGATGCATGTTTTTCTTCTTCCTCAATTTTAGCCTTCTGCGCTTCTCGGAGTTTTCTTTTCTTGACTGTCACTTTCCCAACCAAAGATCCAGGAACGTCATCATCGGCTCGGTTGCCAAAATCCTCAATATCTTTAAATGCTTTTCCTTGGTGTTCTTTCTTTGACAGAACACCAAAAAACGCAGAAATCGATGACTGCTTTCGTTTATCGTCTTGAGCAAGGATACGTTTTCTCAACCAGTCAGGATGAGGAACTCTGGGAACCGGGTTCTGCACACTTTGGTAGGCAGCGGGAATAGTGATGATTTTTTGAACAACCGACGCCAAACGCTCGTAATAATAACCCCAATCTAATATGGAACGAGGATCAAATTCTGTTAATGAGGAGTCTTTGAGCCACTTCTTCAAAAAGTACTCCTTTTTCTCCGAAGAAAACACCGCAACAGGAATGGCTCGTTCGGTGACGGGGCTGTCAGCAGGTTTAGAACTGATGATATATTTACATGCCAAACCTGCGTCTTTCACCATTTCCTCTCCCAAAAATTCTCCTAAGCGTTTAGCTGTAGTGATGGATGTAGATTTCTGACCTTCATACTCTGTGAGAGCCTTGCTCATCATTTTGTTTTCACAAATAAGTTCGATCAAGTCCTCATCTTCCAACATTCCACCTTTGGTGTCCAATACATCTAGCCAGTTATTTGCAACGGTAGCCACTGCCTTGTAACACTCTTCCAAGGTATCTCCATCAAGAAATAGCTTGAAAATGTCGGACTGAAAGTTTTTAATAAGGTTCAATTCTCCTCTTCTCTTCAACTCGAAACCCTTCAATTCAGCCAATGATCCATCGTGGTTGAAAACTGCGTATCTCTTCTTCAATCCTTTTCCTTCTTCCTTGGAAGTAGGCAACACCATGGCACGGTACGGCCCATCAACTTCGAAGAAAATCGAATTTTCGGATTTGGTACTATACTTGAACCTTTCCGGATCCTCGAGATCTTGATACTGGTGATTTGTAAATTTTTGATGGACCAAGTAGTTCAACATCGAGCAAGGATACTCCAAAAAGACCTTCTTTCCGTCTTTGCATTTGAGATTAAAGTTTTCTGGGAAAGACTTTGGTAAAATACACCAAATACCATCAGTGTCTAATTCCAAGGGCCGCCCAATTCTTTCGACAAGAGCTCTGGCCATTTGAATGATCTTAGAGCCGGTGAGACAGGTGATTCCCGCCATTTCCATGGAGTACCAACGGGAACCCTTTCTCATCACGTAGCCATAGAAGGAGTTGAGAATGACCTTGTGGGCGAGTTGCAACGAATCGTACAAGACCACCATTTTGTTGGCTTCGTCTCGTGAGATGGTGTCTGCACATTTGGAAGACTTTCCCTTCCACACTTTGGCAAGATTCTTGAACTCGTAACGACGGTCTCTGAAGTTTCTCACGGTGTTGACATAGAAGGGGTTTTCTCTTTGACAAACGATGGCTTCCCTTGTCACAGTCTCTGTCACCTTCTTCTTTTTATGCACTTTCTGGGAGTAGTCTCCGAGTCTGGTTTTCATGAGCAAAGCCTGTTCGGGATATGAAAGCTCCTCGAACGTCCGAGCGGGCAACCAATCTTTTAACGGCGGGAACTTCTCGGACTGCAATGTTCTCTTAATCAAGTTGTAGTCAATGGCCTTTGCAGGCGAGAATTCACCCCTCCAGGACCACTCCAATCTCCGGTCACACGTCTTGCCCGGCCTGTTGAAGTCGCAAGCCGCACAGTCTTCTTCGGTCTTCATAGAGTCGGGCTGGAGCCTGTTAGAGGTCATGATGTTCGGGTACATGGACGCAACGTCCACGTGGTAGATAAGAGGATTTTCAGTCCGGACCGGGTTGTCGCGCAAGTCTTCGAGTTTGGCTTTGATTTCTTCATAGACCTCGTCGAAATTCTCCACGTCCGCAATCTTCTTTCCGTTCTCAACTTCAATGCAAAACTCGATGGACTTTCTGAGGTCTTGTAGAAGCTCGTCGATCGCCGCGGGCTGGATGTTGAAGTTGTTGGGAATATCGCTGCGGAACACCCCCGACTCCAAGGACTCCACGTGGCCACCCACGTAGGTTTCTGATTCCAAGAGATGCCCGTCGTAGAACCGCTCGATGGGATCGGTGTATTTGTTCGGGAGCAAGATCTCCTTCTCATATGCTTGCACCATCAACAACATCTCACACAAGGTACCGGTACCTTTACGGAGAACTTCGTCCGGGTTCAACGGGATGATGGTGCAGAGCGAGAAAATGAACGGGTGCACGTACTTGAAGTATAGGTAGTAGGTAGCCACGGCGTCCGAGACCGAGTACTCCGAGAGAACCTGCGGCTTTTCGTAGGCATATGGGGTCATCAATTCCGGGTCGAGCTCGATGGGGTTGTAGCCCAACTTGGCAGTCGTCACGGCCTTCAAGCCCTGCGAGCCCTGCGGCAAGTACGAGTCTCTTTTTACCCATCGGAAGCAGTCCATGTGCACGCAGTACTTGGACTTATACTCGCCCTCGTTGTCCTTGGCGAAGCCGATCTCGTCGAACATGTCCATGTCGTGGAGGTTCGTCCGGGTCTCGACAAAGGGCCAGTCGAAGAAGTCTCCGTTGAACGTGGCAATGACCGTGGGACGCACGTCGCGGATGTGCTCGTAGAACTTCTGCAACACGTGCTTCTCGTCCGGCTCGTTGAACACGGTGAACTCGCCCGGGTACTCCGGTTTCGGCGTGTACTCGAAGTCGTCGATGTCCTCGGAAATGATTTCGCGGTTGGTGATGAGAAAGCCCTCGCCGTCGATCATGTACGAGATCATCATGATCTGGTCTGTCTTCGCATCAGGAAACTTGAGCGGCGCCTTGGTCGTCTCGATGTCAAACGCCAACACCACGGGGTCGGCAAACGCGATTTTCGCGGTGTCCTCCTCGAGACTGACCGCGCCGTGCATCGCATACACGTCGTACCACTTGCCGACCCGGATGTTCTTGTCGATGGACACACGCACATGGAAGGGCACGTCGTACTCGCGCAAGTCGTCAATGAAGGTGGTCGGGTCCGACACGGCGTCGCTGGCACGTGTCCTGTGGGACCAGGCGCCGGCATGCTCGCCCAGCGCAAGGTCCTCGTTGTCGGCATTCGTGAAATCAAACGCCTGGAACACGTCCCGGGTGTCTCGTTTCGCCTGGTTCTCCTTGATTATGGGCGTGAGCATCCGCCGCGCCCCTAGCAAGTCGGACACGTTGTGGAACAGTAGGCGGAGAAGCGTGCGGCGCAACCCCACCAAGTGGTTGGGCATGGCCAAGTCGTCTTTCAACTCGCGCGCCACGGCCTTCAACTTGTGCTCCTCGAGCAACTTTTTCAACGCCTCCTCGACCTCGGCCTCGCGGCCCGGCACCACCATCAAGAAAAAGTAGGGGTCGTGCTGAATCGTGGCTTTGAACAGGCCGCCCTCGGCGTCCAAGAAGTAGAAGTCCACGCCCGAATACCCGGCTAGATACTCCTCCGAGGGCACCGTGGTGGCGTGCATATTGACCAACCAGCCCTTGCGTGGACGGGCGCCGTCCATGCCGCCGTGGTCAAAACGGTCAAAGCCCATCATGGAGTCCAAGGCATCGATTTTCTCCACCATGTCTCTGCGCGTGATGGAGTCATTGAGCATGGGGTTGGCCGCGGCCGCCGGCTCTGGTCTGTTGCGCACGCTGAATCGCGTGGTGACCTTGCCCGGTTTTCTGCTGGTGTTCTTGACGAACCGGGCCAGCGTCGAGCCTTTGTAACGCGAGTTAGAGTTGGCCGACATCGAGGATCAGGATGGCAGATAGGCGGAGGTGAACACGTGGCCAGAAATGGTGCAGATCCTCGCGTTGTTGATGGCTCGTGTGTCCGAACAAAGACTGTTTTGCTGGAGCTGGCCTGGGTCTGCTGGAGCCTATACAGTGGAGGTCTATGTAAAACGGGGCCCGAAGAGCTGAGCGGGCGGTCCACGCGCGTGCGGGAGACGCGCCCACGCGTCACGTGACCGCACGACGTGGCGCCCGCGTGCGTCTCTTCAGCCTGGTACCTCGGGTGGGTAGCAGCAGTCGTCTTGGAGCTTGAGCTCTGTCTTCTTGCATCTCTGTCTTCTTGCATCTCTGTCTTCTTGCATCTCTGTTTTCCGCTCATGCCGCGTAGCATATGCCCCGGTCTTCCGCGGCCCAGGCGTCGTCGAAATTCCTGGCTGCCGTGCATTGTAGTTTTTCTCCCTCCCAACAAGTATCCCCGCCATCCCCCTTCTCCTTCTCTCTCTCACTAGTATCGGCACATGAAAAGCACAATCAAGAACTGCACGACCACCGAGTAGATGAACAAGAACTGGACGCGGAGCCTCCGCTGGCCGTTGGAGATGGACGCGGCCGGGTTCTCGCCCAGGCCATGCGGCAAGATGAGGAACTTGAGCGAGCGCATCAAGAACAACGACAAGCTGCCCACGGCCGCAAGCAACACGCCGTAGTACATGAGCCACGAGCTGCCCGCGACCTGCTTCCAGCACAACAACGCAATGATGGTCACGTACTTGTAGCCGCTGAAGCTGATGAGGTCCCAGAACGACGTCTGGGCAGAGCAGTTCAACAAGTACAACCCGACACGGAAGATTAAGATGTCCACGAACGAGCACGCAAGCGTCTGCGAGGCCACGAAGCCAAACACCTCCGGGTGGAAGTCGCCGCGCAACCCCGAGAACAGCGCCCAGAGAAGCACGTAGCTGACAAGCGCCATCAACGGAATGTACAAGTCGGGCGCGTTGACGTCCTCGCACGCGGGCGCAAAACAGGGCCCGCTGCTGGCCGCACCGCCGCTCTCCACGGACCGGATCCGCGTCCAGTCCCGGTGCCGGTAGGGGAAAAGAATGAGCGCAAGCTTGCGCCACACGTACGCGTTGCTGACCTTGAAGTAGTACTTGAGCTCGCCGGCCACGGGCATGTACGAGCCGAAGTTCTGCTGGAGATAGCCGTTCAGCAGCCCGAAGCTGGACTTGGCAAACTGCGCGGCCATCGACGCGGCCGGGTCCAGGAAAAAGTCGCCGTACGCGCCGCCCGGCGCCGCCTGGCCGGGCGGCTGGAAGTTGGGGGTGTTTCCTTGGAACTCCGCCGCGTACTGTCCGCCATACTGGGCCGCTGGGTACTGTGCTTGTGGCGCCTGCTGCTGCGGATATTGCTGCGGATATTGCTGCTGGTGCTGCTGCTGGTATTGCTGTGCATACTGCTGCAGCCCGTGGGCAGACGGCGCCTGGGTTTGTGGATTGTGAGCGGTATATTGCTGCTTGCCGCCGAACAGTTGCTGGGGCACGTGCTGAGGGCGTGGATGGTGCAAATTTTGCTGGCCCAACGACTCGTCTACAGCCAGGGCATAAGGATTGTACATTCTGTTAAGTGGCGGGGCAAAAACGGTGGGGTGGCGTGTGTTTTGCTGGTCGTAGAGACGTGTCCTGAGGTGTCTGGAGTGGCAGTGGATCAGACATGCCTGAGAGCCGTGGCCTGTCGCGACCTGTGTGCAGGTCCGGGCCTGGATGGCTGCGTGAGCCGTTCCTGGCTTGGACCGAGAGACTGGTGGAGTGGGGGCCAAGCCGAAAAAAAAAGGACACTGCTAGTTTGGTACCGACAATTCATGAACATGTATATAAATTCTTTTTGTTTTGTCCAGATGAGGGCACACATCTTGACGCTTGATTCCAGCAATCTCACGCACATAAAATATGGTCTAATCATGCACAAGTAAAAGTCGTAACAAGGTTCCGTGGGTGAACCTGCGGAAGAATCATCTAGAAAAAAAAGTACACCCTTTCAAGAAAAACAATACTGACCATTATATTTCAACACAAAAATAAAAAAAAACTTTTAACAACGCATCTTTTGGATTTCGCATCGATAAAGAACGCAGCGAATTGAGATACGTAATATGACATTGAATTTTTGAACGCACATTGCACCTTAAGTTTTTTTCTCAAGGCATGCATGGATGGTCGGTATTTACTCTCAAACTTTTTTGTTTAGTCTTGACTACCGCCTAAATATCAAATGACTTTAGAATAAGTTTTAGAACCACCCCCAGTCTTCCTCATCTTCGTGACTACCCACTGAGCATATCAATAAGCGGAGAAAAGAAACCCAACAGGTATTGCCTATGTAGCGGCGAGTAAAGCGACAAAAGCTCAAATTTGAAATCTTCAGGAGATTTGGAGGGTAAATTCATCTTTCTTATACTATGTCCCTATAGACTTTCACATTTCGTGAATGCCGGGGGGTATATCTACAAAAGTCTACGCCTCAACAATTGTTCTTTTTGAAGGGCTGTGAGATGAGGGGTTTGGGTTGTTTGCTTTTCCTCGAGGCCATTCTCTGGCTATTAATTTTTTGGATGTGCATCATGAAGCGGTGGATTAACTGCGTTTCAAGAAACATCGTGTGACGAGGCCTTTAACTAGGGTACGGGAAGATGAATTCTGAAAGAGTTGGCTGGACTCATTAAAACAAAAAAATACAAATGTTGTACCTTCTGCAGCATGGATATCTGAGAGACTAAACATGCTGACCCATCTCCTTGTTAACAGGATTTCGGTCTATGGGCCTGCCGCGTGCATATTTCTACTGTGTAGCGTGACGCGGACATGTCTCGAAGAAATTGAACTGCAAATAAAGAGCAATGATATGAGTGGGACATACACGACACAGGAGGATACGACAAGGCAGTTATGATGATGACGTTTCAGCCTTCAAGCATCTCTGGATTGCGTGTTTTGCCCACGTTTTATTGTCGTTCCACACCTTATGCACCGAGCAGAGTCGGATGCTCGAATCACTCAACACGTGAAAAGCGCATCTTAGTCATCCACCTGGTTCTGGAAACTCGATATATCACTTATAAATAAGTCGTTTTGAATGTTCTAGGAAAAGAACAATTTGCTAAAAACCCTCTTCTGTGGTAGGGGGAAGTAGTAGCCGGATATCAAGCTCCTTCTTAGTAAATTCACTCGTCCTCACCCTTCGCGCAGCTGCCATGTTGCCAATGAATGAGGTTCCAGATTCGGTATCAGAATCACCATGTAAAGGTGGGTTATCGCATCATTTGATAGTAATAGCATGAATTCAGAGAAGTCATAGCCTGCACGCTCAACCGGTGACTGCCGATAGTCATAATTTTGGGTAAAACGGTGGCTAAAAAAGCCGTTCTCGTATGACCCCCGATAAAGTCTTGAAGTGTGTGAGTAAGCTTAGACTCACGATATGGAATATGCTTCGAGTCCTTTCCTTGACTTCTGATTCACCGCTCCAGGCGTTTGCTCAGTTGCTCCAAACAGAATGTCAGAGGTAACTCAAGCCATCCACTTATGCTGTACCAACTTTGCTACATCTGTACAGCCGTCAAAAGAGGTCGTTCAAAACATATGTCACATAAAACTCATATTTCGGTACCTTTTTAGTTGACATTTTGAATTCGAAATGATTTCTTGGTAATGCTTACCGATATGAGCAAAAAAGTTATAAAATCAAGAGTCACATGCTTTGTATGCGATTAATACACGTACTTGTGCTTTGTTCTATGTTTCCTACACTTTATTGGGGGCTGCGAAAAATTCGTTTTATAGTCAACTCGGCTGATAGCCTGTCTTTAGCCTACCTTCTATTATCCCCATGCAGAATCAATCTGTCTATTGTGTCTAAAATCATGCATATACCCCACTAAAGCTACAAAACTGGATGGATACTTCTTTGGCTTTGAGTGGTTTTTCGAGTGGTTTACACGTGGAGTTCAGATTTCGCACCCATTGCCATCGATCATATTTTCATGCAAGAGACAATTCATTTTCCTATCCGTCCAATACACCATCACCTCAAATTGTCCCAAAGACTCGAAGAGATTCATGAATTTGTGAAAGAAGGGGTTGAACGATCAGCCTTTCGAAATTGATCACTGAAGCCTCGATACAACAATTTGCAATATGAAGGTAGATTATATACAGACCCCATTGGACAGTACTGATACTGACTGAAGGCTTTCTAAATGTAGAGTATCGCACTACTGAGGCTCCAAGATATTCTGATGAGTATTCATCTTCTTGACTTCATTGGCTCTTAACTAGGTACCGAGAAAGAGTTGCCCCATTTAGCCATGATTTAACCAATGCACGAGTTATCTTTGCGGAGATTAGTAACCCGGATCTAATGAAAAAGAGACTAAACGCCTAATTACACACGGAGAGGATCATACTATATTGGCCCTTCTACCCTAAGGGAATCACCGATAGACCAATGGGTAAGACTAACAATTGGTTAGACAGTAAGTGAGTTAAGTGGATCACCGCGAATTATTATCTCGTGATATCCCAAAAGACAGAAGCCCTTTAGAAATCCAAAACCCCAGATTTCCTCAGCTCTCGTCTAGATCGAGATGGAAATGCCTCATCTTATCAGTAAATAGTGCGTTTATCTCTCGGAGAATGGTAGCAATGGCTTTAGAGACGGCGTCACATTGCGGAAGCGTAGATAGCCAGCACGGACCTTTCCGAATGTACTAATAACACTGAAAAAAAAATCAAGTGAAGGATCATTAATCAAAGTAGACATGAGTGTTTGCAGTCTACAAAACTCCGATCTATTCCCTCCAAATGCCAACTCCACTACACTCACCCAGGTGGTTAACGAGCATACTATGTTTTTCGAGAATACTCCTAGTGAACCGACAGATTCGTACTTCCAATAAGCTACGCCCGGCTGTCAAGTGGTCACGTGACCCACACGTCTGCTGCGCAAGCGATTAGATACGCGAGCCGCTGCCAGCATTACTAGCAAATAACCCAGGCTAAGCAGCCCAGCAAAAAGGCCTGCAAGATCCGGCAAAAGAACATGAAACCCTAATCACAAAACCAAAGCGCAAACACGAAATCAATAGCAACCAAATTGAAGAAACGGAAGCAAGCACTGTTTGCTCTGTCCTGTTTGCTAGCCATGCTTGCTCGAGCAAGCTGGAGCCAAAACGCAGCGCAATCCAGATACCTGCGTCACGTGACCGCACACGTCCCAGCCCAGCCGCGCTCCTATAGAATGACAGCAACTGTTTCTTCCCCTTCGCTGTCTTCTTCACGGCACCTCCTGTTGAAGCATTAGAGAAATGCCTGACGGAAAAGTGCTTGTAGTTTCCAACCGCTTGCCTGTTACAATCACGTGCACCGGCGATGGCGCGTACCAATACGCCATGTCGTCCGGCGGGCTCGTGACGGCGCTTCAGGGCCTCAAGAAATCAACGCAATTCCAGTGGCTCGGCTGGCCCGGCTTGGAGATCCCCGCAGAAAAGCAGGACCAGGTGAACGCGGAGCTCATGGCGCAGTTCAAATGCACTGCGATCTACCTCAGCGACACCGTGGCAGATTTGCACTATAACGGCTTCCTGAACAGCATCTTATGGCCGCTCTTTCACTACCGGCCGGGCGAGATGAACTTCGACGAGACCGCGTGGGCCGCGTACATCGAGGCCAACCGGCAATTTGCCGCCAAGGTGGCGGCGCAGGTGGCGGACAACGACATGGTGTGGGTGCACGACTACCACTTGATGTTGTTGCCACAGATGTTGCGGGCCGAGTTGGGCAGCACACGGCGCAATGTACGCGTGGGCTTTTTCCTCCACACGCCGTTTCCGTCGTCAGAGATCTTCCGCATCTTGCCTGTACGCCAGGCCATCTTGGAGGGCGTGTTGAGCTGCGACTTGGTGGGTTTCCACACCTACGACTACGCCCGCCACTTCTTGTCCGCGGTGGGCCGCATTGTGCCTGGCGTGCAGACCGTGCCAAACGGCGTCGAGCACCGTGGGCGCACCATCAGTGTTGGTGCGTTCCCCATTGGCATCGATGTGGACAAGTTCACCCAGGGTGTGCAGAAGGACTCTGTGGTGGCCCGCGTGCGCCAACTCAAGGACAAGTTCAAGGACATCAAGGTCATCGTGGGTGTGGACCGACTTGACTACATCAAGGGCGTACCACAGAAGCTCCATGCGTTCGAAGTCTTCCTTACTGAAAACCCGGACTGGATTGGCAAGGTTGTCTTGATCCAGGTGGCCGTGCCCTCGCGCGGAGACGTCGAGGAGTACCAGAGCTTGCGGGCCAATGTCAACGAGCTCGTGGGCCGCATCAACGGGAAGTTCGGCACCGTGGAGTTCGTGCCCATCCACTACTTGCATCGCTCCGTGCCCTTCGACGAGCTTATTAGCTTGTACCACATCTCCGACGTGTGCCTCGTTAGCTCCACGCGCGACGGCATGAACTTGGTCTGCTACGAGTACATTGCCTGCCAGCAGCAGAACAAGGGCGCTCTAATTTTGTCAGAGTTTGCCGGGGCCGCTCAGAGCTTGAACGGTGCCATGATTGTCAACCCGTGGAACATCGACGAGTTGAGCGAGGCTATTCGCGAGAGCTTAACGCTCCCGGAGGAGAAAAAAGCCATCAATTTCAATAAGCTCTTCGACTACATCTCCAAGTACACGTCCGCGTTCTGGGGCGAGCATTTTGTCAAGGAGTTGCACAAGTTGAAGGGCGCTTGATCAGCGCGCCTTCGGTCAGACCTAAATATGTTATGCAGTGAAACACGTTTATGCTTAAGATTATCTGTGTGGGATTCGTGTACGTTCATCTATGGTAATTGGCAAGTAGCTGCGGCTACTCGACATGGTCAGCCGTCCCCGGGCCAAATGCTGCTAGGGTATGAGTATTGAGGTTGGCTCGCGTGAGCGGCACCATTAGCTCGACTTTGTTTTCTTTATCCTCTTGGTCATCGCTCTTGCGTTGGGCTGCAGCCTCTATGGCGTTTGTTCGCTGCGCAAACACATTGTGTCTCCCAATACCAAAAGTGCTTTGTTGCGGGTTCGGGAGCGTGGCAGAGATTACCTGTGGTTTGATTCCGAGTTTCGAAAGCAACGAGTTGTTTGAATAGAGGTACGAGCTGGCGCTCCCTGCAGGCGGCGCCTGGAGAATCTGGCTGCTGGAATATAAAGACGACTTTGGTAGGTGGTGTCGGGTCGAGGAAAACTGTTTCTGAGTATGCGCCTCAGCGGTCTGTTTGTCGGATTTGATTTGCGCTGCATTCGTAGGCGCAGTCTCTTCCTTCTCACCACTGTCTTTGAAATGATGCACGTCTTCTTCTAGTGTTTTGGCCAGACTAAACGCAGACATCAAGTACGGAAGCTCCTCGGAGATTGTAGACTTTTGTAAGACGTTTGTCGAGGCGACCGACGAAAATGAGCTTCGGCGTGCATGCTGTTCCACGACCGAGCCTTCATCTGTTGTTGGCGTATGCGGTTTAGTGATGGAGTGCACCATGGGTTGAGAGTAAATTTGCGAGTTCGAGTGGGTGGTCGAAGCTGTGTCAGTGAGATCCTCGAGGTCAGAGAATTCCTCGTGCTTGGAGCTAGCCGAAAACAGCAGGGGCGAGTGGACTTGTTGCTCGGATGACTCTGCATAAGCAGAGGGCTCTTCATTGAGGCCTTGCGCGTATTCGAGCTTGAAGACCTCGAACATTTGCTCCATGTCATTAATGACGGCCATACATTCATTCTTCTGCTCGTCGTCCTGTGCCTCGACCGCCGCATTCAACTGGCCAAGAAGACTGGCAACAAACTGCTTATAGGACTCAACGGTGGCTTTTTGGTCAGACGTCCCGCCTTGCAACATGGATTCCAAATCCATACCGATGGTGATAAGTTTGGCCTTCAGATAAGCGATGGAGATCTTTTCGCGGAGCTGGTCCTTGAGCTTGATACTCCGCAATGAAAGTGACGTCAAAAGCGTGCCGCTGTCACTGAGAAATTCCCGCGGCGTGAGCGTGCGCAGCGACTTGGTGATGAAGTCCATGTCTGCCGAAATCTTGTTGAGTTTCATGGTCAATTCCTGGCACGAATCAATGACCCGCACACTGACATTGTTGTTGAATGTCTTGATCTCGTGCGGATTGCTGTGGTCAAAATGATTCGACGAGTTGAGATCCAAAGACATGAACGCCCAGTTCCGCAACGTGAGCTCGATTTTTTCTAGTGTCTGCAAGATGCTGAGTGATAGTTGACAGAGCCGAGACACTGCCCGTTCCGTCAATGGAAAGCCCTGTATGATCAGAACGAGCTGCAGCGTTTTTCCCTTTTCTCGGTTGAGGTTCGGGTCCCGTGCTAGACGAAGAATGTCATCTTCGTATTGGTAGTCAGTTTCCGTGTAAGACATCGGACTCGGGATGGTGGGGCTATAAAGCAGACTGGTTTTCCCACGCCACTGAACGTTTATGGGCAATTGAAAACACCTGGGACTGATACCCTAAGATATATCCTTGGTATGGAGCCGTCTCGCTAAAGATTTGTGATGGTCAATTGGTACGCTCGTTGCCTTGTGTTTGGTATATCTGGTAGGCACGAGTCAATTCAAACACGGAGATGAGTCACGGTTCAAAAGCCAAGGACCACGGATAACAAATTCAAAAAAAATCGACCCGCAACTTTTTGATATCTTTGATCCGTACTCGTATGTGGAAGAGTTGTTGTTCACAGAGAATAGATGGTTTACCCAGCAAAACGCGAAGGCGCTATTGGTGCTCATGCCTGGTGAAGACAAGATGGCCCCAGCAACAATGGGCTTTTTTTGGCCCTTGCGCGAAAGTGGCATGGTTTATAGTACTACACCAAGGGCATGACCGGGGTACCAAAGGACATGTCCACTGTTTTTAACTTTAGGAACACAAATCTTTCACGAAGAAAAGGGCAAAATTTTTAAAAAAAAGCAAAAAATACCCTGGTCAAGTCTAGCTCGTTTAGTGTCTCTGGATTGGAAAGCACAAAGTGCTGAAGTACAGGGCGGTCTGTACATTACGCATGGAATGACTCGGCTGCAAGAGTTCTTCCATGGCTCGCGTGCATTGACTCGCGATGGGGAAGGCCTCTCAACACACATGCTGCGGGTCTTTAATTCACTACATAATTTCTAAATAATCGCTTGTGTAAAGCCACAGCCCCGCATCCGTAACCGTAACCCCGGGCGGTATGCTGAAAAGTGACAGTTAGCGCAACAATGTATTCGCCAGTGTCAATAAATAATGTCTTGATGCAAGAAAGTATTTCCTCTCGTGACCTTGATATCCCTGGGTTGTGAAATCTTCACCTTGAGACTTGATTTCTGTTCTGAAGAGCGAGAGTCATTGTGGGACAGGTTTGATCAGCGCTACACAGGGAATCTGCGTGGGGGCGTGGCTCTTCAGACCTGACATGCCCAGCCTCATCACACCTGAACGCTCACATAATTTGCAGACCCTCCCCCTGGAATTATGTCCAGATTTTCCATCGACGGCGTCATGGTACATAAATGTGCTTTCCAGGCGTTGACCTGTTTCCCGTGGATCCCGCAAATAGCAACGAGTGCCCTCTTGAATTGATGTCGCCCGCAGCTTTCGCCTTTGAAAGCAGACACAGTGTCTCCCTCCACATAAAAGGGACAGTTCCACGCGCTCGGAGGTGCAAGACGGTCCTAGCAACGCTAGAAAGAACCAAGTCCCTGGGATCTATTGGGTGTCTCGACAGGATCGCCCATGTCTTCACGACTGTTCTTTGGTCACCCGTGTTTCCATGGCGGTGCGCCACTCGTCCATGGTGGTCTTTGGGTGGAGAGCGACAATCATAAGCGTCATGTTGTCGAAGCCAATCCCCGTGGCACTGGACGCCATGGCAATGCACTCGTTCAAAACATACTCGGTGATATGCTGCAAAGTCCAGCCATGGCCGAGCTTTTCTCGGATCGCCCGCACCAACTGGTCATTGGTGAAGCAGTCCCAGATGCCGTCGCAGGCCAAGACCATGAACTCGGGCATGTCAAGGGCCTGGAGATCGTAGACCATGAGCTCGGGCTCCACCGTCACCTGGAATAGCTCGGGCGGTAGCAACACCAAGTCCTGTTTGCAGTACTTGCGGTTCTGCTCCAACACAGAGTTGTTTTTCCCCACTGCGTCGAGCTGGAGCCACGGGATCTTGAACTTCAAGTCGCCGAACGCGCGGGACAACGCCAAGATCTCGTTGACCCGCGAGTTGAGCACGTAGCCGCCGCTGTTTTCGATCCGCACCCGCTCGCCCATGTGGGACGGCTTGTGGTCGAACGAAAGCGTCTTGGCGTGGCCGCCCGGCAACGAGAGAATCGACCGCGAGTCGCCGGTGTTGGCCACGATGATGTAGCGCCCGGCCACCACGGTCAGCACGATAGCCGTCGACCCACAATTGGCGGCCGTTTTGTCGGGGAGCCCCGCGTCCACCTCGAAAAAGCAATTGGTGAGTGTCTTTGTGAACGTGGCCAAGCGGGGCGGGGCGCTGCCGGCGGTTATGTACCCGTTGAGATGCTTGAAGATTTTGGCCACGAGTGTGGAGCGCAAAATGTGGGCCACGTCCTTGCCGCCGTGGCCGTCGAAAACGCCGAAGACGGCCAACGCCTCGTTTTCCGAAATCCGCGCGTCGTGGGCGTCTTCCATGCTCAAGCGGTATCCTTGCATGGCTCCCACGCAGTAGGAGATGGTGTCGAAGGTGTGGTACTCGATGGATTTCTCCTCCATCGGGTGGGACATCAATTGGCCCATGGTGGAAAATGTGTGCTTGGACGGGGATAGTGAGGGGTTTGATCGGCGTGGTTTTGCGTGTGTTTTATGTATGTGGTGTGGTGTGGTGGAGTGTTTTGGGGGGCTTGTTTTGTGTGGTTTCGGGGCCTTTGGGGAATTTGCGGGAGAAGAAGCTGTGGTATCTTTGCGCTGGGATGGCAGGCCTGCGTAGGCCCGAGTGTTTTTGGCGCTGAGAACCGGCAAAGGCGGGCTGTCGGGGCTTGTTCCCGCAGACGAGGCAATTAAGGAGGGAGGATTTTTTGTAATAAAATATTTATAAGATCAGAATTGACTAAACAAGGAACAAATCTGCCGGAGTTGCCAGGCTCGCCAGATGTGCTGGGTTTTCCCCGGCGATCAGTATATCAGTAGGTCAGAGAACATGAGAAGATCAGAGGTGGTTGAGAACACCAGAAGATAGACAAACTAGAAGATAGAGAAGATCAGAAGATAAAGATCAGAACACCAGCATATCGGACGACCGAAAAATCACAATGCCACTTCAGAATACAAGAACACCACGCCGCTGAAAGGCCCGTGGCTCATTGGACAGAATAGTCGGGGCTTCATGATGCTGGGGCCAAAATCTGCTCGACCGCTGCGGCCATCTTGGCCCCGGCTGTGGGAGACGCAAGGCTCGCTCCCAATACGAGGCAGCGAATGCGGCCCTGGATCCGCGCTTTTTTGGTCCAGGGCCTGGCAGCGTTTTTGGGTTGGGCCGCGGGGGCTGCTTGGGTCCGAAACGACTTGGGCCCAGAACATGCTGCCTGGTCACAATATATCAGCCTCACAGGGGATTTGGAACTGGAGATGTGAGAATGCAAGTTGGGATTCTCATGCCCCACCCCCCGCACATAAAACATAAGAACCCCAGACAATTGGTATCTCGAGGCTCTAGTGGGGCACGTAACCTGCACAGCTCATGATGCTCCGCTGCGCAAAGGGCACACCGTCTCCGCTGCTTTTCGTCTCTGTCCCCTTTTTCCCTTGTTTTTTGCGTTTCTGGTGTACCAGGAGGTTATCACATGAAGCGTCTTGTCATTGAGGCTCCAGTTTTGAGGAGCTTCTTCTTTGGCGGGCCGCATCGCCTTCCCTCGTCTACCCCAGCTGGCGGGGAAGACTGCACGGTGCAGGGACTAATCACTGACCCTAGGTTACCCCATGCGGAGAAAAGGATTGAAGCACGCGTCTCGACTTTGCAATTGAGTTCAAAAGACAAATAAAGCACATATTACATAGCAAGCCAAGAGAATCGGCATTTTTGGCTTGCTTGCCAACCAGCCAACGAGCCGCAAAACCTCTGCGGCAGACGGCTACTAATTTCTGTCTTTGGTGCGCAACTTTAATTAGCGCAGCTCCTAAGCGGATTCTCCTGGTAGCAAACCATTGTAGGTATTTTCCTTTGCTCGCTGCTTAGCTCATTCTCTGGCTTGCTCTCTTGCCCGCTTTCTTGCTCAACTTCGCTCTTCCTCTATTGTCGCCCCAGACTCTGAACTCTCTATACGCCCCGGAAGTACCGAAGCTTGCAACACCGGCATGATTTTCCCCGACATTGGCCCGCATACTCTGGACGGTGATCCGGACTACCGGCCGCCCACCACGTTCCCCATTGGTCCGCAGTTCAGCAAATATGCCGGCAACCCTATTTTGAAGCCCAACCCGAACAACGAGTTTGAGGAGGCCTATATATACAACGCCGCGGCCATAGTGCTAGGCGGCCGCGTGTTTCTTCTATACCGGGCGCAAAATAAGCAGCTTGTGCTGTCGGTGGGTTTGGCCTGGCTGGACGACGGGTTCCATTTCAAAAGATGGCCCGAGCCCATTTTGTATCCGACCGAGCCGTGGGAAATGGGCGGTGGCTGCGAGGACCCGCGTATTGTGCGAGACCCCGAGTCGAGGAAGTTCATAGTTACGTACACAGCATATGACCGCCGCTTGGCCCGGCTCTGTGTGGCTGAGTCTACCGACTTGCTCACGTGGAAGAAGCACCCTCCAGTCATCCCGCAAGACAGGTGGGCCGAGGCCTGTGTGTCGCTCAAAGGCGAGCCTTTCGTGCGGCACGGGTGGCTGAAGTCAGGTGCCATCTTTGTAGACCGGCACAAGGACGGCAAGTACTACATGATCTGGGGCGAGTCGGGGTTCCAGTTGGCAGTCAGCGATGACTTGGTCCACTGGACCATCCGCACGCAGGTCTATGCCAGGGGCATACTCGACTGGCAAGACCGGCTCATTGAGCCTGGCCCGGCGCCCATCAAAATCGATACCGGCGGGAAACACAACCACTATGTCCTCTTTTACAACTCGTCGACGGTGGGCTCGGGGATGTACGAAAAGGGCACATACACCATTTCGCAAATGCTCATTGATTACGACAATTTGCAGGACGGGCCTTTGGCCCGCATGGACCGGCCGGTGTTGGTTCCGGAGGAAAAGAACGAGGTGGTGGGCCAGGTGAACCGGGTGGTGTTTACTGAGGGCGTGGTGCAGTTCAAGGGCCGGTGGTTCCTATACTTTGGTGCTGGGGACTCTGAACTAAGCGTGGCCACGTGCTCGGTGTGATGGGCTAATCGAACCCGAATTTCTTGTGAGGAATAATGGGCCTGGAGGTAGTATGTTTTACTTGTCTGGGGACCCGGAATAAACGGGTGCTGCTTGCTTGTATCGGTGACTGATCATGACGAGCCTCCAGGCGTCACGAGTCGTCGTTTTCAGAAAAGCACGTGACGGCAACGGCTGGACCCGACCCCGACCATCACTTGTCTCGGGGCTTCGATGTCTGTATTACAATGTCAATCTTGCATGAGAACTCTAGTCTCTCTTCTTGGGTGGATTGGTGGGAGAACACTCTGGGGCTGCATCCGTCAGAGGTGCACGGCATGCAACAAGAATGATTTGAAGACTACGGCTTTTTCCAGTTCTCCTTTGGTCTTTTCAATTCTTTGTTGCTCCTTCATTTACATGCAGCGCAGTATCCAAGGGGACGTTGTGATTTGGTGCTTTTCTCGAAGTTAGGAGATGGGTTGCATTGGCAATCCTACTGGGCTCCGTCTTGATCAAAGTGTTGATCAGAAGTGGTACTGTTTTGGGAGCTGTTTTAATGCTTCCAAAAGTGCACCACTCGGTAGAAGCGTCTCCAACAGGTAGGATTTGGTGGTCGCCAGCAAGCTTCCATGAGACCTCCGATCGACAGCCTGAATATGCTACGTCTGCCCAGTTCATAGAGACAGGGCTGCCAAGCTGTTCATCTGTGGGCAATCCTAGTTAGTTCACGGACACTGTTTTATAGTGATGTACGAACAAGTGCCCGTCCATGGATGCGAATGGGTGCGAAACCTGCGAACCGCGTCCCTCAGGCCAACCAACATGACCTGTCAGACTGCATGCCATCTGAGGAAAACAGTGGCTCTTGCAATCAGACGGCCCTGGGCCAGGGTCTTGATAGCTTACGAAGTGCAGGTCAGAAATGAAGGCCGACGGGAAATGGGCTTGGCACATCCTAATACAGCCATAAACAGCTACACTGAACACCTACCCTGAGCACCTACACTAAACACCTACACTAATAAACATCACTAATAAACACCTACACCAACACAGACATACACTAATGAACATCACCAATGAACACCACGAATTAAGACCTACACTTATCAAGACCACGAATAAAGACCACGAATAAACATCACTAATAAAGACCACGAATAAGCACCACTAACAAACACCTACACCAATAATTACCACGAATAAACACCTACAACAAACACCTACAACAAACACCTACACTAAACACTTACACTAAACACCTACACTAAACACCTACACCTACACAAATAAACACCTCCAATGATCAACACCACGAATAAACACCACTAACAAACACCTACACCAATAAATACCACGAATAAACACCTACACTAAACACCTCCACTGATGAACACCAACCCTGAGCACCTCCACTAATAAACACCCACACTAAACACCTCCCTGCCCTAAACACCCACACTAAACACCTACACCAACAAACCATCAAAGCCTCTTCTCTGGCACCCTCGCCAGAAGAAAAAAAAAATCAATTCCACACCATGAATACCCCAGGCCACACATACCAGCGCCCCCATGTACACCCATAACCAGGCCCGCGCCTCGCGCGCAGGCGCGCTTCCGCCCCGTCCGGCATCGCCTCTTTCCAACAACGCAGTTCGATTTGCAGTACACAACACTCAAGACCCGGTGTCGCGATAAACGGCCAGCAGGGAGCCAAAACGAGCAGCACGCGTCCCTGGAGGTGAAGATCCCTCGCCCCGGCCGAAGGGCCGCCGCCAGCCCGGCGGGCGGTGTGGTCACGTGACCCTTCTCCACAGCCGCGCGGGCGCCGTGCCCGCTGAGAAATCAGTGCCGGGCCTACTCCGCTTCTTCCCCAGCACTGGGACCTGTGCCACACCCAACGGCACGAGCACCCCGCGCAAGCAGCAGCAAGCAAACCCGTGCACCTCGCCCACCCCCCGCTCCGAACCGCTGATGAAGCCGCAGCACACGGCCAGCTCCGCCGCCACAGAGCCTGTCAATGTCAAGGACCCGATCCGGCTCGCGTTCCTCGGCGGGCCCCGCACGGGCAAGACCGCCACGATCCTGAAGCTCTCGTGCGGCACGTACCGCGACACGTACTACCCGCTGCGCAAAACCACGCCCGTGTTGTTCACGTACCAGGCGCAGAGCGCCGCGCTGCGGCTCATTCTAGACCAGCACAGCTCCAGGCGCTTCCTCGAGCACGCGCTGGCCCGCGGCGACTTGCTCTTGAGCCCCGTGGTGTCCGACGCGTTGGTGCGCGCCGCCGTGAAGAAAACGCCGCTGCCCGGCCCGGCCGGGGACGCGCCGCACGGCTCCCAGAACGAGGTCTACGCCGCCGTGTGGGGCGACGGCGACTCGGACGTGGCGCGGATCTCGCCCATCTTGGCCGAGCTCATCGACACGCCGGCCTTCAACAGCAGCCAGTTCATCCCGTTCTTGGAGGCGTCGTTGCACGCGCGCCTCGGCAAGAACGTGTTGCGCAAGTTGGCCGACACGCCGCGCCAGCCCGTGAACACCGAGCCGTTGTTGGTCGCCAGCGGCGCCGGCGAGATGAACGGCGCCATCGACGGCTACTTTCTCTTCTACAGCGCCGTGCCGTCCGCGGAGCCGCCGCAGTACGACGAGCTGGTGGCCGGGCAGCAGGCCCCGGGTCTGGGCAGCAGCGCCGCAGGCTCCGCACAGGACACCACGCTCAGCCTTCTCCCGGTCATCAAGGCCGGGCTCGAGGAGGCCTGGCGCGAGTACCACACCTACCGCACGCGGTGGGACCAGGAGAAGGAGAAGGACATGTTCTCGCTCAAGACGGCGCTCCGCACCATGTTCGACGCGCACGGCTCGCTCCAGCCCGGCCTGCTGCACCACAAGTTGCTCGCCACGTCTTTGGACCCGGCCGACCCGCTGTGCCCGCCGCCCATCTGGATCGTGTGCACCCACAAGAACCTGCCCCTCGCGTCGCCCACGCTCATCCACGACGGCAAGAAGCTAGCGCTGCTCTGGCGCTGCGGCTTCTATGCCATGGACGTCACGGAGAACCTCGACCAGGTCTTGGCGTTGGTGATTCGCGAGGTCGTGGAGCGCAAGAGCCTCCAGAGGGCGAGGAGAAAACGCTGACTGCGGCTGCAGCGGGCCTTGCCTCCTCGGGCCCGCGGCTTTTTACGGCCACCCTCATTGGCGTCCCGGCGCGCTTGTCCGGGGCCGCTGGGCCTGTCGCGTGCCCTTGTGTTGTGTGGCGATCCGCCCACGTGCACGCTTCCCTTGACCACCGAAGACTTTCTTTTTCTCCGCAAGCTTGGGCAAATGCTGCTTTGGGAACGGCCGGGGCTGGTGCTCGTGACTTGTGAGCTCTTGCTGTGCGCTGCTACATCTCTGGATTGGCACGCAAGACAGGGCGATGCTCTAGCAGCCAGCCATGGAGACATTCGCGTGTACAACTAGGGGTGCCGGATGGAATCATCTGCGCGTACAACTAGAGAGGCCGGATGGAAACATCATCTTGTACAACTAGAGATGCCGGATGGAAACATTTTCTTGATCAACTAGAGATGCCGGATGGAAACATTTTCTTGATCAACTAGAGGTGCCAGATGGAAATACTTGGCGGCAAATCTGGGCTAGCAATCGCACCCAGACCACGAAATCACTTCAAGGCACCAGACCTCGCCTTCCACTCGCCTCGCGTTCCTCTTCGCATCGCCTTCCATATCACCACTAACCCTCGACGGTCCCAGACGGGGCCATGCACGTGTCTGCATACCGGGACACCATCTCATCAGACAAGGTTGTGTATATCCATGAAGCCGTTCACGGTCGGTTTGTTTTCGTATCACAGACCACCGCTCAAAGTATCTCACACATATATTTACCGCAAGCAAGCACAATATATGGCCAAGGAAGCTTTCTAACTAGTAGTTGCCGGAAGTCATCAACAAAGTCGCCTATTGGACTTTGGTCGTCCTGCATGGCGCGCCAACTAATCTAATCTCCCCGTGCACTCCTCGCCTCCATTAAGACAGCATACACCAGTGCAGAGTACAACGTAGACCAGCCCAATAAAGACGGATCCCAGAAATCACAACTGCTGATTCTAGGCCCTTCCTCATATGTGGCACAATGGCAACGCTGCCCCGCCCATCATGTTTCTTATGTGCCCACCAGAAGACGCCACTACATCGAGATCTAGTCTGCGGGAACTGTGTTCATAAGAGCATTGAGATCATCCGAAACTCGGTCATTGAAAATGAGCAGTGGAACTCCCAAATGCGTGCGCAAATCAACTGTATATTCGATGTTTGTGAGCGTATGAAAGACACGGACGGCCACGATTTCAAGACCCTAACTGCGACTCCCCAAGTATCCCCTGACGCCAGCAAAGACGGAAAAGCTTCGGAGATTCCACGGCCACGACGCAATGTGGTGCTCCAACTAGCACTCAACCTACAGAAACTCGATATTGCGCACAGGCGAATGAAGAACAAAAGTCTTGAAAAGTCGTGTGAGTCTCTAGCTAGAAAAAACGAAGCTCTAGCCAAGAAAACCGAAGCCTTGGCCTCGAAAATCGAGAGCGATCGCTGCCGTATTCAAGCCGCCGAGAACAAAATGCTGGGGGACTACAGCCGAAAGCGCGAGAGCTTGGACAGGGAACTCATTTCGATCCAATTTGAGCGCATGAGGCGAGTCTCTCGTCAGGCCACGCTCAGGCAGTATTCCAGCTATAAAGTGTTCCGGGAATGCATGTTCTCAAGCCATGTCAAAGCCACAGAATCGGGTCTGGTGCTTGAGTTTTGCGACAGGCCCGTGCTTCCATTATCCCAGCTACTAGAAACACTGATCGTAGCGCTCAACACCTTTCTAGAAGACATGATTCGGCTCCAGATCCTTTTGTTTGACCTTTTCAAAGCAGATTTTGATGCTTTGGAGCTACCATACCTCGAGAGCTTAAAAAGACTTCTTCCCGACCGGAAATTCTACGATTCTGTTCAGTCCAAAATCCACAGCATTCTACGGGACCCGGGGGAAGGAGCTCACATGGCTGGTATTGCCGAAGAAGAGTCTGCGTGTGAAAGAGAGCCAGTATTTGAGGACCGGCCTTCGGAAATGTCTTCAAGAGATCAAGAGAAAATCACAATCAAAGATAAGATTATCCATGTGCCCAAATCGTTCCGTACGATGAACCTTCAACGCCGATCCAGTGTCAAGGAAGCTGAGGCATCCGATGAAACCCTGTCCGCAGGATCTGGCCAGACTTTTCAGAAAGGAGATAAAAGCATGTTTGTCATGGTCGGAGAAAAGAACAAGACAGATGCACATGACCCATCTTCCCAAAGCATCGTAAATCCACCACGTGTGAATAATGCGCTACTCGAGCAAGAGACTGCGTTGCACAACGGCTTTCGAAAGGATGGAAATTGTAGAACAGACTTACATGGAAAAAAAATCGTCATTGTTCCGCACCGCATCCTCACCAAACCGTTCGTGAAGCTAAGACCAAACGAGTATCTACGGTTCGTCTTTGTTGTCGTCAAAATATTGATCACTTTCAATGAACTTCTTCGAAGCATTCTTGGACCTGGCTTTTTGAGCAGCTTCAAAGAAACACAGCTGTGTTTTGTTGGAGGCAATCTGCGGACTAAACTTGACGACGAAAAGGCCGCAAAGGGTAGATTTTTGTACGATTTCAAAGAAATCTTGCTGATAGTGGCAAGTTTGGATCCATACTTTCAGCAAAAGCTAAAAGCACGACATCAGAATACCTCGTCCCAAAATGCGACTGACATGAGCAATAGCATTGACGCCTCTCAGGAAACAAGTCTTAACGAAGAACAACGCTCAATGCGGGAATCCTGGGCTAGTGATAGCGGGACTTCCTTGGTAAAATTCGAGAATACACCCTCCAAGAAATTATCAAGGCTCTATACAAGATTCTGGTCGAAAGGACGGGACCCCACCCCAGCCACCACGCCATCTTCAGTTTCAGACAACGTGATTTACGGCATGGTAAGCGAGACTAATACAGAAAGAGACGAGATGAAATTGACTTTTAATGACGGCAACGGCACAGGGAAGAGACACTCATCACTGCACTTATCTGGAAGTGGAGCTACAATTCCAGACTACGACATCAAGGAAATTCTGCGAAATGTGTATGATCTAATTTCAGGCAGAGCTGGTGGCCAGAGAAACCTGGCACGCAACCTGGCGCACCTCGATCGAGTGGGCGCAAATTCCATAATGCAGCAGTCGAGGGCACACCTCGAGGACTGGGACATGGTTAGCAAGATGTTTTAATATGAGTTGAGTTTTGACATGTGCAACTCCCGGGTAATTATATATGAATATTAAGGTCAAGGCTTTTGGTGAATTAAAACAATACGTTAAAAAGTGGCGTGGTAAAACCCACTTTTCCTCCAAAGTTCGCGTTTCGTCAAAACTACCCTTGAAATTCTAGAAACTGTTGAAAGCCACTTCAAAATAAAAAGCCCGGCCCTCTGGTCCTTTGGGCACTCTCAAATTTACACTTGTCTCATCCAAGAAGATTCGGGATGATACAAAAACTGCCTTTGTGCGGCACGTGTTGTAGAATGGATATCTTACCCACTAGGCGTAATTCCAGGCACGCGTGCGTAACCCTGCGCCCGCCACCTATCTCGGCCCAATCTTAAATTATCGTCGAACCCTGATAACGGCTCACTTGCAACCTACAACTTCTGGTGCACACCGCTCTTTCCTGAATACATATCATGTTGTCTGACAAAGAATTGTTCGATTTAAACAAAAAGGCCGTTTCGGAGGGCTTCAAAATCAAGCCCAGAATCAACTACAATACCGTAGGCGGCGTCAACGGCCCTTTGGTGATTTTGGACAATGTTAAGTTTCCTCGTTTCAACGAGATTGTTAACTTGACTTTGCCTGATGGCACAGTGCGTGCAGGCCAGGTCTTGGAAGTTCGTGGTCTGAAGGCAATTGTGCAAGTTTTCGAGGGAACCTCGGGCATTGATATCAAAAAAACAAGAGTCGAGTTCACGGGAGAAAACTTGAAGATCTCCGTGTCCGAGGATATGTTGGGCCGTGTGTTTGATGGCTCCGGTCGTCCTATTGACAAGGGCCCCAAAATTTTCGCCGAGGACTACTTGGATATTAACGGATCCCCAATCAACCCCTACGCTCGTATCTACCCAGAGGAAATGATCTCCACGGGTGTTTCTGCCATCGACACAATGAACTCGATTGCAAGAGGCCAAAAAATCCCCATTTTTTCGGCGTCCGGCTTGCCGCACAACGAAATCGCCGCCCAAATTTGTAGACAGGCAGGCTTGGTGAGACCCACTAAGGATGTTCACGATGGACACGAGGACAACTTCTCGATTGTCTTTGCTGCCATGGGTGTCAACTTGGAAACCTCGAGATTCTTCAAACAAGACTTTGAGGAAAACGGCTCCTTGGACAGAACGTCGTTGTTCTTGAACTTGGCCAACGACCCCACCATTGAGAGAATCATCACGCCTAGATTGGCCTTGACCACCGCCGAGTACTTGGCTTACCAGACAGAGAGACACGTCTTGACTATTTTGACTGATATGTCCTCGTACGCCGATGCATTGAGAGAGGTTTCTGCCGCCAGAGAGGAGGTTCCGGGCAGAAGAGGCTACCCAGGTTATATGTACACTGACTTGTCTACCATCTACGAGAGAGCCGGTAGAGTTGAAGGTAGAAACGGATCCATTACGCAGATTCCAATTTTGACTATGCCTAACGATGATATTACACACCCAATTCCCGATTTGACCGGCTACATTACCGAGGGCCAAATCTTTGTGGACCGTCAATTGGACAACAGAGGTATCTACCCACCAATCAATGTATTGCCTTCTTTGTCTCGTTTGATGAAGTCTGCTATTGGTGAGGGCATGACCAGAAAAGATCACGGTGATGTTTCTAACCAGTTGTATGCAAAGTACGCTATTGGAAGAGACGCCGCCGCCATGAAATCTGTCGTCGGTGAGGAGGCTTTGTCCACTGAGGACAAGTTGGCCTTGGAGTTCTTGGAGAAGTTCGAGAAGAACTTCATTGCCCAGGGTGCTTACGAGGACAGATCCATCTTTGACTCCTTGGATCTTGCCTGGTCTTTGTTGAGAATCTTCCCCAAAGAGATGTTGAACAGAATCAGTCCTAAAATCTTGGATGAGTTCTACGACAGATCCAGTGAACAGGATGAAGACGACGAGGATGACGAGAACCCAGACCAATCGCACGATTTAATCGATGCCTAGAGCGAGTAAGCATCCGTCTCACGCTGCTTCCATTCACTTCTTTGATATCGATGTTAGACAATGATATAGCATGATCGATTGCATGGTATATACTATATTAAACAAAAACTTATTGGTGTTGCATCATTGGTCAGGACAAAGGCTCTAGACTTCTATTGTACATTAATTATATGCTGATAAGGCAGCCAGGGAATGCCTAGGCCACGTTGAAATACGACATGGGATCCACCGCTTAGTTCAGAGCAGCTTCCTGAGCTTTCTTCAAGTTTCCAATGTAGTTGATCGCAGAGCCAGCCTTGAAGAAGTCGATTTGATCCTTCGACATCGTGTGCTTGCACAACAACTCAAACTCGGAACCATCTCTCTTCTTGACATTCATCTTCAAGAAGCCACCGTTGTTACCATCCTTGGCAACCATATCACGCAAGTCGACGGTAGTGAGTTCGTCACCAGATGAAATCTTATCGTAGTCGGCCTCGTTGGCAAAAGTCAAGGGCAACATACCCTGCTTCTTCAAGTTAGTTTCATGGATTCTGGCGAAAGACTTGACCAAGATGATGGACCCGCCCGTGAATCTTGGAGACATCGCTGCGTGCTCTCTAGCTGATCCCTCTCCGTAGTTGTGTTCAGCCACAACAATCCATGGACGCTTATCTTCCTTCCACTTGAACATAAGTTCAGGAATAGAGTAAGCATCCCCGTTCAAGTCGTAGGCCTTGTTAACCTCACCTGTTTCTTTGTTGACGGCACCAATCAAGGTGTTGTAAGAAATGTTCTCCAAATGTCCCTTGTATTTCAACCAAGCTCCAGCAGCAGAAATGTGATCAGTGGTACACTTGCCTTCAACCTTCAACAACACGGTGGTGGTGAGCTCTTCGCCGGACCATGGCGCAAAAGGCTCCAAAAGCTGCAATCTGTCAGATTCTGGAGAAACACTGATCTGCACGTCTGCCTTTGGTTGTGGGTTAGGGTCGGGGTAGAACATTTCGCGGCCTTTGATGAAGCCTGAGCTTGGCAACTCATCACCAGTTGGAGCCTCGAATTTGAATTGCCCCTTTTCTGTCGCGATCGAGTCTGTGATGGGGTTGTAGTTCATATCACCAGAGTAGATCATGGCAGTGACAATATCAGGGGAGGTAAGGAAGTTCATGGTGTTCCTGTTGCCATCGTTTCTTGCCCTGAAATTTCTGTTGAAAGAAGTGAAAATGGCGTTTGATTCAGTGGAGGTCTTGGGAACATCTGTTCTGTCCCATTGACCGATGCAGGGTCCACATGCATTTGCTAAAACAATAGCACCGTTTCTCTCGAACACATCAATCAACCCATCTCTTTCGATGGTGGCTCTAATTTGCTCGGAGCCGGGTGTGACAAAAAATGGGATCTTTGGTTTGATTCCCGCTTTTTCTGCTTGCCTGACAATCGAGGCAGCACGGGACATGTCCTGATACGAGGAGTTGGTACAAGATCCGATCAAACCAGCACTCACAGTAGAGGGCCAGCTCTCGGCCTTGGCAGTTTTTCCAAAGTTTGAAATCGACGTGGACAAGTCAGGGGTGAAGGGTCCATTGATATGGGGCTCCAAGGTGTTTAAGTCGATCTCAATGACCTTGTCGTACTGAGCATTCGCATCTGCCGTCAAGAAGTTGTACTTCCTCAAAGCAACATCTGCTGCATCTGCAATTGGACCTCTGTTGGTTTGATGCAAGTATCTGCGATGAGCCTCCTGGTATGGGAAGGTCGAGGTGGTTGCGCCAATCTCAGCACCCATATTACAGATGGTGGCCATGCCAGTACAGGACAAAGTCTCAACACCTTCGCCAAAGTACTCCACAATACACCCAGTGCCTCCGCGCACAGTCAAAAGACCCGCCAAGTAAGTAATCACGTCCTTTGGAGAGGACCATCCGCTCAACTTTCCAGTCAACTTGACACCCAAAACCTTGGGGGCCTTCAATTCCCAGGGAGTACCGGTCAAACCATCAACAGCATCAGCACCACCAACACCAATGGCAATTGCACCCAAACCACCGGCATTGGGGGTATGAGAGTCGGTACCAAGCATCATCAAACCAGGGACAGAGAAGTTTTCAAGCACAATCTGGTGGATAATACCGGAGCCAGGGCCCCAGAATTGAATGCCGTACTTCTCTCCACAACTCTGCAAGAAGTCGAAAACCTCCTTATTCGTGGCAATCGAGCTGATCAAGTCGCTTTCGGCACCGTCTTTGCCCACAATCAAGTGATCACAATGGATGGAGGCTGGAACAGAAGTACGCGACATTCCGGTTGTCATGAATTGCAACAACGCAGTTTGTGCAGACGCGTCTTGCATGGCAACACGGTCTGGGTTCAACTTCAAGTATTGCTCACCTCTAAGTTTGGAGGAGTCCCCGTTCACCGAAGCCATCGTTTGTTCTGGGTCAACCAAATGCGAGTACAAGATTTTTTCAGCCAAAGTCAAGGGCTGGTTGCCTGTGACACGATTCACAGTGTCCAAATTCTTCACCAACTTGGCATATGGCGGGCATCTGGCCTGGTATTCTGCGGGCACATTAAACGAAGACGCAAAATCCGTCAGGGTGGCCAAAGACCGCCTGAGGGCCTTGGCCGAAACTCTTGAATAGTTTCTAGAGGCCAACATTCTGAAGTTTCCGTTTATAAGAATCTGAGAGAGATATTTGGGTGACCAGATCAAAAATTTGCAGAGTGAAATTTCACTAGGTAGCCTGAATACCTTGCAGGCAGGAACAAAGTTGTCCAATGATCGAGCCAGCAGTTGTGCTTATAGTGCGCAGTTGATAAGGCGCACCGAACCCAATCAGTCATATCGTGACTCATCACTGATAGTGCCGCAGAGGTTAGAGTACCAGCGGGCACGCACGTTCCTGCACGTCTCTATGACTCGTATCAAGCAACAAATTAGTATTAGATATAAACAGTGCTAAGCTTGAGGAACTTGAGGGGTGTCTCTAGGCTGGACGACACAACTCAACTTCCATGCCCGGTCTTCCTCCTTCTTGTTAACTTGGGAGATCTTCCAGAGCTCGAGTAGAATCAACTCTTTTAGTGCCGGTACACTCGCGATGAAATATTCATCGAGTCCATTCAGCAGGTGCGATTCATTCTTCTTCGATGGAGTGAGCGAGAAGAGTGTTCCGCTTCTCATTAGTCTGCCCCCAGTGTTCCTCGCATAAGGGATTTGTAAACTCTCTATATCGGCAATCACTCGTGTGAGTTTGAGGTATTTGTCGATATTGATCAATTTCTGCTTCAAGAATGTATTTGCTGTTCTGTAGTTCGGGTTTCCGTCAGTAACAAACGTCAAATCTTGAAGAAACAACGAGAAGTAAGGCACAACTGGAATGTTGTATTCGTTGGATAACAAGAAGCTCTTCAACTTAGTTCTGTACAAATTGTAGTTTTTTTCTGGGTGGATAATGCAGCACAAATATTCATACAACTCAGTGTATTTTTCGGAGAGGTCGCTCCAGAGCCTTGTTAATCTGGTGATTAAATGAGACTGTAAAGAGGTGATAATTGCAGCCAAGGAATTGAAGTTTCGCAAATACAAGCAGGATATTGCAATCTTCAACCATGTTTTTATGATGCTTACTCTCACTTTATCATTAATTTGCGGTTGCAACACGGACTCCACGACGTACTCGGATAGGTAATTAGTGAACAATAATGACTGCCGCACATTCTTTGCCAATTTCAAATGCGCTTTCTTGGCGGTGAAATTTCCGTCAACCAATTCGCTTGCTCGGATAGAACAGAAAATCTCAGATTCGATAAGCGTGAGTTGCTTTGCAATTTCCAAGCCATTAAAATCCAAAAGGTTGGGACGGTAGTTGGATAAAACCCAGTTTTGATCACTGAGTGCATACCATTTTGGTAAGAGACCGCGGATATCTGCTATAACGAAGTCTCTTGATTCGAGCAACGCTTTGGGTACCCAGTTTTCACGCAAAACAGACCGATAAGTAATCACGAGAGTTTCAATAGCAGTGAGTTGGCTTTTTGTTAGCAATGAGCTTGTAGCAGTGGTCGGCCCACTCACTGCCAATGGCAAATGTAAAGTCATGGACTTTAGAGAGCTGGCCACTGAGCTGTTTGTGTTGATTTTTGATAACTCATATCCGTCCACCATCGAGTATCTGGAGGCAAGGGCTCGACTAGAGTCACCGTTTGGTAGGAGCAGGTTTTTTCTCTTTATCTTCGCGAGCGAAATGTTTCTGCTAATAAACTGATCAGTCTCGTGGTTTTGGGTTACAAGTCTGGATGCGACTTCAATTAGCTTCATCGCTTCGAAAGGCAAGACTCCAAACACGGCTTCATTGAAAAAGTTTATCAAAGTGCTCAAGTATTCATGGTCGTTCTTATAATCCCAGTAGGATTCCATCCAAATTTGAAACATTTTGCAAATGATCTTCTGCCTATTTCGAAGTTTCACCGGTAGCAGAACATCTTTATTAGCTTCGATAGAATAGTCACACTCAAAACGATGAATTAACAGCTCTGCTAAGTTGAGACCACTGGCAAAATTGCGAAAGCAGATAAAGAAAGCAGACACAAAAAAGTACTCAGGGGGGGAAGTTTCATTTGTCAATGTGAAAATGAGACCCTTGAACGAGGCACCGAGCAAATTACCATTAGAATCCACAAGAAGCTCGTCTTGTATGGTGAAGCTTTCCGACTCTGTTTGGGTCCCTTCGGAAGAGAGATATTGTTTAAACTCCTGGCCAGACCCAAACGGAGCAGATGCTTCTGTGTCGACAAGAATCGCTTTGTGAAGTGAGTCAATACCATTGGCGGTGATACCATGCCCACCGGGCTCTCCGGAACGAAAAGTTGAATAACGATTTGAGGACTTTTGGTTCTTCTGCTTCAATGACCGCAAGTCGCTAACATTGAGGTCAAGTGACTTGACTAAACCAACAGAGCAAATTTTAGTGAATTCCTCTGGTGAGATCCTGATTTGCGAGTAGTCTGGGTACGCTCTTTCAGAACTGAGCTTGTAGTCACCAATTGGCTCGAGGGTTTTACGGATACAGCTGATAGTCAATGCTATGGCGTGTACCATGTTTGCGGCGATAATAATGAGCGCCTTTCCGTCATTGGTATGGGAGTATTGACCCTTGCTATGCAGACTTTGAGAATAATTGGAGTGATTTCCAGACTCGCTCAACGTATTGATGACCAATGTCTTTACGCCAGTGACAATCTGGTTGACGAGAGATAGGAGAGAGTCGAGAGAATCATCGAGATCAGGAGGCTTTTCCGCATACAAGTCCGAGCCAGTTTTGGAAATGAAGAGCAATTCCCTTAAAAGCAAAATGATATGGTGAACCATAGTTTCCAAAAGATCACACCCAGAAGGATTGTGTTCCACCAAGTCAAGTCTGCCGATAATCAAAGACAAATAGGAGTACAAAACTGAATTGATTTCAGCCACTCTCTGCCTTGCGCTTGGGGGGTTGCGCAAAAGAGGGTACTTTTCTAAATCATCACGCAATGAAATCTCGGTATCTCTCTTGATGATGTCTTGACTCTCCCGGGCCCAGACATCAAAAAACGCGGTTGCCCGCCGGGTTACCTGAAACACCAAAAGTGTCAAAATTTCAATCTTCTCGTAATTGGAAGTGCCCTTGAACTCATCTGCTTTGGACATCAATGTGTACCAATCCGACAAGAGCGATTTGCGACATTTTCTCACAATGGGTTTCTTGATCACGATCTCGTTGGACCGTGATAAACAGTCCGTTTCCTGGAGCAATCTGCGGACACCGTTACGCACGCTGTTGATTATTTTTATGGAGAACGTTTTCTTTCCGTATCTCGAGGTGTGGGAGATGGGGTTGGAGAGAAATTTCCCACACGAGTCGAGGAGGGGCCCCATGTAGTGCGCGTAAGACAAAGCAGTGGTTTTGTTTGGAGACGCGTCGTGCTCGTCGTTGACTGCTACAGAAAAGAAGTTCATCGGGATCCAGCCGCGATCGAGCGTCTCCAAGAGCGTAACTTCGCCCCAGCCAGAGTCGTCGATGGTGTGGACGAAAGCCAAGTCGCCATGGTTGAACGAGAGACACACCGAGTTTTCAGACTCCTCCTGCGATTGGGTAGCGTCGAAAGAGTGGAGCGCCTTGATGAACAACACGGACATGTCGATGTCCGGGACGTCGCTGCGCGGGGGCACGGCGAACAGGTTCTCCAGAAGGGGGGTCGCCGTGGCATTCTCTGAGTCGTCCGTGTACGAGATGTTGAGGCCGCCCATGCTGGAGCCTGCGACAGCATGGCTGTGGTCGCCTGAGGAGCTGGTGGCAGAAACTGTGCGGTGGAGGTCGTGCGTGTAGTTCAGCGAGTCGACCAGGTGGTCGTACGAGGCGGAGCTAGCTTCGCTGGACTCACTGGCGGCCGAGTTGGAGGGGCATACGGACTCTGTGTCAGGCCGCGGCCGTGGGTGGGCACGGATCTTGCGGTAGTACGAGCTGGTCCGGTTGTTGTTATTGGTGCCTGGGTAGAGGAGCGCATCCGCGTTCTCGCGCTGCACGTTCAGCGAGAAGTCCACCTGGAACTGGTGTGACTCCTCCGAGACTTTCAGGCCGTACTGCAGCAAGGTCATGGAGAGCCTCTGGAACTTCAGCGGAAGTTCGGAGGCGGGCTCCGAGGAGCTGGCGTCCTGCCGGAAGCCCGAGGACAAGAGGCTGGGCGACGTGAGCGCCACCGTCTGGGACACCGCCGTGGGGCTGTGTGGCTGGGCACGCGTGGCTTCCCCCGTGCTGTCGGCAGGCCACGCGCCAATCAACGGGGTCTTGTCGAGGTCGTCGTAGGCCGCGGCCAGCGCAAGGTGCGGGGTCTGGTCCGGGTCGCTGCCGAGCTCGGCCGTGTCGTCGTGCTCGGCTCGTAGAATCGAGTTGTTGATGGACGTGAAGCTGGGCGTGCTCTCGTTGGCGGTCACGAACGTGCTGAAGGTCTGGCTCAGCGGGGCCTGGCGCATCGTGGAGGCCGCCGGCGAGCAAGGGCGCGAGCCTGCGGCCGCGTCGTCCTCCGAGTCAATGTAGTCAGAGCCGAACCGCTCGTCATCCTCGGCCACAGGCTCAAAGCCGGGACCAGCCGGCGTCACGTGCAGCGGTGGCTCGGCGTCTAGGGCCGAGTACACGCTGGACGAGACACTCTGGTGGGGATGTGCCATTGGTGTTTCAAGAAGTGGGGTTTTCCGGGGCGCGGGCGGTGGTTTCGCCGTGATTCCGGGCGATGTAGGGTAGTTGCAACGGGAGTTTGGAGTAGTACAGCCGCGATTGCGGAGCTTCAGATCCAGCGGTCGGCCGTGGGCGTGGTGCTTGGTGGGCCTTGTCTGTGGCGTGCCGGGCTTTCTGTGGTTTGCCTTTCCAGCGTTGTGTTCCGCTTATATTTGTGTGCCAGAAGGCTTTGGCTGGTGCTTCCAGAAACTAGGCTCGGGCGGCTATATGGCCTCGGTATGTGAGGCTAGGGGTGCGAGGGGCGCCGAAGTCAGAAGGAAATAAACGCCCGAGAAAAATGAGCAGGCGGGGCAATGGCGGATTCTCGGCCTGTTTCGCTTGGACGGGCTTTCCAAAGGGGGGAATTTCCGTGCTGCCGATGGGTTTGCGCTGTGTCTGGAGGAAATTCCAGCAGGAAACACTGGCGGGCGACAGATTATTCCGCACTGGCGCCGCGTCCCGCCAGGCCCTGCTTCACGGGGCCGGACGCGCCTGAGAGCCTCGCACCAATGGGGCCTAATAAATGAGGGCGGGCACCAAAAAGCGCCACGAGCCGTTGCTGGAGTTCTGGAAACGATCAGCGTGGAGAGGATTAGGGGAGGATTTTGAGTTGGTAGAAAAAACGGGGCAACGGGGCGGCGCTGGCGGTTTTGATGGGGTGTTCTCAGCTGAGTCTGGCTGGCTCTCCAGGGCCACTGGGCCGGGTGTGCACATGCGCCGCCAGTCGCGTCGCTGGTGCCCCAGGCCCTAATGATGCTGGGCCCTAAAAATCCTGGGCCAATTGAAGCTGCTCGGTTCGCCTGATTAGTCAGCTGCAACCAATCCTGATAGAGAGTCTCTGTGACAGGACTTGGGTATTTTGTAGATCGTCGGCCCCCGCCCGGATCAGCCTGGTGGAGCTTTTTTCCCCACAAGTCTCTGCAAGGTCGCTCCAGCTGGGTACCGAAGATGTGGACCATGCTGGGCTCAAGACTACTTGGCTATCTTTACTAGTGCCTTGTTTGCCTTTGATTCCCAAATTATCGTCTTTCACTGCTTGGGCTCGAGTCGCTCATCCTGTATTTGTATGGCTAGTGAATCACAGCTCCACCCCAAACGTTCTATCGAAGTTACTCTGAGCCGTCCGACATAGCCGTGGCAGACTAATACCTTCCCCAATTCTTTTCTGCTCGAACCTTATTTTTTATGAAGTTTTGACTATTGATTCGAGTCGACAAGCCTCCGTTATATTACCAAGGTGAAGTCTGCAGGGTGTTTGGTAAATCCAGAGACATGTTCCGGACTGGCGAAGAATTGTGCTCTGAGGCACGATGAAATGGCCAAAAAAAGCTTCACGAAACCCAGCCATTCGCAGATTTCATTGAAGCCAGGTTTGTTTTTGAATTTTCTCGAGGTGGGCAATTTTTGCACATGGTGTAAGCAAACCACTGAACTTGTTGAGCAGCGCTCACACTAAAGTCGCCGGTCATAGACACACCAGCGCCAAGTGTCAGTTGTAGAAAAGTACTACTTGGCCGTATCACGTGAAAGTCGGGATATCGGGTGATTCCGATGCATGTGCATGCATTTACATTAAGCAAGTTTCCGTGAGCTCTCATGGTGAAGGTTCATTTCACTGGACTCTGCCGTGAGTCGGCCTCGGCCACTGGTTCAAATTTCCATTTGCACTGCTGGCCTTATGCACTCAAGGTGTACTTGAGCTGATTGTAGATGTACAAAGTTGGTGATGTGATTATTCTTGCGGCGTTGAGATCATATCCGAATAATATAATCTGGCCAAATGTTATCTCTTACTTTTGCATCATGCAGTGTTTGTCATGGGATTGACATACGCCAGGTTACAAGCACTTAGGAGACTGACATGACTTCGTTTCAGAGACGTTGGATTGTGCCACAAACCACTAATCGTCCTCTACAGGTTCCGAAACCTCGCAAAATGTACTAGTATTTACGCATCCGAATAATCGCAAGCCACCCCCAGATGCGGATTCTCAAACTTTGCTATCGCACTTCTGGAACACATCCTACACGCACACACCATTGTTGTCCATGTGTATTTTGAATCTTTCTGTCATTTTTGCCAACACAGATTGTGTCTGTCTAATGCCCTTATACATGGTGCCACCAAGGAGAGTTGTCGAATAGCCATGATGCACATACAAACACTCAACACTAGAAAGTGTGTACGGGACCTCTTTCATTGAAGCTTCTCGACACACATCACGTCTGATATTAAACACACGCACAGAAATGTTCCACAGAATTCAGTTTTGTTTTTTCCTCATCGACTTACCAACCACACTGCTTCCACTCAAATTACTGATTGCTCCAAGCCGCGCTGTTGTAGTGCTCGCGCAATTTTCAATAGGTCACGTGAACGGGACATTGAATTTCATTTTCATTCATTCATGCACCTTGGTCCCACATTCATGTCCACCTTCACCTGCCAGACGTGCTTTCTAGCGTCACCGGAAATTGGAAAGCACTTGTCGCTGACTCGCCATAAAACTGTGGTTTATGATTTGTTGCAAGAAACTGTAGAGTGCGAGGAATGTGGGGACTCTAACATCCATCTTCTCCAGATGCTTCGGTACGGCCTTTCGGACCTATCCTTGCTCTGCAGTGACTGTTCTCTGAAATCAGCCACCAAGCCTACAGCGCAATATACGCTAGCGAACGGCTCTCTCATTTCGAAATTGCCCCAGTATTATAAATTTAGAGATATCCATTGCAAGGAATGTGGCTCCGACCGCAAAGTGGCTGTAGGCGATTTTAGTGGTCTGCAACTCATCATGTGCTCCGGATGTATTGTTAAAAATAAGCTTCTGGCAAATAAGTTTGTCAGCGAAGACTCGGACGACTTTTTGTTTGCCTTACTTGGGATCAAGGAATATATTGCCAAGCCGGGGTCAAAGAGTAAGGGAGGTAGCAGGAAGCTTGGCCGCAAAGGTGGTCGTGACAAAAAGCCTAAGCCGTTTGATCCAGATGCAGAAAGGAGAAAAGCACACTATGAAAGCACAAAGGCGGCGCGGGATTCTCTCAAATCTGTGAAAACCGTGAAAGCTGTGGGATCGTCTAGTGTCAGCCCTAGTATCTCCAGAGGGACCACGCCTTTTCCAGCTAACCCAAAAGCTAAATCTTCATCGCTGCCAAAATTGGCTCAAAATCTAAAGTCAGGACCGAAATCCTCCAAGGCAAAGGGAACATCTGCCTCAGGCAAGAAAGATGAGAAGAGACTGGAAACTTTCGGGAGTCACTCAGAAAAGTTTAAACCGAGTCAAAAAGGAGCGCCTGTTCCTGGAATTGCTTCTACGCTCAGGAGTAGAGTATCAGATACTGTCGAAAACGGTGGCTCTGTGGTTGATACCAATGCCTCTGGAGCCAAGCAAAAGTATTCCAAAAAGCAAGACACGTCTGCTCCAGTCAACACTATCAAAAAAAACAAAAGTGAGAATTCAAAAGTAAACTCGGGTCTGTCTAAGAAGATTCTGCGCTTAGAAGAGCAAGTTGAAAGCATACCTAAAAAGACCGAAAAGTTCCAGAAAACAAAGAAGTCGCAAAACTTGGATGTGCCACAGAAGACAGAGAAATCCCAAAAAGCAAAGAATTCCCAAAAGACAGAGAATTATCAGATGGCGGAAAAGCCACACAACAAGTCTCAGATGACAGAGAAATTCCAGAAAATAGAGACATCTCAGTCTCATGAGCCTGAGGGCTCTCGAGGCAAAGCCAATACCTTAACTGGGCTGAACTCCAAGCAGAATATTCTTCAAACTCCTGGAGACAAAACGTCTGAATCTGCGCTTGTTAAATTGCCTCCTGGCATCTTTAAACATGTTCCTTCACCAAAGCCGAAACTCACATACGACTCAATGGATGAATACTTCAATGAAATGTGCTACAACCTTTTTCTTGAAGAAAAAATGAGTATTCACACGAGTCAAAAAGTCATCTTGACACCGGAGGACTTTGAGTTAGAGTGGTTTGCCGACCAAGATAAGAAGCACAGGCAGTTCAAACTTAATGTGCTATTGACGCAAGACTTTTTGGATCGATACCTTTCGAAAAAGATGCAAAACTTGAAGAAGAATCCGTTCATGGCAGGGCAGTCGCTTATTCTTATGTTGGGAGACGATATTCCCTGGTATGGCAATATCATTTTTGTCGACACCAAGAGCTCGAATCCCAGAAAAGGAAAACCAAAACGTGGAAAAGGATCTATAACCGACAATTCTCCCAAGCTTCTCGAGATTATTGTTGAGCTTTATAAGTGGAACAAAATGCCCTTACCAACAACTACAGACGTCAGGCTCCTTAAATTGTTGCCAGTATCAGTTCCAGTTAGCAGAGTGTTCACGGCAATGTCTCGTATTCTGAACCCAAAATTCATCGACATGATTCTAGGGAAAAAATCCATCAAACAGATATTTTTTAAGAACTACCTCAAGTTTTCTCGCGACAGTTTTAATGAGTCTCAAAAAGTTGCCGTACAATCGGTAATGAACAATTCAATAACTGTTCTTCAAGGTCCTCCAGGAACCGGTAAGACTTCTACAATCTACGAAATTATCTTGCAACTACTTGAAAATCTCAACACTTATCCTATCCTTGTGGTTGCGGCTTCGAATATTGCCATTGATAACATCGCTGAAAAACTATTACCAAAACACGGAAACTCAATTTTGAGAATTGTGTCAATGGAGAAAGAACCAGAGTACAGCAGAGAGCATCTTTTGTCGTCTATTTGTTTACATCACAAGGTGTACGATGGAATGCCTGCAAATCTTCAAGAGTCTATACGAGAGATGAGGAGACCCAACTCCAAGCTCAGTCAGGCCCAATACAAGAAATTGTTAACCACACAAATCGGCTATTCAGATAAAATTATTGCGCTGAGTAGAGTCATTTTCACTACAACTGTGGTTGCTGGAGGAAATCAGCTCAAACCAATTGCAAAAATGCCCGTTGTCATCATGGATGAAGCTACTCAGTCTTCGGAGCCCACGACATTGATTCCCCTATCCATGAACGGTGTCGAAAAATTTGTTTTTGTTGGAGACCAAAAACAATTGAGCAGTTTCTCTCAAGTACCGAACTTATCCTTGTCCTTGTTCGAGCGGATTCTCTCGAATGGTTCCTATACAACACCCCACATGCTTGACACACAATATCGTATGCACCCTGCTATAAGTAAGTTTTCAAGGGAAAAATTCTACGATGGTCTTCTCAAAGATGGCTTGACTCCTGAAGACCGCAAAATGGTCGGTATTCCTTCGAACCCAGTTGCGTTTTGGGATACTTGTGGGAAATGTCCTGAAGGAACTGTCTTTTCGAGATTCCGCGAGGATAGTGGCCTTACATATGCCAACAAAGGAGAAGTTGATTTCATAGAAAAGGTGTTGCTTCATCTCATTTATGAGAAAAATATCAAAAAGTCTGAGATTGGTGTGGTCACGCCTTACAGAGGCCAGCGTGACTTGATCTCTTCTGTTTTGGTCAAGAATGATCTTGTTAATCCCGAGAAAGATGAGGTTCATGTGGAGGTTGACCGTGACGATTTCTTTAATGAGTCAAAGCCCGTTACAATCCATACTGTGTCTGATATCATGATTGCCTCAATTGACGCCTTTCAGGGAAGAGAAAAAGACTTTTTAATTATGTCCTGTGTGAGATCCAACAAACAAAACAAAATTGGATTCTTGAGCGATGCGAGAAGAATGAATGTCGCCTTAACAAGAGCAAAATATGGCTTGGTCCTAATTGGAGATGTTGAGTGTTTGAAAGGTTCGGATGGCTTATGGAAAGAATACATTGAATCTTTAGAGGAAGCTGGATCAATCAAGAATACTTCTGATTTCAAATTTGACTAGTTTTCGGACGAAGTGGCCCTCGCAAACTATATATTTATTTGAGCTATATTTGTTTTTTCTTGAGTTCTTCACTGCTCAACTCCTCTGTCTTTCTGCTTCTTAAATACTTGAGTAATCCAAAAAACACAATAGAGCAAATAGGACCAAGCAAAGGCAGGAAGACGGCAAGCTTATGTTCGCTGGGGAAGTACGCCTGCTGCACCATTTCTTTCTCAAAAAACGCCTTATCGGATTGCTCAACACTTCGACCAGCAAATGCCACAGCAGCCCCAAAGTCGTTCTGATGCAATTTCTGAACAGCAATGTCGTAGTTTTCGAGAGCTGCCAAAACATGCTCCCTTGTGGATTCCGGTATGGAGATTCCGTTTAATGAGCTGGACAATTTGAGGAGAGCAGTCAAATTGTTCAACGCCCGCTTCAAATTCTTCAACGTAGTGATTCTATGGAACGCAGCGATTCTAAGGGCGGGGCTCAGAGGTGCGTTGGGCACGCCTAGTAACTCGAACAACTGCGAGGCAAAAATATCGAAAATCAGGTTCAATTCCGCAGTCCTAAATTTGAATTTCTGATCACGGTCGATTTTGGTGTTTGCGTTGTAGATATGCACCCCGCCCCATTGTGGAATTAAAAATGAGTTGGTTTTTGAACTCTCCGCAAGCAAGTGCACATTCGCGTATGTGCTTTGAGGGAAGAAGACAAGAAAGTTGATTGAAGGTGCAATATCATGCGTGTTCAAGTTCCATTCCCCGTAATTTATGAACGTCGCCAAGTCACTCTGGGGAATAATTCTTGCTGTGCCGTCTTCGTTCAAAATGGGCTCGCTTTGCAACTTAGAGTAGTATTGGATTTGGCTGCTGGGTTTGAATGTGCTCGAATTGCTGAGGGCATCAAAGACCGGCTGAATGAATTCAACCGCTTCTTCGATTGGCCAGTCTACTTGGCGCCCATCTTCCACAAACAAGTTGAACACCACGTTGTAAGTGGGAGAGTAAGGGAAAACCACATCTGTGCTTGGCACATCGGCCAAAAGCGTCGAAATGAAGGCTAATTCATCCTTAAAAACGATCTCGAGAAGCACTTGGCAGATGTAGCTCGCCAAGTCACTAGCAGACAGTGATTCTATATGTGTCAAAATGCCAATTTCTTTCGACGTCTTGGAAAGCTTGTACGAATTTATCGACTCGGCATTAACGTCTGTTTGATGTTCTTCAAGTCTCACAACATAGTCTTGTAACTTATCGATTTTTCCAGCATCTCTAGATTGCAAAGTGAGCCCCCAGTTGCGAGCCAAGTTTTGTTGTGCAAGCGACGCATCAATGGCTTGTTGGGTATGTTCGATAAGACCCGGAATTGCTTGCGAATTCTCGAAGTACACTGGAATATTGATCTGTGAGCTCTGGGCAAACTCGTCGACTCTGTGCTGGACATCTTCTGCCGGCAAATGAGCCCTGTGAATCAGAGTGGTGAAGAAAAAAAGAGGAGCTCCTAAAAACGCCACAAACGCACTCAAATATAGAAGAATGTTCACCCTCGTTGCCTTTGAGCGCAGCAGCTCCTCGGTTTTAGTCATTTGGCGGTATTTACGGCTTCAGTGATGCGAGTACTCTGTCGACTAGTATACTATTGGCGAGGCTTGAGGCGTCAGGCACGACGGCGCGGGCTTATAAAGTTCCATGTCTTTGCCAAAAACCCTTGGAGCATTTTCGAAAAAAATCCGATGCCTCTTTTTTTGGCTTGTGGATCAAAATATTTGAATATGGTTCTCATTCATAATTGGTCTTCTTTGCATTCGATCTTTTTGACGGAGTCCACGGTCACCGCAAGTATGAACAAATTTTATTGTTTTACTGATAACCGACGAATGATTGGAGAAGTGCGGGACTTTCAAGCAGAAAGTGTAAACAAACGCTGTGATACTTTTCCGTCAAATTTCAAAAATTTAGACTGCCTGCTTTCTCGTATCCCAGAGACTCCTACTCGAGAACTAAACTAAAAAACAAACTCTCAGATATAGCTACAAGCGGCGTGGTCGGACATCTTCATTCAACTTATGAGGGGGTGCGCAACATCGCAAGAGATTTGCAATCCGAGTGCGAGCGTTTTTTCGCAATCCATCCACAATGTTCAAGAAACCTCCCCAAGTGAAGTCGTCTTCAAACGTCAAGTCTTCCGAGAGAAGACATTTGTTGGTGGAAATATGTAAGCAGTTCAACATCGAAAAAGAAAATCTCTCCAAGGACCAGGAGTTGGCGTTGCTTCCTGCGGTTACCAAACAGGCCACCTACCATAGTATCCAGGACCATAAGGGAACCATATTTTTTGATGGCGACGAAAAGCCAACATGGTTTCGCATCAGAGATTCTCGTTTGTACCCGACAGTCTATACGCTTTGGCGAGCTGGCTATCTTTTGCCCGTGATTCTCACTAACCCGTTTGTCATTAGCCGCATAGTGGGCAATGCCAATCTCTTGTTGCCGGGGTGCATCCCTCCGTTCGATAAGCGGGCTTTGAGAGGGGCCCTTGTGGGCATAGCCAGCTACGACTCGCCAACTGTCATCAGGGCAATTGGCACGTGTCTGCTCAATTTGACCCAATTTGACGATGTCCAAGATAGACAGGGAACTGCAGTGACGATCATCCACCGGATTGAAGATGAGCTTTTCAACTTGTATGAGGGCGAAAAGGCCCCTGAGTCTGTTGACGATGCGTTTCCAGCCGCCATTAAACAAGAACCCGAAACAGATGAAACCGAGATATCGGACATTGCCAATCAGGGGCCTGGAAGTCTAACCGAAGGCTCTTCGGATGATGGAAAAGTCAAAGACACAGACGCGGATCCTGTGAATGATCTTGCAGAAGCTGTCGATGAGCTCTCTGCAGAGGATCTTGACAACTTTTTTATTCGCTCATTTGTGCAATCCGTAAAAGTCAACAAAATTGAACTCCCTCTTTCAGCCTCAAAATTCATGGCAGACTATATCCTCAAGAATTTGCCAAAGATGGACACCAAGTACGCCAACATCAAGAAAACAACCTGGAAGAAGAGCGCAAAGTTTCTTAAGGCCTTAGAAAAGATGAAGTACCTTACTTTGAAAGGGAAAGGTGATGACGTGAACATCGTCAGCATCACCGTGCCACCCGACATACTTGCTAATTTTGTGACACACAAAACAATTGAATCACTGAAATCCAGCAGTGGTGCTGTCAACAAGAAGACATCCGACAAAATGTTGGTTGTATCGCTCTACAAGCCTACCAACAAAACTAGAATGGTGTTTAACAAATTGGACTTAGATTATCAGAAACTTTATGCATCTCACGAGCTCAAAGAAATAATGAACACTTACATAAAAGAGGCTCAATTGGCCAGCAAAAAGAACCCAAAGTTGGTCACCTTGGATTCGGCTCTCTCTTCTGCTACCAGCACTTTTGATCCCGAGGTAAGCAGAGATAAATTGTTCCCTTCGTTTTTGAAGAATTTCTCACCAAACTATACCATTTTGCCTCCAGGTGGAGTCCTTGACGCGTCTTGCGTAGTGAAGAAAGGTGACCCGAAAAAAATCAAGATCCTCACGCAAACTGTTCTCGGGAGGAAAAAGACTACCACGGTGCTGGATTTCGAGCACTTTCATATTAAGCCTCAAGTGTTGGCCGAAGAGTTGAAAAACAAATGCTCTGGTTCTACGGCCATTGGACCAAGCAAACACAACCCTGCAGTGTTAGAAGTCATGGTCCAGGGCCCGCACGGCAATACAATCATCGAATATTTGAAAGACAAGGGTGTCCTTATCTCTTTCATAGATTTCGAAGACAAAAGCAAGAGCAAGAAGAAAAGATGACTGTCCTTTGAATTAAACCGTAGTAGTGACATTTTTGCCTATGTAATGATGTAGTAATACAATGTGACCCATGAAATGAACCAGCAAGGTGGTCGTACCTTGCTGTCTGAAAAAAATATATAATGTTCCAGAGGTGAGACTCTCAAATAACCATTTCTACAATTCTCTGAGCCGCTCCTGTGGTGATGAAGGCGGACTTGGTGGAAGGATTGACCCGAAGGCTCTGTGCTGGTATTCCACCTGGGTATTCGTGCGCGTTGCGGCATTGACTGATGTCGATGTACGTCAATGGCGCATATCCACTCAATAGAGCATCGACACCAGCTCTGGTGACACGCACGCAACCTTTCACAATAAGTTTCTGGAGGTTGAATAAATGGAGCGAGACAGAAACTAGGGACCGGTCGCTGACGGCAGAACCACAGAACGATAGATCCAATTCTCTCAAGTTGGGGCATCCTTGATATAGGGCGTCAATGGCTAAATCCAGAAGAGCGCAACAAAAGTTGAGATTCAATATTTCGAGGTTCGGTGCCGCATTTGAAAGGGATATGACAGCCTTGTCGGATAAGAAAGTGCAATCTTTGAGTGACAATTTCTTGAGATTGGGAAATGATTTGTATGTCCAGTACTGAAAGCCGAGATCAGTGATTGTTGTGCATCTAGTCAAATCTAGGGACTCAAGCCTCTCATTGGCGTGAACGGAAATATGGTTCATGATGTTATCTGTCAAATGCTTGCAATATCCGAGATTGAGAATCCGTAGATGCTTTGAACCAGCTTCGTTGTTGTAAATACCCTCGGAGCCAGGGGACTGTGACATGATACCTGGCTTCACGTTTGACCACCCAATTAGTCTTTCAACAACGTTGTCCTGTACTTTTCGGCAATTAGAAAAGTCCACTTCTTGTAAATGTTTGCCAACGGACGGGGATGTTAGGTCCATGATGGCCATAGCGCTGACCTCCCAGAGGCAGCGCATTTTGAACACGGTGATACTGCCAGCCATACCCACCTCATTGACAAGGTAGCTGAAACCCTCATCGGTAACATGAAAGCAGTTGGAGATATCGATGTAGTTTGGCCTCGAACCAACGAAGTCTGTGATAGAGATGAGGGCCTGATCAGTAATAAGAGTGTTCCACTTAGAAAGATCAAGCTTTTCGAACAAGTTCGGGGCGACATACAACAACTGCCTCCAGCGTCTGCTGACGAGCCGTAACTTCATGAGCTCTGGAAGAGACAAGAACTCAAACGCCCCAAGCAAGACCTTATCGGGAATCGAGCCAGTGGAAACCAACACAGAGGGACGCCTGCTCCCAGCGAGGCTTGAGAGCTTGCTTCGTTTGCTATGGGGCATATACTGGAAGGAATTCCTTCTGGATTGAGCTTGAAACGTATTGAACGACGGTATAGGGTTTTTTGGAGGGACTGCAATATCCAACGGCCCTCGGGGAAGCGGCTCGTCTGTGAGGGTAAAATCAGACAAGCTCTTTTTAGGGTGGAGACTCCTGTCGTCCCCAGCCTTGATCTTCTTGAAGCACTTTGATCCTGTTTGAGCATCGACATCTGTCAATGACACAGGAGAGACAGCACGTGTACTGGAGCCCTGGCTCTGGGTGGAAGAGTCCGAGGAGCTGACATTCCAATTTGGATTGATGAAGAACAGCAGCGGGGCCGCCGCACTTAGCGGATTGGGGCTCGGGGCGCGCGGGCTAAGGCAGCCACGATCGAACAGGAGACCAAAGCGCGGAGACAACGAGGGCTGGAGGAGAGGCGACTTGATGGAGGCGTCGACGGCAGGCTTCCTCACGGACACCGTGGCGAGTTTGCCGTAGTCCAAGGAGCTGTTCAAAGACTTCCGCTGGTGTGCCGTTACCCGCATTTCCTCAACCACGTTCGGGTACTGTCGACACACGGCCTTCAACAGGTCCGTGCGGATGACGATGAGCTCTGCAGACGAGACGGATCTAATGCAGGCGCTACGCCTGTGGGACACGTTGCCCTGGATGTACTCGAGGAAAGACATCTCGCCGAAGTAGGAGCCGCTGCACAAGCGCGCGAGAACCTTCTCTGCGTTGGCGGCGGCGTCAAAGTCAACCACCTCGACCTCGCCGTGGGCGATGAAGAATATGTCGGAGCCCGTGTGCCCCTTGCGGACAATGTATTCGAAAGGCATGCACTTGACGGGCTCCGCGCCCAAGGCCAAGCTGTGGAGGATGTGCGGCGGGAGGTTGTGGAAGATGGGCACCGTCTTGAGGAACTCGTGCACGGACACGGTGCGGTCGACGTTGTCGGCCAGCGTGGGCGAGGACCTGCGGGCCGAGGGGTCGTGGGGCGCGTCGCCGAGCCGGGCCAACGGCTGCGGCGCGGTGGGGGTGGGCGCGGGCGTGCGGGCCAGGCGGACAATGGGGATGTCGGCCCGGTTCTTCTTCTCCTGCATTGCCAAGCGCTCCTGGGCCTCGTCGCGGATGCGCCGCTCGATGAGCGGGTACGAGCGGAGCACGGAGTTGAGCGCATCGGCGGTGAGCACGCCCATGAGCACGCGCAGGCACGCCACGACCGACGCGGTGCGGGGCCGGTTGAACAAGATGCCGATCTCGCCAAAGAACGAGCCGGGCGCCAACTCCGCGTAGACGGACTCGCCGTCCGTGGACGCCACGCACACGGAGCCCTTCAAGATCCAGTACATGGACAACGCCGGGTCGCCCTGCTTGATGATGTACTCCTGCGGATGGTACTGCACGAGGTTGAGCTTGGCGGCCACCTTGGCGTGGAAGCTGGCGGGCGCGTCCTGGAAAAGCGGGAACTTCTGGAGCTTGTGCAAGAGCGGCGAGAGCACGTGCTTGCCCGCGGGCGCGTCGTCGTCGTCGCTCTCGCTGTGGGTGCCGGGGCTGTCGAGGTCGCCGGGGCTGGCGGCCTGGCCCAGCACTTTGAGGGGGGCGCCGAAGGGCTCGGCGAGCGGCGAAGGGCTCGACGGCCGGAACGTGCCGGGCGACGGCTTCATCTGGGGCGCGGGCGCGAGGCTGGCCGGGGGTCCGGGGCCTGGCTGCGGCGGGTCCTGGGGGAGGCAGCGGGGTGCGCCGGGGGAGGATTTCTCGCCGATGACTGTTTTCTGGCCGATGGATTTCTCGCCGATGACGGATTCCTGGCCGGGTTCAGCAGTGCAGGGCGTGGGGATCCAGGGCTCGTCACGAGACCGGGCTGGGGCGAGCGGTCTGGGTCTCCGGCTGGTTGGTTTTTCGCTGCTTTGGACGTGTCGCTGCTTTATGTGTGTGTCGCTGCTTGGGCGTGTGGCGGTCCGGGTGGGGTCCAGGGTCCGTGGGTGTGTGGTGCCGCAAAGGGGGCTGGGGTGTCTGGGGCCTGTGTCGTGGGGTGGTTTGCGTGGGGCAAAACTGGTGCACGCGAGAGGCTCGCGAGGCCATGCCAGATCTATATATTTCGCGGGGCCGGAGCGGCGCGGGAAGATCGGCCCGCGATGCTGGGTGCTCAGCGCAGGCCCCGATGGCAGGCGCAGGATGGCGGGCGCTCCAGCGATGCACCGCGCGGATCTGGCGGCGCGGCCCTGGAGAACGGCGGGCTTTTTTCTCGGGGTGGCCTGATGTTTTTTTTTTTCCCGCGCGGCTCAGGCCTGGGCCAGGGGCACGGTTGGCCGGGCAGCACGACTTCCAGAACCCACCGTCATCCATGGCGGGCCGTGTTCGTTCGGTGCACCTTGCCTTTTTCCTTGTTGGGGGTGGGGGTGGCCTTGTTCTGTTGCCCGCTGAGCTGGCGCGCTGCCCAAACCGTGTACTTTCTTTTTTGATATTTTTTTTTTTATATTTTTGACTTTTCTAATTTTTGTTTCACTTCGGTGGTCCTTGAGCACTTGTGTGCTTCTGCCGGGTGGCGCTCCCTCTGGGTTGTTGCCTTGCTGTTTATGTCGGAAAGGGCCTCGGGAAAATACGCCCCTCGTAATCTGGCCGTTGCCCGCGCATCGGGGTGTGCATCCTGGGGCCGAGGACCGACAAACCATCGAATGGGCCTCGATACGGCCGGCCTGATGGCCTGCGCTTCTATAGCAGAACGGGCCGCCTGGGCTGGACACGGTGCTTTCTGGCTGAGCACGTGCCCGCTACCATGCAAGCCCGGCCCTTGTTCCCCAGCCCGGCCCTTTTCCTACTCACGCCTACTAACTGTTCCATGCATATGTTCTTTGGCTGGGGAATGTACGGGGTGGACCGTGTCACTCCGACAGATAGTCTGAGTGCGCCACACCGTGCTGGCACGAGGAAGCAACGAAAATTCGCAGGGCCGAGTTTTTTTTTTTTTATGAGGCAAGTCGAATTCTTCTTGGCTCTCGTGGCGGGGTCGCTTGCATCCAGGCATTTTGGCCGCTTGCGTGCCCAAGACTCTAGGCTTTCGCCAACGCAAGTGATGAGTTTAGACTATCGTTGGCACCCTGATGCAGGAACTATGAGGTCATTCTTCCGCAAGGCGTTTCGAACATCCCCGCAGTATTCTCTTTTGCTGACTAATCCTGACAAGACAGTTTGGGGAATCAATCGAAATCCGATGTGCTTTCCCCCTCAGGCCAAGCAAACGCGCTTTCCTCAAGGTCAACCTGAACGGCCGCACGCCGCGATGCGCTTGCGGGACTGGCCCCATTTCAATCTCGTCTATTGTATTTTTCGCTCTGGAAGTCCATCGTATTTTTCGCTTCGGGAGTCCATTGTATTCTTCGCTTCGGGAAACTGAAATAGAGAGGTGCCGAATTGTTCGATGCTCAGAACATTCGATCGTAATCCGTCATCGCCACATGTTCTTCCTAAGCCTCGCGAACCTTCCCAAGGCACCAGCAAGTGCCCCAAATTTGGAAACCTTCTTTGACCACATCGGGAACATAACAAGTCCCAGCTCAAATGTGCGTGGCTGAGTCTGCCCTCATCATTCGGCCAGCTGAGGTGCCAAAGGTTCATCCACCCTGCTCGTAGTCCAGTTCTAGTCTTGTTACGTGAGCTACTAATAAAGCAAGAGTCTCGGCTTCTTTGTCAGAATTTGTGAAGGTGCCGTTTCGCTCCAACTACAGAATGACTTCTTCTATTAGTCAAAAAGGTTTTGATTCTCTATCCTGCACCAGATTGTCAGATGTCGATTCCATAGCTTGGACTACTTGGAAGCGCATTCTACACACTGGCGGAAAAGCTCCCGACAAACAGTTATGTAGGAATATGATCTTTTGTTTTTCAGGGTACTGAAGAATTGGAACGGGGACAAGCGAATCCACTGTTGAGGTTTGATCGCAATATCCACAACTGCGATCTCACTGATGCTTTTCCAAAATAGACAAATTCTTGATCGCACAAAGTCAAACATGATTTTGTTAGGCAGGGGTCGAAGAGACCATCCGAACAATACCTTAACCGTAACTTATTTGAAGTAGGGATGACTGTCATATCAAATGTCTAAGGTCCTTTGGGAGAGATCTGTAGGGAATCTTCACCTCACCCACAAACTGGCGTATGCTATGTCCATAATCTTCTCGCATAATTTCTTCAGAAGTAGGAATTGCGCCATGTATTTTATACGTATAAGTTAGTACAGTTCTTTCGAATAGCGGTTTCAAAAGACAAAAATAATTCTTCTCGGACACCCCTACCTTGAAGCTATGCAGACAGTTCTCCGCCCTTCATCGCATATGAGTATTGAACTCGTCGACTCCACCTCCCTGAAATTAACATAGGGAGAAATTGCTCATGCGTGTTTTGAGACTATTATGATGAGCTAAACAATGTTCTTTGCCTGGCAAAACACGGATGCTGCTTGGAGTTGAATGGCAACTTTATAATACCAGCATCTACCGCCAGAAACAAGAAAAACTACGCTTAGTGTTTACATCGCAAAAGAGCCCAGTATGTATGTTGACCGCAACTGGACCGCTGTACCTAAAAATTCACACGAAGCCAATTCAAATTTACAAGATTATATGAGCTCAAGAGATCAGGACTGTGCGCAGGTACCAAGAGCTCCAAGTATTTCAGTGGCGCTGGTGACTGAATCGAATCACAGGGCTCTCCCGCCGGTATGTCATATTTCTGACGCCGAAAGAGCTCATCTATAAACCTTCCGGCAATATCTATGTACAGTGTTGTGTCCTAGAGCTTGAAGTCGATAATGACAGAAGGCCCCAAAGTGCTGCTCATACTGCAAAGGCCAATCAAGTTGGGATGCTTGGTTCCTGGAGGTTGGCAGCTGTACACGGCCTTAGAAGCTGCCTGTACGTTTTTGATAATCTCCTCGTCACTAAAGTCACAGCGACCCACAGGGAAGTAGAGCTGGTTCTTTTTTTGCTTGAAAGTGTATGCAGAGGCAGTGTTCTTCAAAAGATCCACAACATTGTCCGACACTGTGCCCTTTTTGGCAGAGGGCATCAAGTTTTTAGGACCCAAGATTTTGGCAATTTGCCCAAGCTGCAGCACCATATTTGAGTCAGCAAGACACTGCGTGTAAGATGCCACAGGGAAACCTTCTTTGATCTTCGCGATCAAGTCGGCACCACCCACTAACGTTAATTCCTTCGAACGTTTAATTTCTTGAATCTGTTCGGCGTTTTCAGTGAATATAAGCGTGTTGTTGGGTCTCACTGGTTTTGGGAAAATGATCTGTCCCAGCAAAGGGTGTGATCCTTTTTCGGGGATCACTGTGATTTGCAACGTAATGGTCGTCATTTCGGGCGACTTTCCGACCTCAGATGCACGCATGAATCTCATGGCTTTGGGAATATCCATATATAAGAGGTGGTCCTGAGGCTTCACCTGCTGTCTGGCTCTCAATTTCGCTTCTCTAGCAGCAATTTTTTTCGGGTCTTTCGTGGCGGTGAGTTTGGGCGATGGGTGCCTGATCGCGATCTCCTGGCTAGCAAATGCATACAGAGAGAACAGGCGGATCAAAGGCGCCGCAGCGAGCCTTTTCAAAGGTTGGGCAAACATTTGTTTGGTGTCAGTTTATAGTCTGAGATGAAAAAATTCTGTTGGTGTCCGTTTAATGTTCGCGCGCACAACCTGGTCACGTGACTATCGTGAAGGACATGGTCTGTTCTGACAAATTTGGTCTACAGAATTCAGTGGCGATTAGGGGATAAATGTCACACATTTCAATCAAGATCAATTTTCACTTGGATTTTAATATGCCTCTTACTATATGAGTGCTCATATATCAACATGCGTGAAGCGCTAGCTAGTCTATAGAAGTAGTGAGATGAAGAATTGCGCGAAGCGACCGCGTGTCTTTTTGGTTCACCTGAGTGTGCCATCCATGAACGCTCCATCAGGGGCCCTTTTTGAAATTTGCATGCTTCATCTATGTAGAGTACAGTAACCTCTTAAAAATCGAATCATTCTAAAAGCATATGAATACGGCTTCCGCACTTATTTTCGCGAATGGCGAAGATAACCAAGGAATAATGACTGTCAAAAATTTCCGTAGCTTCGTGTATAAAGCAGATCTGGATTTTTTGCTGTAAACCCTAGCAAAAATCAATGAGGACACTGACGCAAGCTGCTGGTTTTAGAACTGACATTTGAAAGTGTTATCAATCACGCCGGAGCTCTATTTAGGATACCCGGGCTCAAGACCTGCTGTCGAATTCGAAGTTTCGGGTGCATCTCGAGTGAACTTGAAATTCCTCTCACGCAATTGTAAGTAAGGAAAAAGTAGTTTCATCTGCAACTGATGTGTTTTTATTTCAGCTGATGTCTCTTGGTTAATTCGATAAAAAAATAGGACAATAAAGAAGCGTTCGATTTGGCTTTGCTGGACATTCTAGCACTTATCCAGCTTACAACCATCACCATACAATGCTGAAATATTTTCAATCATTTTCCATGGGTTTCTCTATCATTTTTATTCAGGGCTAAGAAAGACAGAGCACATTCGAAGCCGTGGTCTTTCAAAGAAGTAGCTCATTCCGAACCAGTATGACAAAGAGCTGCTCTCACACGCAATGTATTGACTGATCGTAGAATTGTACACCAAGGGTATTTTATTTTTAAATTGCCAATACAATTATGGTTCGGTACAGAGAAGCTATGCATTTGAATAAGACTCTAAGTTAGAGGCCCGAGCCTATGGTGCCGTTTGCTGCAGAAAATATTTCAATAGAAGCTGACAAATGGGGAGATGGAAGGAAAGAGGCACTTGCGTTATGAAGTCCAAACCTTACGTCTCGTTCGACACTGTGCATCGATCATTTGCTGCCGCAAAATCTTGGGTCGTAATTCTATTCATCTCCATGTGCTTCTGACGAGCCGGCGTACAAGAATGCGCCCAAAGAGAAAGTTGAAAGAGTATCATAGAGAATGTGTACTCGAGTAAAGGCATCACAGGCGATTTATAATATTGACTGTGCTTATTTCTAAAAAAAATGATGCGAATGTGCCGCTTTGATACATCTACACTTCAGTAGCATTCAAGGTATGATGCATATCTTTCATGTAGTGCGACATGTTCATAGCATAGATGGCTATTGTTCAAGATGGTTTGCTCAAATCTCGATTTGGTACCGAAAGTCAACACTCTGCGTTTATTTTTAGAAAACTGATTATTACCGAAAGCTTATTGTACAAGATTGTAAGCAGCTTTTATTCTGTGAAACGATGCTCTGTGTGTTTGTCTGCTCAAATTCTTATTCATGAACCACAAACGGCGGTAGCCTGGTGGTCAAGAATGGTAAGAAAATCTTGTGAGGTGCAATGATATTTAGAGGCCAATGAAATTAGAAGCAAACATGTGCTGAAGCCCTGTTCAAGAATTACACGGAATAAACCCAAAGGTGGCGCAGTCCCGCCAGTATTCAGAATAGAAGCGGGCCAGAGATTTTGGGCCAATGTGACAGCAAGGCATACGGAAGCGACCGGCACGGGGATTTTAGAGAGATAATTTCCTCATTCGGAAAAGTCTGCGTTTGCCATTACCATAATTTGGAACCGCCATGCCGATGGGCCTTTCGTGCAGAAAGGCTTCCTTCTGCCACCTTAACTTCACCTTTGACTGGATTACTATAGGGAAGAGGCATATGTGTTTCGTAAGGCCATTTTGGTCTTTTGGCGCCCGACATTCCAAATGCCATGACCAAAACGCTAGCTGACGGGTCACGTGCCGAAAAGATTGGCGTGACCAGTTGGGCGTAGTTTTAAGGTTTGCACGGGCAGAAGACCGGCGAGGTCAAACACATGGCGGATTTTGTATCTGTGATTGGCCCAAAACTTGAGCGGACCTTCAGGGGACGGGCTGTGCTAGGTGCTGGACGTCGATCCCACGAGAAAATATCCAAGAACTATGGAAAAAACAGACACTGAACACCAGCAGCCCATCTCGACGTAAGAGCACGGCGGCTAAGTGAAAGTTTAGGCAACACAGGTCAATTTGAGGCAGCCTCTCGACTACTCTGGCTCATTGGCCGGTGGAGGAGAGACCATTCAGAAAACGCCCGGGGTGTGAGCAGAGAGGGAGATTGTGGTTTCCTGCGATTTCCGGTTCCCGTTGTCTGTTATGCCCCTAACGCTCCGCAAGACTGAGCCACGCTTGAAATTCGCGGCCCCAGGCCTAGGCCCATCAGCACGCTATTTTTAATGGTGCACGCGTGCGTGTAGATAGACCGTGCAACGGCCACGCGATACGCGAACGCGGGCAAGAGGCTTGCCGGGGGCTCATGCAATACGGTTGGGCCCAGGGCAATGTAACCCCCGGGGCACTTGTCCCGTATGGCTGTGCTGAGCACAACAGAGAAAACCAACAAGCGGCAGAAACAACGGAAATTCCAAGCTGAAAAAAAGAGGAAGTAACTGCACGGAAGGCCCTGGGCAGGGCCAGGCCGAGACCCAGTGGTAGTGGCGGGCGAAGTCTCAGACACCAGCCGGGCTGGAACAGGCAGGACAGCCGATCGAGCGTCGCTGCCCCGGGAAGTCCAGACTTAGCACGTGCCATTTGGGAAAGGAGAATGTGTCATTTGGAGAAAACAGAAGAGCCATTTGGGGAAAGAGAAAAGATGAGAAGAAACGCACCAAAAGATGAGAAGAGAACGTGCCAAATGCTCTGCTTTGGGCGGCGTTTTGCTCCCCTCATTTCCACGCTTTTGGCAGGCTTTGGCAGGCGCGCCGGCTTGGGTGCCCGCTGCGCGAGGCCTCTGACTGGGGCCCCCGATACGCGCGGCCCGCGGCCTGCACACGGAGCGCGGCCCGACGTATTTCGCGGCCTAACTTTCGTAGCCTGAGCCCGGTGCAAGTTTCCGGGGCCCAAGCCTCTCGCGAGCCTGCGCCCTATGGGGCCAGACCCCAGAAGCCACCAGCCAGCGCTGCGCACGACGGGAGAGCCTATCCAGGCCACACCACGCAAGAGCAGCAAGAGCAAAAAAAAAAAAGGGATTAGAAATAAAGAAAACATCTCTCGTCTCAGCCGTGTAGTCGGGAGGCCTGGCCGGGCCCGAGAGTTCCCGCGTTTCCATATTGGGCGACGTTTCCTGACCGGCGGCCCTAAATGGAGAACGCCGGCCAGGGCTTCTGGCATGCTCTGTTTCAGTATCAGATTTCTCAATTCAAGTATGTACGGTACTTCGGATCCTTAGGATACTACTATTCTCTAAAAACCCTTAAGGAAGAAAGGAAAGGGAAAAAACTTTCCCTGTACGGAAGTTTTTTCCTCTTGCCACGTGAGGGATGCCTACATGGCGGATACCACGTGACACTCTGCGAGGTGGCTATTCTCGCGAAGCATGGCACTCTAACTTGTCTCCGCATGCTGCTCCATCCTGCAAGCACGCAGCTCCATGGCCTCGTAGCCTGGCGGCGGCCTTTTTTTTTTCTTCCTTCCCCTCTGTCCTGCTTCCTTCGCCAGGTCTCAGCCACGCTTCTTCTGGACGACACGGGCTCTTCTTTTGTTTTAAAGCCACCGTTGCCCCCCTCCTGCCCCGGCCTTCGCCCCCACCTTCGCTCTTCTTTCAGCTCGCTTGTTATCTGAGGCTCCATCCATAGAGGCTACCCCGCGAAATACGCTGTATGGCAACACGCCGGCCCAGCTAAACGCCGACCCCGCCCCACGCCCCCTCGTCCTGCCACAAACCGGCCCGTGTTTCCTGGCCCCCGCCGTGCTGCAAAAATACGCCCCGGCGCCCGCGTCTCCCAGGCAGAAAATACAGACGCACCCCCAGAACGGCCCGGGCCTGCCGCCGACCCCCAGCGCCAGCCGCCTGCTCCGCAAAATGGCCCTGATCTCCCCCGCGTCCACCGAGGACGCGCCCGCGTCGGTCGCGGGCGTGCCGCTCCGCAAAATTGCCGTCGGCGGCGTGTCCGCCGAGTTCCCCGCCTTGCTCGTGGACTGCTACCAGTACATCCTCGACCACGGGTTGGTCGAGGGCATCTTCCGCGTCAGCGGCTCCATCAAGCGCATGCGGGACGTGACGGCCAACTACGCGGCGTACCGCGACTGGCTTGCGCACGGCAGCCCGTCGCCGCACGACGTGTCGGGCGTGGCCAAGAAGTTCACGCGCGACTATCTCGCCAGCATGGGCGGGCTTTTCCCGCCGCCGGTGCTCGCGCAGCTCCGGGCGCTCTTTGCGGCGCCCGCGCCGCCCGGCAGCACGCCCAGCCTCGAGTCGTGCCGCAGCACGTCCACGTCGTGCAGCTCGGGGCTCGAGTCGGTCTTGGAGGAGGCCGCTGAGAACACTTACCCGGCGCCGCGCAGCGTGGCGGACACGCTCGACGCGGTGGCCGTGCTCCTCGTGTCGAAGAACCTGGCGCGCAAGAACGCCGTGTTCATCTACTACTTGTCCGTGTTGAGGTGCGTGCTGGCGCACCAGGACGAGACGCGCATGCCCAACGCCAACCTCGCCATCGTGTTCCAGCAGTATCTCTTCGAGACCTGGGTCGTGGCCGAGCTCCAGCTGTACCAGGGCCTCCTCAAGTTCTTGTTGGACCACTACGACACGTTCGTCGCCAAGTACCGCCTGAGCTTGGCGCTCCTCGGCGGCATCGACGAGCCCGCCCCCGCGGCGGACGCCGGCTCCGTGCACTCCTCCGAGCCGGTGTCCTCGTCGCCGTTGACCGAGTACTCGCTGCACCAGGCGTCGCCGCCCAAGTTCTCCGTCTACGGCTCGCCCGAGGGCGGCCGCTCGTCGCTTTCGCAGAAGTTCACCTCTCTCTGGGAGGCCTACGCCACGCCCGCGAGCCGCGCCAGGCGCTTCTCCTTCATGTCCCGCGGCTCGGGCAGGTCGTGCGACCGGCTCCCCTTGGACCCGGACCCGCTGCCCACGGCGGGGCCGGCCTGCTCCAAGGTGACCCTAGCCGCAGCCCAGCACCAGGTGATATCCGAGTCCGGCGAGCCATTCCCGGGGCCCTCGCCGCAGGACACCGAGCCCCGGCAGACGGCGCCAGGCACCACCAGCCGCACCAGTTTCATGGTCTTCCTCGAGGCCGCCAACGACTTGGGGGCGCCTCCCAAGTGGGCCAAGCAGCCCGTGCGTGCCGAGCCAGCGGGGCCGCGCGCCGCGAGCCACTCGCCGGACAGCCTACCGCGCGACCACAACCCACCTTCGTTCCCAGGCGCCGCCAAGCGCCAATCCATAGGCCGCAGGTTCTCGCTCTGGCTCCACAAAAAGTGAGGCCCCCCTGGCGCTCCAGCCGTAAGTGTTGGGTGATGTGCCTTTCCGTATCCACTGGACGTGGCGCTTCCGCTGCCTCGGGCTTCTGGCGTTTGTTGCGGCTTGCCCTCTGGCATTCAATTCTTCGCTTGTTTTATTAAACAGTCTGGGCGCACTGACTCCACGGGGGTCGCTGTCTATGTTGGTGTGCTGAGCTGTCAGCCTCGCACTCGAGATAGTTCCCCGCATCGTGCTTCGACCCGTCTCTTGTACCATTGATATTTATGCTTACGATAATACATTACCACACCCCGTTACGAGCTCCCGCTGGCTTCTGTCTCTTCGCCTCTTTTCGTTCCGAGTTCTCATGGGGCTGACGGCTCCACTGATTGAAGCACTGCAATCACTTGTATGTGATGGGGTTCAACTGCTAATTTCTCGCGCGACAGCCACAGACAACCAAGAGCAATCCCACCTGTCAAAAAAACTGGGATCGGTATTTGTGCGGTTGATGGCTGCCAAAAAACAACTCCAGCCATCCTGCCATCAGAAACAATATATTATATGGGGCCACTTTAACAACCTGAAGCGGCCGCACACGGGCACGACCTGTGCCGGCGTGGAGCGCGTCATAATTAATCGTGCATACTTGATCATGCATAGTGAAGAGATCAATCGACTTTGAGTGAGCCACATAGCGCTGATAAACCATCTTCTTCCCTTGTGTGTCAGGCATCCCTCCCACGATTTCTCGACAGTCAGCCCAAGATGCTCTCTCTGCCGAGCCAGTTTGAAATCCTAGCCTCGCACAAAATCGTAGGGTTTCCCGATGGCAACATCATCAGCTGGTGTCCGCAAATGGATCTCCTAGCCGTGTCGATGAATCATACTTCGATCTGGATGTTCCGGCTCGATGGTGAGCGCGTGTACTCCATAAACAATCGTGCAAAAATCCTACATCTTCAATGGAGCCACAGCGGTAAGTTTTTTGTGTTGTCGGGCACAGATCATGCCATCAAAGTATACGACTCCAACAATGGGAAACTTGTCAATCTGTTCGCCACATGCGCAGAACAAAACATATCACTTGTGAGTTGGGCCTCCGTGAATGTTTCGAAATCCATTTCTCCTTACGACGACTCCGTTCCGTACCAGGATCTTTTTCGTGTCGAGATTCTAAATAACATGCCTAAACTAGGAAACGAAGTGGATCCGTCTTCAGTCGACTTTTCCGGGAGCCCCGCAGCCAGCGCCAACTCCCCATACACGTCATCGCTGGTGATAAACACAACGGATAGTGACACTTTCATCGACTACCTTCTCGTGGCTAATGGTGATCAGAGCGTCTCCGTGACGTTCAACAATCTCTTGACTGTAACCGGGATTCTGGTTCCTAATAGTACCTTTAGCTTTCTCAAGCATGCCATAGGCGAAGACTTCTACCGGCAGTCGTTTCTTGTTCGGGACTCACTGTCGCAATTACACTTACAGGATCTACACATTGACGTCAGCGAGCCTAGAAACAGAAGTCACTTCTTCGATTCCATCAGGTATGCTTGCCAGGTCATTTCAATCATGAATCATATTAACGAGCAGTTCTGTGCCATGCAGAACGAAGCAAAAGAGTTCATTGCTCTCTATGACCGGTATTTAGCGAACTATAAGGACCTGCTCTATGCGGATGTTGACGTCATGACCGATTTTCCTCTGGGCGATGACATCGAAGAGAAAGTTGTTCTTGATCTTGGTGCAATGCTTCTTACAGGTCTTATCCCAGCTTCTACAAAAGACTACTGGCTAAACCAGTTCGGCGAAAGGGGGCTTATGAGACTTTCTGCACTAGGAAATGCCGTGTATGATAATATACGTAAAGTCGTTTTTACGCAGCTCATATTGGGGCTGGAAAAACTCATCATCTTGCTAAGCTATTTGGAAGGTTTATCAAAAGCAGCTGATCTAATGCGAGATGATGACTACGGTATAAACTTAGAATCTGTTCAAAAGGCTATTACGCTTGCGCAAGACTTCATCAAAAAAACTTACGGATTCATCTGGAAACTCAACGATGAGCACGAGTATTTCAACCAGTATCTAAATTGGCTCAAAGTTGAAATTATTGAAAAGCTCTCCAAAGAAGATACCGATCCTGAATCGTTTTTCGCAGATCACCCAGCTTTAGAGTTCAAATCGTCGCTGATTATGGAGTACTTCAGTGACTACATGTTTGACTCCGTGTTGATGCAAGAGCTCGATTTGGATTGTTCTAATCACGAAATTTTGACAAAAAGAGACCGCCCTGGGCAAATCTTGAAGAGCCAGATTTCAGATCTTCTGACTCAACTCAAGTTCATGCTTGCAGGCATGGAAAACTTCTTTCGACAAAAAGTCGTTTTCGAGCCCGCTGTTCCGCTCGACACACCCTCCGACGGCAAACAAAGTAATCTTGAAATGTTTGGCACAAATAAACTAGTTACATCTGCTGATATCAACGCTTTACACGTCACAAAATTTGCTGGCACTGCCTCCAATATGAACATGATTTTTCCAGGCAGAATAGTATGGCACAGACTTCTTGACGAGGAAAATGTTTTGGTTTTGTATGAAGTTAACCTGGCGAGTCGCAAGTTGGATATGATACGGTTCAACATCCGCCCATGCACAATGAGTTACGATGACTTGAGTGTACTGAAGTCACTCGTGTTTAATTCAGGTACCACCGTGAAGGTGCCCTCATTTGTGACTATCAATAGTGTTGAGAATCCGTCTAACATGATGGCCTTGATTTTAGACGAGTCAAAGAAAGATTACATGCTCATCCGCATCTAATCGTAAATATTTGTCATCGGGCTGATTGTATACTCGCCTTTTTCATCGACATAGAATTGGCGCACGACGTATTGTCGATAATTATGGAGTAGATTTCTTTCGTTAGGAATCAACTGTTTATGCCGCACATATTTCTGGATAGCCGGTGAGAGTTCGTTTTTCTCTTTTGCCCTTTTCCTGAGCATGTAGCGGAAAAAATTAGGATTGAATTCTGGTAAGGGCTCTCTCTTAGAGGTGGTAAATTCTATCAAGTATAGCAAATCCTCCTTTTCAATTGGCTTGAACGAATCCAAGAGATGTTTGGCATAGTTCACTTTTTTCTTGAGCTCGGCTTCCATGGCTGCAACGCTAGGTGGAAGTCCATATCTATTGGGTTTATAGCACACATCTAGCATGTGGATTTGCGTATCCAGCAACGCATTGGCGTGTGTTTTCAAAAATTGATGGAAAACAATCAACTTCTTGAGAAGTTCAGATTCTTGAGGCACTTTATCTGTGGAAGTTGCACGGCCCAATAGAGAAAGTGACCCCAAGTCCGCGTTGACTGGGATTTGCATGGCTTCCAAGAACAGAAACTCTGTTGCAGGCTGCATCTTTGCAAGAGCATCGTGGTATTCTTTGCATCTGTTAGAGTCACCAAATTCGTCCATTAGATGCACTTGCGGCCAGACCTTTTTGAATGCGCCGTAGCGGGTGTGATGAAACTTTTCGACCCACAATGGACGTGGCTTAAGATCTCGGTACACCAAATTGAGGAGCTTGTCGAAGTCTTTGTACTTTTCATAAATAAGGATATCGTCAAGAACCGATATAACACGATCATAAAGCTTTCTGTCCACGACAGAGTATGTAGGCACGGATTTTGACTGTGTGAATTGTGCCTTAAGCGTTCGTCTCGCAACCTCGAGACTGTGGTGGTCTAACGGTAGACGGGCCACTCTGCGACATAGGCCTTTATAATAGGATAGGTACATTTTGCCAAAGTAGAATAAGCTGGACCAAAAAGTTTTCGTTGTGTGAATTCGCACTGGTCCAATGGCCGCTTCTATCAAGCAAAGTGTTCACTCGGTCCTTTGTATGATATGGAGAATTCCAGATCTGCAGAATGTGAGATGATCATACGCATGAGAAATGGACTGCAGATAGTATTTGCACCAAGTCTCTCCAATCGGTTGAAGAGCATCTCTGATATTGAGACTGATGTCTGATGATGTATTTTTGACCAATTATGAAAAGCGAATCTCAAGAATAGAAGTTCTCACATAGTGTCTTGGGATGTGGATATCACGGCTGTGTGTGTCGTTGGAGATTCTGTGCGGAAGACATGCATCTATTAGATAGGCCACTGTTCTGATTAGAGCCTTAATATTATTATTCCAATTGTTGTTCGACCTTCCCAAAAGACATGAAGCCTAAGAGTTTTGGAGATTGTTGGTTTTAAACTCACAGAAGAAGATATCAGAGATTGACAGAGCCTGGCAGCTGGCCTACTGAGATCAAATTGCTCTCGGACGTGACTTACATGAGACAATTTTGAGGCCACAATGGAAATACGTGGATCCAAATGATACATTCTCTGAGTTGGAGGCGTTTAGCTGATTGTGATGCCCGTCAGCAATAATGTGAAATACTTTTAATATGCAAAAACCACACATGCTTATTGCCGAATCAGGGATACAATGTATCCATACAGTTTATAGTTATGAGATACTAGAATTTACGCCAAGTATACAACAAAACCAATCGCAGACAATTTTTGACCAAGCGGCTTTTCGATGTGGACGAGCCTCGCCCAACTGAGCGAATCACGGGCCACAAGACGTGCACTTAATCAGGGCCTTCGTCAAGGCCGACCGGGTGCGTCTCACCAAAGCTTTCAGCTATGGTTGAATGCCAACAATTGAGTGTGATTTACAACTGCAAAATAGGAAGATCCAGTTTTTTCTAGCTCGCCGAAATCACATTTGTCTCTGGAAATAAAATTCCCAGAAAATACTACCCCGCCATTCTTTATTGCTGGTTCACGCTCACTTACCCTCAATTCATATTGAGCTGCTCCCAAACAGCCGTTGGACACCAGAGCACGACTATCCCAGCAAGGAACACATTCAAAATCAAACAATCAATATCAGGCCTATTGCCGCAAAATGTATGGCCGCGTGATCCGGATCATAGCTTAATTCATTCCAGCTCCACAGGCGTGCGACTAACCACGAGCAAAGCTCCATAGAATACGCGCACCCATAAGTTCACTGGTGTTTTCGACGTTAAACAAAGACCACCACAGCAGCGAAAACCCACCTGTATCCCCGAAAATGGCCTTGGCTGAAACCATTCTACGCAAGGCAAACAAGCTCGGGCTTTTCCCGAAAGTCATCGCGAAGCTCCCCGTGGTTTCGCTCGTCTTTGCCCTCGTCAGTGTATGTTGGCTTCTTCTCTTGCCTATGGACGGCCAGTTCCGCCACACGTACATCTCCGAAAACGCGTTGATGCCCGGCCAGGTCAACTCGTATTTCCGGGAATCAGAATGGAACCACGTGCGTGGATTCCGGGCCGAGACCGCCAAGTGGGCCTTCGACCAGGTGTCCCACGAGAACCCACAACTAGAAGCGTGGCTTCGGGACTTTGGCTTGACGGTGTCGCATCATTTTGACGCCAAAACAAACTCCAGCACCATGTACGCGCTCATGCACGCGCCGAGGGGCGACGATACCGAGTCTCTTGTGTTGGTGACGCCGTATTTCACGTCCAGTGGAGAGGAAAACATAGGCGGGCTAGCGTTGGCGCCGGCGTTGGCACGGTACTTCTCGCGGATGTCCATCTGGTCGAAGAACATCATTTTCGTGTTTCCCAAAGACGGCCACTCGGTGCTCCGCTCGTGGGTTGAGGCCTACCACACCACCTTGGACGTCACGGCAGGCTCGATCGAGGCGGCCATTGTGATGGAGTACCCGTTGGAATCCGACAACTTCAGCCACTTGGAAATCATCTACGAGGGCCTTAACGGGCAGTTGCCCAACTTGGACTTGATCAACGTCGCCACAACCGTTGCCAGGCACGAAAACATGAAGGTCAGTGTCCAGGGCACATCCCACGAGAACCTCGACCGATCCGATTACTGGTCGCGCCTCGAGGTGTTGGCGCGGGGCATTTTCAAATTGGCCGTGACGGGCGTCAACCGCAAGTCCTACGGCTGCGAGGCGTTCTCAGGCTGGCAGATCCAAGCCATCACCGTAAAGGCCGTGGGGACTGGAGGGCCGGACGTCACGCAGTTCGGGCGGATCGTGGACTCGTCCTTCCGGTCCGTGAACAACTTGCTTGAGAAGTTCCACCAGTCGTTTTTCTTCTACTTGTTGCTTTCGCCCACGCATTTCGTGTCCATCGGCACCTACTTGCCGTCGGCCGTTCTTCTTGGCGCGTCGTTCCTCGTGAGCTCGCTCTACTCATTTGCACGTGGTGTTTCCGCAGCAGAGTTTTTATCCAGCATTGGCAGCGTGTTGCGCTTGTTTTCCGCCATAGAGGCTGTTTGCATAGTGGGGGCAGTGTTCCTTCAAAACTTGGCAGTGTCCTCTGCCGATCCAGAACCGGTTGCGCAGGCCATCACCGTGGCATTGATTGCTTTCACAGTGGTGCTTTCCACGGGCTCCCTCACCTTCGGTGCACTTAAACTCCGGGTGTCCAGACCAGCGTCGTACTTGATTCTTTCCTTTGCGCTCTATTTCATTGCCATGCTCATCGTCGCACTCTTGATTGTGCACTTTGCGTTGGCCTTCTCCATCGGCATCAGTGCGCTTCCCTTGACTTTCATCCAAGACCTGCTAATGCAGACCCACGGCAGCGGCGCTGCGCTGCTTAGAACAAGGCTGAAAGTCGTGTTGTGTCTCGTCGTCTCGTCGCCCATAACTGCTGTGGTCCTCTTGGGCTACATTCTCGATGGGGGTAAGACCGATGGTGTTTTGGGTCTCGTCCACGGGCTTCTTTCGTCGTGGCATGAAATGCAGAGCTGGACTTGGTTTGTGCTTGCCTTGGGCTGGCTTCCGGCTTGGGTGGCCGTGGCACTCGTGTGTGCCTTCGGCGATTTCAGCGTGCCCGTCAAGCAAAAGAACGAATAGTGGGCTGTACCTACGTAAAAGCCAATTAAAAATGAAGAGTCCTTTAACCATACACAGTCACCTAACGAAAATCAGTGTCTCACAAGCGACACTTTAGTTCTTGTACTTGGCTACAAAGTTCTTGTGGAACAGTTCCCATCTCTCGATCCAGTTCGTGCCTGGAGGCAAGAACGTGGTTCTCAAGTGGTACGTTCCGGGCACCTGGCCAAACCCAGAGCCGGGAACACAGCAAATACCGGTGTTTTCCAAGAGATCCGAGCAGTAGAACTCGTCCACCGACAGGCCATCAGCTTTGCAAGCCTCGTGCAACTTGGCGTACAGCGACTTGTCGAAGTTGAGTCTGGGGAAGAGGTACATGGCACCTTGTGGCTTGTTGCACTCCACGTCGGCCATTTTGCTGAAAGCCTCGTGCAACCGCGTGGCTCTTTCCTCCAAAGCCTCGTGGATGGACGAGACTTCCTTCTGGTAAAGACCGTGAGAAGGCGTGCCCTCCTTTGGAGGGTTGATCATCAACTCAACCAAAGCCTGGCCAGTCACTACCGGACACAAGTTGATGGAGGCCAACTTGAAGATCACGTCTTGGACCTCCTTCGAAAAGCCGACGAGCTCCATGTATCCACCTCTCTGGCCACATTCTCCACTGACACCCTTGGACGTGGAGTGCAACGATACAAGCTGGACATTCTTATATGTCTCTGGGTCCTTTTCGAGCAACTTGGCCAAGACCTTCTTGGCAGACACAAATTGGCCGTGGAATACATTTTCCTGGTACACCTCGTCGGCAATGACCACCAAGCCGTGCTCGGCGGCAATGTCAATAAGCTGAGAAATGTCGGACTCCGAGAGAATGGCACCGGTGGGGTTTCCTGGGTTGATGATCACCAAGCTCTTGACGTCGATGCCCTTGTCCTTGTTTTCCGCAATTAACTGGCGGATCTGCTTGGGGTCTGTGGACCAGTCGTTGGCCTCGTCCAAGTAGTATCCGATTGGAGTGGCGTTGTTCAAGGCAATAGAGGCGGTATACAAAGGATACTGGGGAATGGGAATCAAGAAGCCCAGGTTCTCGCCACGCGACAAGACCTGGATCAAGTACAGCACGGCAGCAGAGGCGCCTCCGGTCAAGAAAATGTCGTTGGGGTTTGCGGGGTAGCCGTCACGTTTGGAGATGAACTCGGCCACGGATTTTCTGACAAAGCGGTCACCTTGCGACAGCGAGTATGCACCTACAGAACCCAAGCTGCCGAGCAAAGTCGACGCACGCTCGATAACGTCAGCAGGGTAAAGCTTGTTTCTGGTGGTCTCGTCTAACTCTTTCAACTGCTCGATTAGACCGGGGTATTGCAAGAGAGAAAGCGTCTGTCTATACCACGAGAGGGGCGCCTGGTCAAGTTGCTGAGGGTTGCCGATGTTGGCGCTGATGATCTCGTTAAAAGCCAATTTCTCATTCTGGGCAATCTCCTGGCTGAGCTCATCGGCACGGATTGGGATTTTGCCTCTCACGGCGTATTTGGCCTCGATGGTCGAACGGTTCAAATCCGACAAGGCAAGCTTGGGTGCAACAGTGAACGAAGCATAGAGTCTACGCCCGATAATACGCGGGGTAGCGGCCACCTGTTTCATGCCGGCGTTACGTGTGAATATGAATAGATAAGGTTGTACAGCCCTGGAGGAAAAATGCACACACGGCGGCCTAAACAGGGTCACTTGCCGGGGTTATATACTGAAAGATGGGGCTCATCTCGACCCGTGACTCTGCCTCTGCATGGCCATATCTCGCGGAGTATTCTGCAGGCCGGCCTGTTCCGGCTTCCTGCAGTAAGAAGACGGCGTGAGCGATGATACATCCTGTTTAGGAAAAATCCCCAAAGTCAAGGACAGCACCCACAGGAATTATAGGATGCTGGGATTGACAAGTAATTGTCCTGTTTCGGACACGGAAAGTCTAGTATCTCAGGCCCTGAGAAAGGCGTTCTATTGCAAGTCCTCTGCAGGACACTCCCCGCTGTGCTGCGCGGTAATTAATCTCCTTAGTCAAAAATGCGCTCGGACTTCAAAGCACGAAAAAGAAGCAATTGGTCGCGTGGAGATTGGCCCCATGCTGACAGGGCGCACGTGACTTTGGCTGCGAGCCCCGGAAACGGGAACGGGCTCGCTTGACTTCTGTCATGAAATTCCTCAGGTTGCACCAGTCGCAACTCATGCTCATAATTTGGTGGATTTGTATGAGCATTCACCCTTGTAGACCATCAGTTCCTGATGTATGAAAGCCTGGGCACTGAATCCTATTTAGATCAGGTCAAACTGAGAAACACAATGTCTTAAGGAACACGGCTAGCTTAAACCACTGCAAACAAGAACCAGCTAAGACCAAAAAAGCGAATAGAATTCGTTTTCACGACGGCTTGAAAACGGAATCCTTAGGAATGCCAGCGAGCATCGAGGACGCTCAAACAAATTACCTAGTTTCAGGGGTGGTGCTCCCTTTAAGTAGGGCAGAGACGTGAGCCGCAAAGCTAATCATGCTGACACGCTCGCTTGTTGTGTTCTTCGTCGCGAATCCTGCCGATTCAAAACACACTACGTCGTGCCAAAGTACAACAGATCAACAAACCGCGTGCGGAAAGGCCAGTCGGCGTCCTTGAAGCCCTCAGGATTGTACGACCTGTCGGGTGTGTCAGTGTTGCTCAATTTCCCCACGACAATCGTGACTTCTGGAAACACATTGAAAATCCGCTTGACTGCAATTTCCGTCAGCAAGTACGAAATTAGCACGATGTTCCTTTGCTCCACCTTGTGGTCGATGAGTACCTGGATGGCCATCACGGCTCCCGCGCCACTGATGATCTGTGCGTCCAAAAGAAAGTACACGGAGCCCTCGGAGCTTTTGGGTAAGTTTTCGTAATGCAACTGCGGCTCGCCCGTCATGGAATCACTCTGGATCAAAAGCTTCCCGGTGGGGATTGCGGGGAAGGTTTTCCTGACTCCGTTCATGAAGCAGTCCCCAGAACGCACTATGCTGACCGCCGCAAGCTCCAGTGACTGCACCAAGCCTTTAAATGTATTTCCGTTGTGACAGGCCACGGTTTTCGGGGTGTAGTGGTGCAAAGTGTCGAGAGCCGCCTCGACTAAGAGGTGGGAAATGCGGTCGAAGTAGAAAATGAAGTCTGTGCGGTCGGTGTGCACGTCGAATAACATCGAGTGGATCCCCGCTGTATGGTTGGTAGCTGGGAGTATCTTCAAGTTTGCACGCCGCGACACGTCAAATGAGACGCCGTGACCAAGTGCCTTGAGCCGGTCAAGATGGGCCGCGCTCTTCAAAGCAAGCTGCTTCTGGATATGCTTGATCATGAGATCAATGGCCCGTGTATTATCTAGCCCCCGAGGAATAACCAAATCCGCATTTCTAATGGTGGGGTACACAGAGCCGGTGGCATTTGGCTTCACAGAGGTCTCCCATTGTTGGAGAGCACCTGCCAAGTCACGGCCCCGGTACAAAATATCCCTAGTGAGCCGGCGGGCCAAGCACACATCCAAGTCAGTATCCACAAACACCTTGATGTCCATCAAGTCCAAGAGCCGTTGGTCATATAAGGCGTAGATACCCTCGACAATGATGACATTGGCTCCGTAGATGGTGATGTGCTTTTCCGTGCGGTTGTGGTGACTGAACGAATACACGGGGATCTCCGTCTTGTGGCCCTGTTTCAACAGCGTCAACTTCTCCACCACAAGATCCATATCGATTGCCTTGGGCGTATCGAAATCGTAGTTGCACGCAAAGGCCTGTGCCGATTCCTCGGCCGAGAGCGGCTTGTAGAAGTTGTCAAACAGTAAGAGCACAGTCCAGGGCGTGTTCAACTCCAGGATGATCTGCTGCGATATTGACGTTTTTCCTGACCCTGAAAACCCGGCCACTCCTATCACATAGGGCTCGGTCCATGGCGGCACGTAGGTATCGTATGAAAGCTGCGCCTGTGACTCTCTATCTGCAGATAGAGAGCTCTCTGACGAGTGTGGCTTCAGGTCTTTGATGGAGGTGAAAAACGACGCCTGTCGCTGCTCGTCAGGGGCAATTCGGATCAGATGAGTTTTAGCCTTAGGGCTCATTTTGCATCAGCGCACCCACAAATCTTCAGCACAAAGCACTGAGAAGAGAAAAAAAAAACGTTAGACTTGTACTAGAGAGAGATGCTCACACAGTTCGTCTGCTCTAGTGATCTAAGATATTTTTGGATGCACCCTTGTAAGAGCGTATCTATTCACCCTGTAAGTGCCCATGATAGCACCAGGCAAAAGATGAAGGAGCCCGCGCAGCGTCCAGGCGTGCCCAAACACAGGGCCCCTCCAGCAAAGAGAACGGGCAGTCTAATTTTTATTCTTTTCTGATTTACAATTTGGCATTTGAAAACGCCTGTCCAATGTTTCAGGAACCGAATTTTGAATTCCGATCCCGACTCCCTGGCGTTCCACGGTGCTGATGGTAGTTTGTTTTATTGAGCCGTGCGAATAGTCTTGCTACATGGGACCTATTTAATTATATCTGAGAGTACTCGGTCGCCTTGAATCCGTCAACACTAGCACCCCCAAGGAGTTGCGGACAGAAAAGAAAGACCGAAGAATAAATTTCGCTTTGTACGGCAGGATTGTAATTCATTCTTATTGTAGTCTTGCTGGCACTTCCACTACATCAATGCCATAGTTCAGCAGGTGCGAGATAGCTTCATATCCACAATTCAGCCAATGTACGAGACTCTTCCCAATTCTTAAAACAAGGCTTTTGTCACAATATCAAAATCACCATGAGTGGCATGAGTGGAGGTATAAGCTCAACTATGTGCAATTGTGAGGTATGTCATATGAAAGACCTGCGACAACATGGGGCGTGTATACTGCTGCACCCATGTCCACGAACAACTCAAGGCATTCATTACTTTTGTTAGCTACTAGTCTGAAATTTGGCGCTCAAAAATCACGGCCGCCAGGAAATTTCTGATCTGGAAAATGGAGCTCAAGACCGGCAGAGGGTACAGGCGAAGAGCTGCGGAAGCATATGAAGAAGACGCATCGCCTCACGAATTGCCCCGAAACGAAGACATCAAGGAGAACCCCCTGGTAAAGGAGCATGAACGCCCCGATGATTCTGTTCGAATTTATGCCGATAGCTTGAAAGCCGCAGACTCTACTAGGGAAAGTCATTCAGCCCCAGCGTCTAAGCACACAGTTTCAAGGCAAAATCAAGCAGACCACTTGAGAAGAAAATTCGAGGCACAAGTCAAAAGACTTAGGTCTGATGTGGACTGGCTAGCATCCAAGCCAAATCTCACTCCTCGAGAAGCCGATGAATATCATGAAAAGTCCAGTCTCTTAGCCCAATTAGGCTCTTCGGACTCAGCTTCTCAACAACACTACGAGTTGCCGGACCAGTCTACCAATTCTGATGGTTTCATAGACCGCAAGCGAAAACGAGATCTTCTCAAACTGCAGGCCCCTCAAGATTCAGAATCAAAAGAGAAGAAATCGAGGCCCGAAAACCAATGGGAAATCGACCAAATGAAAAAAGCACAAGAAATCATTTCGCTGAACCCAGACCAAATCCAATTGCCGGACCAGCCACATTACGACTTTGTATTTGATGAATCACAGTTTGTAGATTTTTCTGAAGAGGCTGAGCTCGCTGGCGAGGATGGTGAAGATATAAAACCTGCCTCTCGGTTCAGTGATATTCAAGCGGTGAGAAAATCACTTCCCGCTTACCGTCACCGGACTGATTTCCTCGATGCCATGAATCAAACTCAAGTTTTAATTGTGGTTGGTGAAACAGGCTCGGGAAAAACCACTCAACTTCCCCAATACTTGTATGAAGAAGGATATTCCAAATCTCCCCATGGCGACAAGGTTCTTAAAATTGGTTGCACACAGCCACGGCGGGTGGCGGCCACTTCTGTTGCTCAAAGAGTTGCCGAAGAGGTAGGCTGTCAGTTGGGCCAGGATGTTGGATATAGCGTCAGATTTGAGAACGTCAGCTCCCAGTATACCGCCATCAAGTACCTTACAGATGGTATGCTTCTACGGGAGTTCCTAACCGATCCACTTCTTTCCACCTACTCGGCACTCATGATTGATGAGGCGCACGAGAGAACCGTGTCGACAGAAATAGTGCTCACTTTGCTAAAGGATGTGGTGAAGGAACGGAAAGACTTGAAATTGATTGTAGCTTCTGCAACGATTAATGCTAAAAAATTCGCTGATTACTTTGACGGAGCTCCAATATTTTCTATTCCAGGCCGGAGGTTCCCTGTCGATGTGTGCTACACCAAGAGTCCTGAAGCCAACTATATACAAGCAGCTATCACCACGGTGTTTCAGATCCACACCAAACATGAAACTCCCGGTGATATTCTCGTGTTTCTTACGGGTCAGGAGGAAATTGAGACTATGGAAGAAACGTTGAACGATGCTTGTGATAAGCTTGGTAGTCAGATCAAGCCATTGCTCGTGGCGCCCATATATGCCAACTTGCCACCAGCGAAGCAAGCCAGAATTTTCGAGCCCACGCCTCCAAACTCAAGAAAAGTTGTCCTCGCTACGAATATTGCCGAAACCTCCATTACAATCAATGGAATCAAATACGTCATCGACCCCGGCTATGTGAAAGAAAATGTATTCAACCCTACTACTGGAATGGAATCCTTGGTAGTGGTGCCGTGTTCGAGAGCGTCCGCCGATCAAAGAGCTGGAAGAGCAGGCAGGGTTGGACCCGGAAAATGTTACAGACTCTATACTAAATGGTCGTTCAATAACGATCTTCAGGCAAATCCAACGCCTGAAATCTTGCGTGTGAATTTATGTGGTGTTGTTCTATTGCTTCTTTCAATGGGCATCAACGACTTGCTTCACTTCGACTTTATGGATCCGCCCAGCAAGGAAACCTTGATGAAGGCACTCGAACTATTGTATGCGCTTGGCGCTATGAATGCAAAGGGCCAACTCACGAAAACGGGCCGGAAAATGGCCGAATTTCCCATCGACCCTATGTTCTGCAAAGCTTTATTGACTAGTTCTGACTATGGTGTTCTGCGCGAAGTTCTAGCAATCATCTCCATGCTTTCGGAATCCTCGAGCTTGTTCTACAGGCCCAAAGATAAACGTGAGCTTGCAGACAAACGCAAGCAGTCTTTCAATCACCCTACAGGAGACCATTTAACGCTTCTCAATATATGGAAGCAATGGAGTGACTCGGGTTTCTCGAATCTCTGGTGCGAGGATAATTTTCTCCAATACAAAACGCTAAAGAGAACGCGGGAAATTCGACAGCAATTAGAAGGTCTATGCGGAAAAGTTGGGATTGAGCTAGACGCCCCTGATCAGATACATATAGATGAAGAGAAGATTCAGAAGGCTCTCCTCAGTGGGTTTTTCCCAAACATTGCCCGACTCTCCAAATTGGGAAACAATTACGTGCTGCTCAAAAGAAAGCAGCCTGTTTACATCCATCCATCCTCTGGGTTGGGGCGAGTCAAACCGCCTCCGAAATTGGTCATGTATCATGAATTGGTGTTGACCAGCAAAGAGTACATGCGGAATTGTTTGCGCGTGGAGGAGAAATGGGTCGATGAGGTGGCCAAACATTACTACGGCGAAAAAGTAATGGGTGAATTGCATCCCAAGCAATGATCCAAAAATAAAGAAAACTTCTCCAGTCCGGAGTTTCAAATTACACATGAAGGTAAAGCATAATTGAAAACAGCATAATTGAAAACCGTGTCTCTGCTGCACGAAATCTACTTCGACATCCAATTCAAATTTTCACCATAACTAAAGCGGCTATTTGAACAGGCTAGTTTTTGGTTTATCCTTCTCGTAACTTGTATTTACAATGAAGGAAAAAGAAGCAGTATTTTTTTTCGAACACTGGCAATGATTATCTTGTTGTACAATTCATGTGATATGCAGGTCTGTATACACGCGAGACGGTCCGAAGCGAAGACCGGCCCGGACCTGGAGACGCGCTTCGGCTTGTCCCTTGAGGCCGCAGCCTTGGGCTGACTAAAAAAGTTTTAGGTCTGATAACTCCCAAAATCCCTGAGAAATTTTAAAAAAAACCCCTAGAAGAGTCTGTTCAGCTGGCTATTTTCGCATCTCTTCAATTAAGCCTGTCTGTAAATTCACTCAGCAGATGGAGAAAAACTCGGGGTTGCTTCCCTTTGCTTACAGCTCACTGAACGAGCGCAGTTCTTTAAACACTGCTCCCCGAGAGAAACATGTGATTGATGAAAATGCTCGCAGTATGTACCATACGCGAATAAGCGGACCAGCGGGTCCAGCCCCCCAATCGAGTCACAGGGTCAAAGGTCCTACTTTGCTGCTGGTGCCTTCGATCAAGAGGAAAATGGGAGAGAGTTTCTACGAAAATGACGACAAAAAACGACAAGACACGAACGAAGAGATGGCAATTGCCCATCAAGGGAAGCTTCTGCTTTCTGATCTTTCGGCTATTCGGTCCGCATCGATTACCGCTGTGGATTCTGACCAGTCTACTGATGCCACAGAGCCCGATCTCTCGGACAATATCATCGTTGCCTCTGAAACACATAATCTTCCCAGCTCACCACCGCCATCTATTCATGCTTCGGAATACGATGTGTCAATTCACGACTACCCGGTGCCGGAATCACCCGTAAATCGCAGACGTCGCATCTCACTTAACACGTCACCAGTAAAAGGCGCTAGCCGCGTCTTGCACCAAAGCTCAGAACCTGATTTTGGAATTGATGCTTTCAACAGGTTCAAAGTCTCATTTCAAGGCCAATGCCCTTCTACCGATACCGACGTGAATGTCGAAATCGGCGCAGATTCGACGGGTGACCCCTACCTGTTTCTGGCTGCACGAGATATCATTCTCCAAAGTTTTGAGAATGTACTTCCATGTGTCAATCTAGACGGCATGCAGCTCACTGAAATCCCGGATGAGATCAAAGATCTCAACAACTTGGTCATTTTCAACAACGGGCCCTCGAGAGTACTGCGACAGCTCTTTTTAACGAACAACTTGATCAAGGTGCTAAATCCCAGCTTATTCAAATTCACCAAACTCAATGTCCTCAGTTTGAGGCGAAACCAAATTCGATATCTCCCAAACTCTATCGGCAAACTTCAAGATCTCACTGACTTGAATATCAGCATGAATAATCTCAGATACCTACCACCTCAGATACTCAATCTCCCGAATTTGTCCACTTTAGGCGCCGGTCCCAACCCATATCTTGAAATCCCTGAAGATGCAATCGAGGTCCCCTCTTTACTCACTCAGCAAAACAAAGTAATGCGTTGGGTTTCGCCAATACGTATACTTCAAACCCAACGAAATACTGCATCATTAAAGGCCATTTGCTTGGATACGGTTGGTAAGTATGATGTGTCTTATAGCGAAACCAAGAGGTGGAAGAAGACAATTCCTCGACATTTGCAATCGCTTGTGGCTCTCGCCATCTCCAAAGCAAAGTTTTTAGACTGCTGTGAGAATTGTGACATGATTGCAGTGGAGCCATATGCTGAAGTTATAGAATGGTGGGACATTCTCCAAAACGTAAATGTTCCCATTAAGAGAAAGTTTTGCTCTGGGCTTTGCCTACAGAAATACCAGATGCACAACCAGTATGCTGTGATGAAGAAGAGCGAATCTGATGGTTTTGCGGTAAATTATTGATCAAATACGTATTGTGTATCAGGAATACAGCCACAACAGCTTGATTGATGAGCAGCACTTTTATATTCTTTGGACGTAAACACTCGGGAATATTCCTTCTTTGTCATCCAACAGTCCGGTCCACCATTCGCCCTCGCAGCTGTGAAGCTTGATTAAATCACCCTTCTTGAACTCGAGATCTAAATCTGCAATGGAGCAAAAATCAAAAAGAGCCCGACAATAACCAGTATTCGAATTATGGTGTAGATCATCACAATCTCCCCGTGCAGCGCTTAAGCGCTTAACATCCCGGTCGCCCGGTAATACTGGCGGTTTTTTTCGCTTGCAGGTAGTCTCAGTGTTCTCACTGACAATGTGTTCGAGGGACAGTACACTCATATCGTCAGAAAATGAGGATTTGGAAGCGATACTCTGAAAAGCCGGTAATGGTGTACACAAGTCGAGACCGCCTTCTTCAAAGTCCTGTTGCACGGAGCCAACGTTCGACTGCGCTTGATAGGCTGCAGTCAACTGAATATAGAAAATGAAGAGCATCATGGGCTCAATAAAACTTCTCACGAACATAAAAAAAGACGGCAATTCAGCTTTCAAAAGCAAATTGTGTTGATCGTATACCTTTTTCAACTCCACTAGTTTCTTTTCTAATGAAAAGTACTCTTGCTTTTGCTTTGGCGTAAACTCGTTTGTAGTGCTGAGGATCGTCATGCCATCGAATTTGTCGTAAACCTTGTCATATGACATCAAGGCTCGGTCTCTCAGTGCCACGCGTTCTTGGATTTTTTCCAGGTAGGATAACAAGCGCTGAATACGCTCATCAATTTCCTGGGGTATGGAGCTGAGCGATTCTCGGAGACAGATGCCAATCTCAACCATGGTGGCACAATAGCTTCTCGTTTTCTCACACATGCTGGGCTTGCTGCCACCAGACAGTTTGGGAGATGGCTCAAGCGTGGCTGGGCTAGATAAAACCTGGATAGAGTTGGCCACTCTTTGCGAACTCTGGACTAACTCCGTAGAAATGAATATGTAGTGCTTGTGTAGCTTGATGATCTCCTGGAACGCCTCCACGATTGCATCCAATTCCTCAATAAGATCTTCGAACTCTTCGTCCACGGTTTTAGTAGGCACATGGACCGGTTTGTGCCAGTGCTCGTGAACTTTAGAATTGATCTTTCCGGTCTTGTCACGCACCAAGTTCGATGTGCTGGCGATCTTGTCCGCAATCGAACCAAAGACCCTATTTGTGTTTCTTGGTTTTTTCGGATCCGGAGTTTCCATGACTAATATACTAGGTAGATCTTTTTGCAAAATAGGGTGTAATGCTAACAAAAGTGCGCTGGGGGTTCATGGGTGCAAAAATTCGCGCAGCATGAATGCATAAAGCAAGTGCACTTCACCAATTACGGATGTCCATGGTGGGACCCAGGCCATGCATAAATACGCTCGGGTCGAGGAGATGATGCACGGCTTGATGATCCAGTGGGGCTTGGGATAGGTGTTTGTGCCATGGATGTAAATTGTAGCATGGAAATCTCATTGATAAGTTCTGCTTTCTGAGAGACACCCAAGGGAGATGTGTGCAATTCTGCCATGAGACTGGAGATCCGCTCACCAAATAGGTTGTCGAGATTTTGGATAAGCTGGTCACCGAACAGCCGGTCGGTTGGGAAATTCAAATAAACTTTGTTCTGCAATAAGCGCACGGTTTTGAGTTTCTCCACCACATCGTGGAAGTACCGTGCGTTCTCCGAATCGCCTTCCAAAGCTAGAGGTGATGGGCTCACTAGTAAGATTGAGGCGTAGTATAACATCATGTGGATGTGCACAGGCACGTACTTGAGGTTGTTCAGAATGTCTGGATCACTCAACACCAAACTGAGCACAGTTTGTGCGGCAGACACTGCAATGTTGTAACTCACCAAAGCCTGGTCTTGAGTGACAAGTCCAGAATTTGAAACAAAGTCGTCTTCGTCCTCGTCGTCTTCGTCACTACTATTAGCTTCTTCGAGTTCTGGTTGCCCACGTAACTTCTCGTTGTCCACGGTATTTGATGGAATCTCATTCTTTTGGGTTGGTGTCTTGTAGTTCTTCCAATTAGGCAACAAAAGGCCGTTGCCGCCGCGGTCCTCCTGCAACTGACGGATCACGGAGCTATTGATGTGCATCTTGGCAAAGTTGTAATAAATCAATGTCGATTTGGACAGCCACACCGCGCCGTTTTTCATAGGCGCAAGTAGCACTGTCCATGACACCATCCACTTATCAAGCTCTAGATTCGAACGGGACGGAATACCAAAGCTTGTGGGCGCTAGAAGGTCCCAAGCGTTGCCCTTAAAAGACTCGCTTAGCGCAATGTTGTATTCGACCTGGGATACGAGTCGTAAATCGTTGAGCCGTCCATAGTGGGTATCTTGTGGGGTAGGCAGTTCTTCAGGACCCTTGTGACGGGAATCCAGATCCTTTTTCTTTGCTTCCAACTTGCGCGGCTCACTTTTCATGAGCAACTGGCGCAGATTGCGAAGCGTGTAATCCTCACTTGACACGAGCGACTGCCTGTTTAGGGTCATGCTTTGCTGCCCATCCAAAATGAACAAAAGATACCACAATTTGATCCTGTCCTGTTCGTCTAGCGAGCTCTCGCGTGACTCGCCCAGTGCGGGCCGATTCAAATTGAATTCTTTGGCAAGTTGGAGCGCCAATCCCGTGAACATTTGCGAGTCGGAGAGCCAGAAGCTGCAGAGAACCAACGACACTATGGTATTGAATGCCTCTTGCTCGGTGCGAGGCCTGCTAGCGAAAAGAACGTTTGTGCACAATTCTCGAAGATGGGTCTGAAGAGTTTCTTGCTTGCCCGAAAGTTCAGGGCCCGGGTAGTGCATCAGTGCTATGGTACATATTGTACACACAAGTATGGGTGAGGATTCCCAAACCACATCAACGACGAATCTCTTGATCTCAAAGCCAAAGAGTTGTTGCGCGATGTTCTCGTCAAAAAATTTGAAAAGCGTTTTGGCTTCTTCGATTGAAAGAACGTTTTCCCTGAAATCCCCCGGGCCATATCTTGCTCGCTTGCGTATGCTCTCGGGCTTGTCATGAGCATGTGACCGTTTGCTTGACGAGGCTGCCTCTGGTGCCTGTATCGACTCAGTGCTGTGCTCATTAGACGGCTCTGGGCCTTTGGTTGCATGTGTGTCTTCCCCTTTTTGCTTCTCAAGGAGTGCTTTCTGATTGGCCTCAAGTACACTGAGAATACTGTTGAACTTCGCATCCACTGAGTCGAGTTTGCTCTCCATTGACAGTCGCCAGTCCAGATCAGGCTCGTTTTGTAAGGAGTCTTTTGGCACACCTTTTGGGTGTAACGGGAGTGGCTTGTGTTTCACGATGTTTCTATTCGGTACTAGAGATGGTAATGGGGTAGAAAAGGGGCCTGGAATCGGGTTGGGGAGCAGGCCCGGGTTTGGAAGGGAGCCTGCGGAGTTGTACATTGAGTCCAACGGCCGTGTGGTTGTTTTTGGGGGGATTTCGGGGCCATCATAGGGCTTGTTGGTCTGCGATGAGTCAAGCAGAGGAAACTTCAAAGACGGTAGCCTGATCACAAAATGGCACGAGCTGGCAAGCCCGTTGCTGACGCAGCGCACACATGGTAGCGTGTTATCGTACTCGCATTTGACCTTGGACTTCTTGCAGTTGCCGCACGGCTTGGTACGGATTCCTTTAGCCATCTAGGCATTGTGGGGGGAACTGGGTGATCAGCTGGGACATAAGCCGGAGCACACGACACCCGTACACCGCCAGTGACTGGTCAATTCGTCCACTGGCCCAGAGAATGGTTTTGAATGTGCCGCTAAAAATCGTGCTCGAGCTTACATAGTGTCGAGCAGTGGTCTGCACTCCATGCTTTTTGTCTGAAAAGAAAACCACTCAAAGTGGCTGACAAAATTGCGGTTTCCAGGTTTCTGAGATTAAAAGTCGCGAATATGTTCCCCAGATGCTTTACATTGAAGAAATGCGAATGTTCTCAGTTGGCAAATAATGAGATGTATTATTAGACTGAAGTTGCAAGGGAAACGGAAATCAAGATCATTCCCACTGAAGCCACCAAAACGCCAATGAGGTCCAATAAGTTCAAGTGGCCTTTTATTCAGTGCATAGAGTGTTTCTAAAGTACAGCCTTTGGCCCATTGTGCCCTTTAGCCATGTACGCTTGTCCAAGGGCCCCAGCTCTGGCTGCGCACCCAAGCCGCAGTGCCCCGGATTTCGGCGAGCATCTGGCTCATAAATCTGTGCCTCCCCGCCCCACGTCAAACCCCATCACTTCCCCACTAACAGACAATGTCAATGAAGCCACGAATCAAGGCCTTTTTCGGCCCCTCGAGAGAATACGCGGTGGTTGGCGCGTCAAACAACCCCTCCAAATTCGGGTACAAGATCTTATCCTGGTACGTATCCCATGGCTTGCCCGTAGTGCCGGTGAACCCAAGAGAGCCCGAGATCTTGGGCCAGACCGTGGTCCCGTCCGTGCCGGAAATCTTGCGGGCGCTATCGGAAAAAAGAAACGTGGCCCACCATCAGCTTGCGGCCGCGGACGGACTCAGCATCTCGTTCTTGACGCCCCCGCAAATCACCGTCCGCACTTTGGACGACATCTCTGCGGTGCCGCACTACAAGTCGCTTGTGAAGGGGCTTTGGTTCCAGCCGGGGAGCTACGACCAGCAGGTGCTCGACAAGACAGAGGAGCTCGGGCTTTGCGCCGTGCATCAGGACGAGTGCATTTTGGTCCGCGGCGACGAGGGGCTCTACGCCGCCAATTTATAGCACGTGTGCGGTAGTGCCCCGGCATAGGAAATAGTCAGCCGACAAGAAAACGTGACCAGCACACGAGGTGCCGACAGATGCCGGCCCTGTAGGATTGAGTAGTGGTTCTATAAAGCTGGGCCCATGCCCCGCCACCCCAAGCCCGTCTGGCCCGCGCCGTGCTCAGACCTGCTCCATGAGCTTTTTGATGTAGTGCGTCCACGTGTCGTCGTCTGCGGCCGGGGGCCGCCGTGGCGCAGACTGCGGATCGATGGTGATGTCATAGGGAAACGGGCACACATCAAGGGTCATGATGGGCGGGATGTGGTCCTTGTGCAAGTTGGCTAGCTCCATGACTTGACCCACGGTGGCCTCGAAACTGAGTGCCGAGAGCCGGAGCAACTTCTCGGCCGAGTTGACGGAGCTGGACGCGGCTGCAAGCTGCTGGTGTTCGCGGTACAGTAGAGGGAGGCAGTTGATGTTGATGACCCACGACTCCCAGCGCAGCGTGTGGGCCTGCGGCTCCTCCTTGACTTGGCCGAACCAGCCGGTCCGCTTCTTGGATTTGGCGACGACTTTCTGCGCGAACAGCACCACGATCTGGCCCACCGACGGCTGTGATCTGTGCGTCGCCAGCGAGAAGTCCTGCTTGATTAGCTCGTCGATTTTCTGGTCCATTGTCGAGTCGATGTCGGCGGCGCCCGCCACCATTGGGTACGGCACGTCCAAGAACTCGTTGGTCACAGGCACCACGGGCCCGAAAAGCCGGTGGAAGAATATGGTCCAGAGCACGCCTGGCGACACGTTAGTAGAATTGCGGGGGGATCGTTTATTTTTTGAGGCTTCGTATGCGTCCCCACGACAGCATGCTCCTGCCTGAGACAAACAGGGTGCTTGTCCCGTTTGGGGCGGGCACTGGTAGATGGGACTAGTACACTGCGTGGTGCCTCTATATATGGGTAGTCTCTGGTGACACTATTTGGCTCGGAAGCGGCGAAATTCAACCGCGCAGACGAAACGTACCTTTGAGAGACTCGCGGACGACGGACCGCTCAGCGGTCAAGTTGAGACTGAACTCCATGTATGATTTGCCTAGTACCCCGGTTTCTTGTCTGGAGTAGTTATGTATAGGGTGTTTGGTGCGCGCCACTCCCACAGTACAAGGTTCGAGTATGAGGCCCATTCGAGAAAAGCGTCCTGAAGACCAGAAATTGCAATTTCACGGGTCTCTCTGAAGCACGAAACAGAAGCAGCAGATATGCCACTGCTGTGAAATTTCTCTAGCGGCTACCCAAGCTCGGCGTGTTGAAAGGTGCTACATAGGCCATGTCACGTGACGTCTTGGCTCGGGGCCAGCACCAGGGCCAGTTTGGAACGACTAACCTTTTGATTAGGTGCGATACGAGAGAAAGCTGATTGTGCAATAGGGAAGTTTTGGCCGGACCCATTGCTCGAGACGAACTGGGCACTGGCATGAATCCACTACGGGTGTACCGACTAAATCAGATCCCACATTCACCAAGTAGTCAAGCGTGCATTTCGTGGATCCACAAGCTTGCAGTAATAATATTAAAGGACCTTCGCCAAACGCGGTGGCCGCTGCCCAGACCATTGCTTGACCGCGCATGACAACGGCAAGCAACAAATTGTTCAAAGCAAACAGTCACGTTAATCACCCCAACAGTCCGGTTTTCCTCCCGAAATCCAAATCTCGCAAGCGGAAAGGCTCCCCAAGCTTTGCTCGTCACGACCTAGAGCTTGTCATACACATGTTTGCCCTTGACCATTGACTGCATGATGTCCATGAGCAAAGGCATGGTCGTGTTCTCCAACACCTGTCTCTCCTCCTTTTTGAATTTCGATAGCACGTAATCGGCAACGTCGCTCCCAGGTGCCTTTCCTATGCCGATGGCCAATTTGGTGTAGTTATTCCCCATCAGCTTATCAACCGATCGTAGCCCGTTGTGGCCCCGCGGACTAGTTCCTCGGCGCCGCACTTGCGCTTTGCCCAATGGCACCTGAAGCTCGTCATGTAGTATCACTAGGCATGGATCTCTCCCTGCATGCTGTTGCTTGAACTTGTTCCAGGCCTTGGCAACGACCGGTCCCAGCACGTTCATATAGGTCCCGGTGGTTTTTGCTAAAACTGCGTTTGCGCGTTGCGCATCTCCACTTTCACTCAAAGCAATGGAGCCAAACTGCTTGGACGATGCTAAGGTCCCAAAATCAGGCCATGCCTCGACTGCCATTTTCTCGATTGCCCAATGCCCGACGTTGTGGCGCGTGGCATTGTAGTCAGCTGGGTTCCCAAGGCCAAGAAAAAGAATTGGCGGGTGCTGCTTAGCCACAAGCGACGTGCCAAAACTTTTTCTTGTGAAACATTGCCTGGCGATCCAGCTGAGATGAGGGTGGGGCAACATGGTTTGGAAGTCTGTCCGTGAAATGTTTCACGATGAGATCGATCGCCGGAATCACGCTGCGTGTGCCTGCACATCCGGATGATAAGCACAGGGCTCAAAAGTTACAGGCGGTTCTCGATCTGGCAAAGTTGAATCTGACTTGCAAGATAACTATGATTTTCAAGTTTGTCGCTCCATATTTCGCGGTATTTGCTTGAATACTTCCTATCATCACATATTTGCCTCTTCTGTTTCTGCTTGCTCCCCTAGTTCGACAAGATTACGATGGGAGGTTCTGTAACGAATATGCTGGGACTTCGACACTTTCTTCAATTCCTCTAACTTGATGCGCAAGTTCGGGACATCCCTCAAGTTTTTTTCCAATTCGAGTCTCTCCTCTTCGAACTTGAGTCTGCGCTCTGCATCCAACGGACCAAAGAAGTACCCACCTTTCCCGTCAAGCTTCAACAAGCGGTTGTGGAAATGCCACAAAGCCGGTCTATGTGCAACGGAAAGAAGAGAGATTCCGATCTCTTGGGCGTGCTTGTACATAAACTGCTCCATATCTGGCGAGACAGCGGATGTGCATTCATCAAGCACTGCGAATTTTGGCTCGTGATAGAACAAACGCGCCATGGCCAACCTCTGTTGTGCACCAATGGAGAGCTCCTCTTTCCAGTTCTTGACTGTATCCCAGTCGGTGTCAGAAGTGAGAAGATCGCCTAAATCAAGAATTTTCATGATGCTTTCCAAGTCCTTGTCAGTCTTTCCCTTTGGATTATTCTGGAATTGTTCAATGGAATGAGGGTAAATGATCTGCTCTCTTAATGTGCCTTTTACAAGATATGCCCTTTGGGGCAAGTAGAACATGTTTTCCGATGTGGGGATTGTGATACAGCCCTCCTTACAAGGCCATAAACCGCCCAACATTCTGAACAAAGACGACTTACCAGCTCCATTAGGACCGGCTATGAGTAGGTGCTCACCTGGCTTGATGCTGAAAGTCAAAGACTCAATCAAAGTGACATCCGCGGGCGTGACCAAGCGCACATGATCAAACGTGATTTCATCGCCGTAGTTTACCTTCCCGTTGCAGCCGTCCACCTGTGCGGGACTGGCTAGCTTGCGGTCCTTGATTTCCTTTAAGGCATCTTGGAACAAGGTGACCCGCGATGCATGTCCGACTACTTGAAGCAAATACCTGCGAGAGTATATCAATCTGTCAAGCGAGTCCGAAGCGCTCATAAGAAGCCGGCGGTTGGTGATGAATTCACCTGCTGCATTAGGGTCTGGGTCTTTCCCGAGAAATTTGTTGAAGAAAACTGGTGCAGAACACAACACCAAGCCCGCTGCCCCCCAGAAATACTTGACAATAAAGCTCTGGGCGATTTCGTGGATGGCGCGTTTTTTGTACTCCATTTTCAAGAACCGTTCTAGTTGATAGTAGCAGAAATCGAGGTAGTCGAGCTCGCGTTCGTGGCCCCGGAGAAAAGCGATTTCCTCGTTGTTGGCGACGATTTTCGAGTGTGCCGAGCGGAGCTGGCCCTCCAAATTGGCCTTTTCAGACGCTAGTTTGGCAAACGGAGGAGAGAAGAAACGCAAGATAGTAGTGGAGAAGTGCGCTAAGATGCCTAGGGCCAAAGTGCCCTCGCCTGAGCCAACGCCGCTCTTGGAGAGCTCCTTGGCACAGAGAATCAAGTCGAGGGTGGGCTTGAGAAGCTGCCCGGGGAGGCTGGCAAGCGCGTGCGTGAGCCTGCTGAGATCGGTGGAGATCCGCTGGTCCGGGTCCTTGATCTCGCTATCGGAGAGCTGGATCAAAGCGTAGTAGTTCGGGTCCAAGTTGTCGGGCAAGTACTCGTCCATGATGCTCCTGTCGAGGTTCACTCGTAAGCTCTGGCGCAACTTGTCGCGGGTCCAGTTCAAAAGGGCATTGACGAAAGAGGCGGGCACGCCGATAAGAAGCCACAACACAAGGTAGCGCGTGAAGCGGCGGAGTTTCTTTGACACGAGCGCGCCCACTAGCATTCCGTCCAAGCTGGCGACTTTGATGGTGAGCATCGCCCGGCACACCAACAACACAACGTGCGCGGCAAGGTACGCCACCGCCGAGTTCTTGTACGAGGGCACGGCCGATCTAAGGAGCGCAGTGAGCTGTGCCCGCGAGAGCCGCGGGTTTTTGGTGTGCGCAAGCAGCGCGTCCTGGCGGCGTTGGCCGTCTTCTTTCATTGGCCGCGAAGTCGTGGTGGCGCCCGAAAAGGCTGCGGTGATCAAGATGATGTATGAGGCATTGAGGACAAGCAGCCGGTTGGTTTGGTATGCGTGGAGCACGGCGAGCGCGAGAGAGTTTCTGCGTTTGGGGGCTTGTGCCATATTGTGGGGGTCTGGAAGATGTAGAAGGCACGCGGATGGAATCCTTGGACGAACTCTGGAAAACTTGGATGTGTGCGTGTACTGGGAGTTTTGGAGTGGAAGAGACCCGTGATTTTTTTCTGGGGAAATGAGCGGTGCGCGGCCAAGACTTGTGTAGGCGCTTGGGGGCCTGAACGGGCCCGCGCAATGTGGAGGCGGGGCTGAGGAATGAAAGCGTGGCCCGAGGATTGCGCGCGGGCCGGCGAACGTGCGGCCTGGCTGGGCCTAGGAGCACAATGCCAAATTAGCGCCAGTGCCGGGCCAGAAACAACCGAGAAGCCGCTTTTCTGATTTCCTTGGAAAATGCATAAGCTTGCTTATCAAGAGACGTTTTTCGCGGTGCAAAGGCTTCATATATAGCCGGGGTGGTGTTTCTGATGGGGGTGCTTTCGATGAGAGTGTTATTTGCTGGCTCCCATTGCTGCGGCACTAACGCGGCACTAATTGCACTGGGGCACTAATTGCACTAGCCTTGGTTGGGAGCAGGAGGCATCAAGTGGTGAAAGGACCCGAGTGAAGTTTTGTGTATCTAGTTTCTGTTCATTTTTCCGTGCATTCTTTCTTCTTTTTTTTCGGAGATTTTTTCCGTTGATATTTGATTTCCAGATCTTTGGAAATTGCAACAGCTAATGAGCGATGTAGTTTGAGGGACTCAGCAGGCCCTGCACGATATCTCTCAACCATTGCCCATCGAATTCCGGATTTGTTTTGCACAGACAACATGCTAATTGTGGGCTGAGGTGTGTGATGGGTGATGACGGCCGTAGCATGCCCCATTATGCAACATCCCGAATTTTTTAGAGTGCGTGCCTAGATCATCAAACCAGGCCCCAGACTGTGAATAAGTTCTGTCGCCACGTTCACTAGTAGTAGCTTCGCTTTCGAGACACGAGACATAGGATATCCCGAACCATTAAGTCGCAAGCACACATGCAATTTGTTTCTGAATTCAGGCAATATGCGGCCAGAAGACAAAGTTGTCCAGCCCAAAACAGGCACCTGCAAGCACGAATATCCGTTCGCCTAGTTCTCCAAGAGTGAGTGGAACTCCGTCTTGTATTCGGAAATCCGTGACTCAAGCTCGCCCACCCTTATGAAATAAAATTTGTTTGCCAAGTCTGTCGTTGTGGCACACGGCTCGTTGTCTTCAAGCATGTTCTCGTATAGTTTACGAAGCTGTTGACCCGTGGGAGGATTTTCGAGGGGAAACTGGCCCTGGCGCCGCGACAAAAGCGTGCTTTTATGCACATACCAGTCTTCGGCCAAATCGTCAAGTCTGTCGCTGGCTTGTACTTGTTCAAGTGTGATTAGTCCCAGCGTATGGAGAAGTTGGGTCACAAGCAAGAGATCTCTGTGCGTGAAAGAGCTTGGGTCTGTGGCCACGGATCTTCCCTTTTTCGGCATGTCGATAGAGGTGGACGATAAAAGCAATTGGCTGGCCTTGTGCGTGATACACTTGTTGTTGCAGAATGTTTGATCAAGTTTGACCGTGTTTGAATATTTGTTTCGCATGAATATACCGCGAGCGATGTGCACCAACGCCGGTGCGCATGGGACCAGAAGCTCCAATAGAAAAATTTCTACAGACACGAACAAGGTGTCCCATTCTGAAAGAAGCCGCTGGAAAAAACACAATCCCACTGGTTTTTGGAAATGTCAGAAATTACTTGATGAATTGAAAGACGCCAATTGGACATCGCTTGGCTCGTCTTGAGTCATGACCGGTGTGATATTTTAACATCTAGATGACGATGGAATACTGTAAAGTTCTTAATCTTGCCGACTTTCTTGATAATGAATAATGTTACGGCACCGCCACTAAAATGTACGAAATTCTGGTTCTTTTTGAAGTGCGGTTTTGATTTAGTGCTAAAATAGCCTGAAGCCCTGAGCTCAAGTGGCGGTTTGCAGCCGGTATTCACTCTGTAAAAAATCATCCTTCAGAGGCGTAGCCGTGGTCTTTCTTTTTTGTTTCAGAGATGAAGCAACACTTTAATTCTCCAGATAATTTGACCAATGTGCTATTGGCATGCGCATCAGTTCGAATAGTCTCAATTTCATTATCATGCTGTTTCAAGTTAATATACTTGTTCCTAACCAAAAGACACCTCCGCAGCAAAAACATTATTCATGAATCTGGGAGAATTTGAATGTTTTAGTCTTGTGGGATTCACATAGCAAATAATCTTCGGGCATTCACAAATGAGCCTTCAGCCAGCCTCATTATACTGATTGTCAGAGCATAATCCGCCTCTTATGTTAGTAAGAACCACATAGTTGTGTTTGGAAACTTTATTTTAAGACTCTCCATCAACGATTATAGTCTTCGGGATTAGAGGGGTGAGCAAAGCTCGAAGACCTTACCTCCCGTGACCCGTCATGTACATGTTCTTGGTAGATTTATCTGATTAAAGAAACAAAACTATACAATGATGTACAAAGCACCTTCAAACTGCTTCCAAGTACGTACCTAGTGTCGTAGTCGCTTGGTTTATCTTAAAGAATCATCATATCACAGGGTGTCACTGGAGGGATGTAGAACCCCACCACTAACGAAAGCTTATAAAGTACAAATTTATAATAGATCGCAGCGTGGGCTCAGATAAGAAGGCGGGAGCACCAATTCACGAAATTTCCCAAAGAGGATGTGACACCCTCAAAAAGACACCTGCCCATAACCAACGTCAATCACTTGAATGATATTAACTAAATGTCATCGTCCCATAAGATAAGGTTTTCTGAGGGCTCGTGGCCCTTTGACAAAGCGGCAAGACGTACATTTGTCTTTGCCTTCTGGTCCCTAAGCAAATAAACCCTGCGAACGGCTTGAACAAACCCATGAAGGTTTCATAAATTGTCGAAGGAAGAATTTAAAAGAGCTAGCATCTCCCTTGAGTGCATTGTAGCTTGAAAGCCGATCTTTGTCACCAAAAGTGCACAATCTCACACTCATTGTAGAGGTGGGTTGACTTCTTCTTCTTCTTTTTTTGGTATATTCATCTGATTAAAGGGGCAAAGCTATATAAATAAGATATATAAAAAACCTTTAAACAGGTTCCGGCTACGTACCAAGTGTCGGAACTCGGCCCGTCCCCTTCCGTTAATCACGGCCTGGACAGTCCTCATGGAACGTATCTGTTTACGTATTGGATATTACGTCATCGACTCCTAGGATAGGTCTCCTGTAGTAGTCGCTTCAACTCAGTGGTTGTAGCGGACTTAAGGAGCCCGTTTTTTTTTTTGTTTTTTTTTTAAAAAAAAAAATAGTAAATCTCTTTGTATAGCGTGTCATCTTTATGCAAGGACAATGCTAATCTTCTCTGTATTGTTAAAATTGACAGATGTACCATCGCGAACGATAGTACGTTGAAGGTCTCGCAGTTGTTGTAGATAACCATTTAAACACCAATGTCAGCCACCTGAATAAAATCAACTGAATGTGATTGCCCCATAAGATATGATTTTGGACATGCAGCATAACTTGATATAATTCAGTCCACTAAGTAAGAAGCCTGTATTATGAAACAGCCTGGAGCTGTCTCTTAAACTACGAGTAGATCGGTTTATAGATAGTTCAGCCTTAGTGGATAGGCCTAGTCTATCTGTCGTATTCTCGATGTCTCAAAAGTGTTATCCTTCTTCAGGGATGTCTCAGCCTCACGCTCCTTTATAGTTCGGAACCCTTCTATACAGTAGGTGAGGAGTAACCCCGATCAGGAATGTTTAGACTCTTCGTCCTTCGTATTATACAGGATGCCCAGAATCTATAATCTGGCTCATGTCGTATCATAACATTATCTCCCCAAAATTAGAATGTTCGTCCTCGAACATTTAGTTATCATGGATAGAGGAAAGCCTCGAAGTACCTTCGCCGCGTCTGATTATTCTGTGACGGCGTACTACCGCGTGTTCTCCGGTTGTAGAATGGAACTCAGGGAGGTTCCCTGGCCGTGTGCGATTATATGCGCTTTCAAGAGCGATTCTCATTCCCACCGGGAATTGCAGGTAATTA